GGTGTGAGATTCGAACCTGCGTCTGCCGGTTTCACGCCCAGACAATACCAAATTTGACCATTTAAATTTCATATCAAGTGCAAAGACCAAAGATAAAAAAAAATATTATTCCTATAATTTTAAGAACAAAGGCGATATCTCGCTTTACAAATATTCATTATTGAACTTTGCAAGGTTTTTCATACTGCAAATTATATACACAATGGATGGTGCCAAATATCGCTAATAAAATGCAAAAAAAAACCTTGGTATATGTCAAGATTTTCCCGCCGCTTTAAGGTCATTGGCCGCTAAGTTTAGGTAAAGCATCTGGTAAATCGGAAGACGCCGATTCGAATCCCGCAGCGCTGAATTTTTTGTGTATTTATGTACAAAATTCACATTTTAGTTTGAATATTGGTTTACTGAAAGATTACTACAACACTTTTCTTCCAGTTTATATTGCGTACAGACATATTTATTAAATAACTTTAAAATATTCATCGTTTATTGTCAAAGTAAACACAAAATGTTTTCAATTTGGTATCGCTTTACTCCTTTATAACTAAAAGGACACAATAGCAGTTTTATTAGTTAACGACGGATTAGTATAGTATTAGTTTTTTTTATTAATGTTGTTATAGTATTGTTTCTTACACAACGTAATAGTCTATTGTCATAATGTCTTCAGTAACTTACGAAATTCGAAAATTACACTGTATCTCGAGTGAGACTAGCTGTTTCAATACATCAACTTGCAGCTAACAACGTAACTATACAATGCAGTTGTAAACGCGTTCGTCTCCGAACCGACACAGACAGACGTCCCCATTTCGCATTATGAATAATTATAGTTCGCGATAAGGCGGATGGAAACCGTCCCGGGGAGGTGTTCACATGGCCGAAGCATTGTCGCCATCGATACAACTAACTAGTCGCTTTGGAGCGACGTCCTGTTGCTTAACATGGGAAAAATTTACGTTTCAATAAAATAAATTCTAGTATCTTACCGTTTATTTTTAACCGACTTCTAAAGGAGGAGGTTCTCAACTCGACTGTATTTTTTTTTGTGTTTGTTACCTCAGAACTTTTGAATGAGTGGAGCGACTTTGAAGATTCCTTTTTTTAATTGAAAGCTGGTGCTTCCCATGTGGTCCCATATTAATATCATTGGTATTGGATCTTCGACTTCGGAGATGCTTAGGGAACTGCTGAAAATCAATTATGAAATGAATACAGAGCGGACAGATTTGGAAGCGGTTTTGTTTTCGGTTTTGATTTCACAGTATTCGGAACACAATAAGTCCTTATGGTAATTTTATTAAATTGTACGGCAACATCTAATGGTTTCGAGATATTGAATTATCCGATACTCAAAACGTTAAATTTGGTGTCAGTAATGTTCCTAAAACAATTAATAATTTAGTTTTATTATTTATCTCTTCTCGGCCTTTTGGCTAAGATCAAAGTGTTAATTTTATTAAAATCTATTGGTTTCCAGATATTAAATTGTCTGACACTAAACATGAAATTTGGCGTCATTAGTGTTCATATAACACTTAGTCATTTAGTTTTTTAATTGTTAAATATAAAAAGGTCTAAAGCTGCTGATAACCGAAAACTAAATAATTTATTGATAGCATTTTCTATTGCCCACTTATTTTCATTAAGAGATATACATACCTCCATACATATCTGCAGATTTCTCTTTTAGAAAACGTCTCAAGTATTTGTGCAGTGTAGTTCCGCTACACAAAAACATCACAAAATACTCGATCAAAACACAACTCTACTCAAGCAAAATACAAAATCGAGACCATCGAATACTAAGTCGTCTTACATTCGCGAAAGATATCACGAACACGTTTGTTCAAACGGAAGTATAGGGCCCTATAAAGTTTCTGGAACGTTTGCAATAGACTAAACACCTTTATCACACACGATCGCACTCTGCGAAATTCTATTAAGCGTGGTCGTTGACCCAACGCCTGCGGTAACCTACTCAAAGCATTGCCCATTATACTCGAAAAATACTTCCATTTGACGTAGCTGCATAGGCCTATTCTAAATTTTCTTAGTCTACATTGTAATTGTAGCGTACCGAACGAACTGTAATTGAAATGAAAAGCAATTGTGGCCTAACCGAGCTTGAACAGCCCTCGTCTACTTTTTTTATTGTTTGCAACACAATTGGGGAGACGCTGCCCGTTTCCTCAATTGTGTCTACTATTCTATTTAGCCAATGAAAAAGAAATAGTACTTAAGTGTGCGATAGCGTTTGCAATGTTCCACTTACGGGAGTGCATTTCGCGGACCCGCAGAAGTGCATAAGCCGCCCGGGGTCTAAATCTAAATATAACCGTTCGCATATCGCGAGGATTGTCTTGCTCCGTGCTCTATAATTAGTTTGGGAATAATTCAGTTGGCACGCGCCCGCCGAATGCCAAGAACGAAGCGCCGTTCTGCACATTCGTGGAAACTGTCGCGGTTCCGTTAATTTGGGCAATACGCCACTGCCAAATCGTTGACGCAACAATCGGTTTATATTTATTAGGAAAACCTGGCCCTGATTGCAGCTTGGCGTGCTTCCAAAGCTATACCCGTGTTGCCGCCGCGCCGTAAGCAAATTGCCCAACCCTCGAAATATGCCAACGTTCGTGACGGATCCAAATACACACAGACTGCAGTTTTTGATTGGCATGCTCATTATTAATTGTGATTTAAACTTATTGTTTATTTATTTATATTGATACAGTCGGTGAAACACAACACAGCTCGATGGCTGTTTATGAAGTACCCCGAATAAAATAACTTCAGGGGAAAGATTAGTTGGATGCTCCAACTTACTGCTGTAATATATCTATCTTAATCAGGTCTAAATATATCACCAATGCAATATTTCAAAATACAGTTTCGTAGATTAAAACTCATTAATTTAGAACTGTATCCACGACTTACCATGTTATCAGGACGTCAAGAAGTCAATTTATCCCATGATCATAAATGCTGATAAGTATTCGAAATAAAAACAAATTATCTCATTCTCATATAAAAGAAAAGTACATTTTGTTATTTCTTTTGTTGAATAGAAGAGAAGTATAGCATACACAGCTAAATATTGCATTCTTAAATTTCGAAAAATTATTTCGACCTGCTTTAGGAGTCCGTATAGCGCATTTGATTTTATACTTAAAGTTTTATTTTTTTGTTTTATACAATTTTATTACAATGAGAATATGTATAAAAAGAATATTATAATTTTATTATTATAATAGGTAATTGTAAAACACTATTATAATACCTAGTGTTATTATTGTAATATATACATACAACATGAATGTTTATTCAATTTAGTTCTTATCAAATAAACAAATCCTTTGTCTGATTCTCCTCTGTCAATATTCTCCGTCGACCGTTAGCTTAAGGCTACGCAGACTGCTAGAACAAATACTCGGCGTGATAAACTTAGCAGAAACCTAAGCTCTAAAGTGGCTACACTTGATCACCGTCTAGGCCAGGCTGCCGATAGGAGCAATAAACCGCAATACGATACAATCGTCTAGGAAAATCGACCGATATTTACAGGCCTCGTTGGTTGTCCGCTCGATTTCTACGACGCTATTATATTACAGAAATCGTATTACTTCTTTAGGTTTCTAATAATATTAACTCTATAGTTTCCCATGTGAAGTCGATGACTATTTTTAAATTTATTTTCTTAAATCTTCTTTTATCGTAAAGATAAGGTACTTACAAACGAAACAGGTGCGGGGAAAAAAAGGTACAACATACATAAGATATGTGAAATAACTACATCTTTGTGTTTGATTTTTTTTACTGTTTTATTGTATAGTTTATCTACGATAAAATACATTTTTGATTTCAATGAATGTCATTTGAGACTAAACAAATAAAATAAAATTTTAATGGAATTTTTTTCATTATAGCGGTAATGCTACGACCTACAATCGACCTTTAGTCGACTAAGCGTATTGCATCTTTCTATATTAAACACAGAGCCAACGCTCGACCGCTGTGCGACCATAAATACGACATAATTATAATCGAACCTGAGTTCAAATCCCAGTATAAGTGCCTGAATGTCCAAAGAACAAAACAGCACATATATTATCCAAAACTATATGAAGCCTGAGCCGTGATAGCGCAGTAGCCATAACCCCGCGTTCACTAAATATCATACCTAATTATCATATCATAAACATTATATTATCATAATGTATCATTGCAACTATATCAATTTTGTAATTAAATGTTCTAATAAATTCTATTATCATTTATATCATTATAAACTGTGTTAGGAATTAACCCCAACATCGTTTTGGTCCTTCGAGCCGGATCTAAATCAGCGACGTATGGAATTAGCTTAGGAGTTAGCCAACAAGATAAATGTACAAATTCTGCACGAAGCTAAGCACAGTGTGTGCGTAAGATCCAGAGTTGCGGGGGACCATAGGGATGTGGGAATCCGATTCGATCTTTTCGAAGATCAGATCGTGGGCATACGATCCAATCGATTTTTGAATCTCCTCGAATCCATGTGATCCGAACTCCATCAAATATCAGATCGCATTCCAAACATGATTTGCACACAATGTAATGCAGGTGCTGCCTAATAATAATGTTAATATTGGGCGTTCAATCAAAGTATGACCTGAATGGAACTTTAGTATGTTTAAACAAAATGTCGGTACTTTACATCTTGTCACATATCTACGTTTTCTGTCACTAGTAGCGACTTTTGTATCCTCAAAATGGCTCTTTCTGTCTGCTATTTAATACTATTTGAGAGTCCTACTAGATCGCATAGCCTTTTAAAACTACTGATCCTCAAAAGCCTAAAAATTGAATATTGGTGGCATATTTAAATATACTTGTACACAGATATGTAGTACGTATCTGTGAAGTTCAACTATTTTATGATCTATAAAATCGGATCGAGCTGAAATAAAAGCACAACCCTAGGAGATAAATAAGCTGCAGCGTTTCATTCGTGTAAGCAGTGGGCAGTTGCGAAGGCGTGCGCTGCGGCGGAGACAAGCGGTGCGTGTTAGACGCGGAGTTGGGCGCGCATTGCGTAAAGTGCGGTGCGTGCAGCGTGGCGGGCGCCCCTGTGTGCGCAGTCGACGGGCGGACGTACGCGGGAGCTTGCGCGCTGCGACGCGCCGCCTGCGAACGGGGGAAGGCCCTGCCGCTCGCGTACAGAGGATCCTGCATAGGTTGGTACCCTGCCCACATTAAGCCTACTCCGAAACGAACAGTCCTGCATTAATTGGACGCCGAAATGTAGTAGTAGAAGTAAAGCAACCCCGAAATGTGACGAATAAATGCACTGGCGCAATATATATTATGACCGTCGGAGATCAAAGATGTGTATCGAAGATCGATACGCATCGTGGTAAACGGGCTAAATTACCCATTTTAGTCTAGTGATACAAAAATAAATATTATATGGTACAAGTGCTTTGATAAACACGTTGGCGAATAAGACAGTAATCTTTGCGTTTAATAATATGTACGAATGCGCAGATGTGTATATACCTACAGTTACACAAGTTTGAACGGTTTGCGCGATCTATTTTCTTGAAGAATCAACAGGATACATACTAGTAACGTGGAAAACACAATTGTAACAACAAAAACAACAGTAAGCTTACCAGTATAAATTAAAGGATTTGATTTCGAAAAAAGCCACAGTAACGTTGGGTGAAGTTTAACGGGCACTGAAATTCGTGACGGTTGCGTTTTCGATGCAACGCAGCGAACGCGACATGCGCGTCGGTTACGTGCGGCACGGGGCAGCGGTGCGTCGCGGGGGGCGCCAGCGGTGCGCGCTGCGTGTCGTGCGGGGCGTGCGGGGGCGGGGCGCGCCGCCTCCTCTGCGGCACCGACGCCCGCACCTACTCCTCCTGGTGCCGTCTCCAGCGCGCGGCCTGTCACGCCGGCAGGGTCGTGGACACTCTGCACCGCGGACCTTGCAAAGGTATGAACGGCGAACGGCACGCCCGGACTCATCCCTGCTCGTGCTCACAGTTTTTGTATTACTACGTTCACATATAAAGAAAAATATCTTTGAAAAGTGGTCAAGCGAGCCCATGGACATCTACAACAGGAGCGGACTAGCAGATGTGTTAACAATCTTTATAAAAAGTGGGCCCCGGTTACCACTCACTCTCTAGACTAAACGCGAAAGTGTAACACGTCGTGTAACGTTTGTGTAACTGTGGTAGGATCACGCAACAGCGTTCGCTGACGCACGAAAGGGCAGGTTCGTCCGGGTTAATACCACGGCCTCACAGAAGACCGGCGTTAAGTGTTACACTTCTGCGTTTCGTCTGGTGAGTGAGGTAGCCGGGGCCCACTTTATTAAAAGGTGACAACCCCGCTGCGACCCTGCGGGTGCTGCAAATTTACATGGGTGGCGGTTATCACTTAACATCAGGTGAACCGCCAGCTCGTTTGCCACTTTATCACATTAATAATTATGTATTTTAAAGTTTCTATATACCTATTTGTACTTATTAATTTTAACGTATCTAGAAGCTTCCATTAAAATTATTTTGTATGTTCAATAAGTGAATAATGTAGTGGGCTGCAATATTATTACTACCTCAAGGCAGCAGATTTGTTTATATCATATCAATATATAGATGTTTGTTTTCCCTAATAAAATAAAATAAAATAAAAATTTCTGCTGTTGTACAAATAGCCACCCACCCAGGTGACTTTTAATTTCATAGTACAAGTTTTACGTAATGAAGTTTAATATCTTCTTTTTTCCCATTTCTGTTTTAAACAGATTTCTATTTGTGAATAAGTCTTAGATTAACCTTGATTGAAAGGCGAATAAGAATTAATTAAAAGTTGATAGGAACAGTTTTTTTTTAATAACAAATGAAACTGGCTAGCTTCTACAAAGTTAATCATGATTTTTAAACAATCTATGATATGTTATCTCCGTGTTCAGAACTTTTCAGTTCTTAGTCATAGCCATGTCATAAATTAATAATCGCTAGGAAAATATTTAATATTTATACAAAATATTATAAAATTTACATTTACTAATAGAAGTAATACCCGATCCCTCTAGACATTCATACATAACAAACCAACCGGTCGTAGAGTAGAGCTCGGTAACACCTTTCGATCAATCAAGTCTGTTATCGCAACATCATCTCTACTACACTCGCAGATTTCATGCAAGCTTTAGACGCTAGCAACAGACATAAAATTAATTCAGTCTGCATTATAATATTAATAGTTTTAGAAACAAGTTAACCCGTTTAATTTCTTCAATTAACGTGCAGAGGGAACAAACAGAAACAAACTCGTGAAATCCCCGATTTTATTACAGAAGAAATCTTACTCTAACTGTTGGCTTTTAAACATTATGCTGTTCTTAAAATTACAAACCATGTTTACATGAGGAAATGCTATAATATGAATCTTTGATGTGAAAAGTTGCCAAGCGTGTAGACGGTTCACCTGATGTTAAGTGAATACCGCCATTCATGGACATCTGCTACACCCGATGATTCCAGATGCGTTGACTAACTTTTGAAAATTGGGCTCCGGCCACCTCACTCACCAGATGAAACGAGAAAGTATTACACTTCTATTTTACGTCGGTCTTCTGTGAGGTCGTGGTACTTACTCGGACGAGCCTGCCCATTCGTGCAACAGACGAGGCTTCTGCGTGGCCCTACTACCATGAAGTGCAACATACATACATCACTGTCCTGCAGTCATAGTTGCTAAGTGGCAATCAAATTAATGAATGCGTTATAAATAAAACTTCTACTCTGTTCTACCATGTTTCTGTGTTCCCGTATTCCCTGTAAAAATTACCATAAAGTTTCGTTTTTTTTTTCAGGCAACAGAAACATTACGGACAATAGTGTGACAGTCAAAAGGAAGGGAGTTGATACGGATGCCGCGTGAGCCACGTATCCATAAACTTTCTTCGTAGTCTTAGCGTTGCAGTGTTTCAGCTTCGTAGCGCTATCAAGGCCGGACCTAACCACATCACTCTGGCGAAAAGGCTCAGCGATCCAGTAATAATAAGAATACTTCGTTTGTTCAAATAAAAGAAACATGTTAGCAGACCGAACAAAAAGACTACAAAAGCCAAACTGCGCTATCCTCTAAAAGTGCTACTTGAAATATACATAGTATAGGAGGAAAACCAGACGCCAATTGTACTGTTCGCGAGAATTATTATAACTAACGCCCGATGCATACTGCAATAACATTAGATATTGTTAATCTACTCCAAGTTCTAAGACTCGGCGGCTTATATTCCCTACTAAACCACTTTAAACACTCCGACATCAGCTATGCTAGACTCGTCGAATTTAAATACAGGGAGTGGCCCGTATTAATGGTCCCATAGAACGACTGTTGCAAATAATCATCAGTTAATTGTTTCAATCTTATTTATCGTAGAATTGTAGACTTAGATAAAATGTTAAAACCCCATGCACATTCTTCGAATTTTGTAGATAAATAATAATTCTATAGTTTTTAACAATTAAACACTTACATTATTAAATTTGAGCACCAAATCGTACTTAATATTTAGTCAAAATGTTATTATCTAGGACAGTAGTTAGCACAATATTCGGTACTTTTAAAACTTAGGTACGACTATGATAAAAAAACTATTGTTTCCGTCTTGTTGACGTCACTCCTATGGACATAGAACTTATAGGATGAAATAAAATAACATTTTCATCGGACTGATCTAATTTTTTTTTCTTTTAAAATTAATTAACTCGTAGCTGTTTAAGACTTAGTAATTTTATTTCACGAAATGTGGTTTTAACGCTTATGCAATATTTATTATTAAGTTATAAAGTATGACGATTTAGTGCAATAATGTTATTAAAAATTGTGTGAAATTTATGTTTATGTGTTTTGTTTTGTTTTTTTAATATAAAATTATCGAGGATCACAAATATCGCGCATAAAGTGTAATTCGGACATGTCTAGAATTTTATAAATACTTTTTCAGTATTATGTCTATGTAAGATTTTAGAATATTTTTTGTTTATTTTCGAAACATTTTACATTGAAAATTAGGTGATTTTATAGACTGTAGATAAAAAAAGTAATTTATTGTTACTTTTAAATTATTTCCAAAATATTTCCAAGAATTTATTTGTATGGATGTTATTTGTGAACTTATCGACATGTATAATGCGAATGTTGTCTTTTGTAGTAAATGTGTTTCTAGACGTCCTGCTTAGCTTTAAATAGTTTAAAACTGATTTCTAGATTACTTCGAGTCCACTTAAGTCCTAACGCCTTTAGTACTTCGTTATTTAATAATGTTATATTGTTTATAACTCAGGCGATTGAATTTAAAAAATGGTTTAGTTTACATATTTTAATCATAAAGAAAATGTAAGTTTTAATAATTTAATCCAAAGATGTCAAATTTATTCCCAAGCCACTTTTAAAATTAGATCGCTCTTATTTGTTGCAACTTATTTCGGCTTTAGTTATTTGTTCAATAGGTACTAAAACAGAAAAAAAAATATTTCTCTAATAATAATTGCGTAGCAATTTATTCTAGATTTCTGTTTTTAAGGCATAATAAGCTACATATCTGTAATAGAATTTTGTATCATCAAATTAAAAATTGTCTAAATATTTTGCCATTATTGTATTAAACTTTCTTAGTCATTGAACTAAGTTTAACAAGTTTTTAAAAAAAATACTATTTTTACAAAACCAAAGTATCATTAATGATGATATATAATTTGTGTATTTAATGATATATCCCGTCTTGGCCTTTTAATCTTCATAATGTCAGTTTATTTTAATGCTTTAAAAACCTTTCATGAAAGTTAATAAAAATGTTCTACATTTAAAAAAATTAAGAAAACGCGTGGCGCGTTAAAATGGATCTGTTGCCAATATCGTTAAGTACTTAAGTTAGTTACACAGCCACATCGATTAAAGTGAAACTAGTTATTTTAATTAGGAATTAACCGTCAGAACTACAATTTTGATTATTTCAAATTTACGCATTGTACGTTAATTGTAACTATCGATTTGTTAATTATAACCATTACTAAATTGTTGTAGTAAAACTACTTATTTGTTGTAATGTAATTAAACTCTTTGCGATCAATTAAAGATGATGTATAATATATTTTCCTTGTTTCTTCGTAAATATTTAACTTATTGCTTTGTTTTCATTTACCCACTGTTCCGATCTTTATTAATTATTATCTTTCAAAATGATTTCATTTTGAAACAGAATTTAATAAACTCTTATATAGACACACAGTTAAATCCTCATCAAAAATATCCGAAACAGTTGAACTGTTGAAAATACTTCCTATGATTAGTTGGGCGCCTGGAGGTATATTTATTTAATTGAATTTTTGTTCGGATGAATAATTTACCTATAATTTTTTAACTTATAATTTCCCCTGCCTATTTTATTTCTTGATATTTATTTAAACTCTTTAAAATTTGTTCTAAACTTTGCCATATTTTGACATGCCAGGCGGAAAGTGATACAGTTGCTGACACAGCAGTAATTTAGATTTAGATAAAAAAAAATCTTATGGTTCCAGATAACATTAACGTCTTGATTAAATTAAAGGCATTAGTGGATGATGATCGTGGAATATATATTTTTAAAAACATCTCGAGGCAAGGTTTGACAAAATATATTTTATTCAAATGGTTTAGAAAAATTTCCACCGAAATGTAGTCGTTTTTTTTTTTATCATTTTACGGGTGTGATACGAAGTTAAGATTTCGTTGACCCAAACAAAATTCGGAGGTTTTTTTATGTTTTTATTTTTGTATGTATTTCTTATACGTGAAGCAAAAACTTTGTACCCCTTTTTACGAAAATTGCTCGGACGGACGAGTATGAAATTTCCCACACTTATACTTTATATAGAGAAGTGCAGAATGCCAATATTTTTTTTAAAATTGTGTATAAAAATTCATTAAAGCAATAAAAAATATTACACACACTACCATATATAATTAATTATGGTCGAATTTCGACCACTAGTCGACCACTAGTTTACTTAAAATCTGTAAAATAAAAACATTATGGGGCATAGTATTGTATAGATGGCGCCAAGTATTACTACAAATTCAATAAAAATAAATTATTAATAATTGCCGATACGTCGGGTAGTAAAAAATTTGCCCAATTTGTGTTTCAAATAAGACTTAATATAAAGGTATAAAGGCAAACTGCAAAAATACATCAGTAGTACACATTTATTGACAATGAGAAAAAATTGAAAAGATATTTTAATGAACATACGTGTCTATACCAATCAGCGTAATAACGCCTATATACACAAAGAACACATTTTTTTCTCAATGATTTAAATTTAAACGCTACATATTTGAAGTATTTTAATTACTAGTAGTTGATTGGTTCTTTCCATCTCATAAATTAAATGGGAATGTCACACCTATTTGAGAATGTTCATGATACCCTATGATATTATACATTACATGTTATAAAGGATTACTGGAAATATCATCAAATATTGGGTAAATTGTTTAAATATTTTTTAAGAAATTTTGATTCCTTTTCTGTGTTGCCATGAATGAGGAATTCTTCTCACATACTGGTAAAAGAATAAGAACCAAATAGTAAAAATCCCATATTTAAATAATACTTATGGATAGATACATAGTACTTATATATGTGAATCTAGCGCATTTAATGGCTTACATTATCATTTATAAGCTTATCCATAGAGCACATGTTTACAAATATGTATATTGAGAACAAGCAGCTTTTAAAATACCACTAATATCATAAAAACAGCAAAAACATTTAATGTATACATGAGAATAAGATTCCTTGGCTGGTTGTATTGTAAAGAGTTTCAAGAGCAATCTATTTTAACATGCATCTACATTTATTCACACTTAATAATTACACCTCTCCAACACAACTTTACCCTAAAGAACCAGTAACTTAACACTAACACAGTCACTACTACTTTTACGCTCAGTCTAAGCACTACTGCACTACTGCACTTCTTGCTGCATGGTGGTCCTCGTGAAAAGTTCCATGGTGAGGGCGCTGAGGAACAGGGGTATGGATCTGTGGTGGTGGAGATGCAACTCCACCAGCTCCCCCAAGGTGGTCGAGTACTCGGTGTGCACCATTTCGATGCCGTCGTCGCAGAGAGTGAAAGTGAGATACTCCTCCGATGACTCGGCATACATATTTGATATTCTGTAACATGGGATGAAATTAAATTGGTGACTGTTCTCTTTATCTGTATAGTTTAATTTTCGTACAAAAAGAAATAAACAGTCAACAATAGTTGTGATTTTTTTAAGAGATAAGAAATAATGTGTAAATACATTAATTTGCCCACACATCATGGAAATTAGCCAGGTTGTTGCCAGTCTTTAAGTTCACTACCTCGTTACCTCGCTAATTCGACGGAAAGCAAGGTTAATCAATACAACACTACAGTTTTCCCTATCGATTATTATCACAAAAATAAAGCTTACCTATAATTTTTATGTCCCGTCCTATCAATTTTGTAACCTAACAGCATGTACACGACATCTCTATACTCCTGAGCCGACGACGTGAATTCCTCCTTCATTCTGAAAATCAAAAACCAACATTGTTTTCTTCTCAGATGTCACAATAGAAAGTGTTGAAATACTGGCAGAAAGATCTAACAAAGAACTAATAAACGACACAAATGAAATTACAGCTTTAAGCAAATAAAACTGGAAATGACCTCTTCAGTTTAATCCGACTGTTCTCCAGCTGCTGTTTCAACTGCTGCATTTCTTCGGGGCACACCGCCGTCCCGCCGTCCCGAATGGCGGCTTTGAGCCTTTTTATCTGGGGAAAGGTTCCTTTAGCGACTAAAACGAACGAAAAAAAATGCGAAGCGGCAATGGACAAATTAAATGACGGAATAAAGTTGCAACAGACTAGCTAGCGCACATGGCCTTGGTGAAAAGCGAATACCTCCTCCTGAGCGGTGTCCAGGTCGACTTGCATCTGTTTGTGTGCCGCGGCCGCCGGGTTATCCGTGAGATGCAGCACCTGTATATGATTAAGTATATTACATATATGCAAAACTGCTAAGTATTGTATGATTATAACTTTCCCATATATACATCCATTCCGGTGAAAAATTGTGCTACCCTTCCTCAGTGTTTCAATCTGTTTAATACAATTTTTCTTAAGGCGTTGTGTGAGACTTTTCTATTTATTTACTTTCACATAATGTAGACTTGCTTTCTATGAAACCTCAACATTTTATAGGAGTTGTGTTTATTAGATTTTTTTAACCAATCTTTTTAAATAAAACAAGTATAAATAGTAAACAAACAAGAAATAAAAATTTGTAGTTCAGACTGTCCTCTAGGCACGACCTATACAGGGTGATTTTTAGACGAAGTAAATACTTTGATATAATGTTAATTGAGCATTCCATTTTTAATGTTTAATGTGATATGTACATTGGTGAACCTTTTGAATAAATAAATAAACTTTTTTGTATAACTTACCGCTTAAGATGTATGCTCATTTAATAAACAGGTTCTTCTATGTTATCTGATAACTCTTATGATATTGGATAAATCAATGAAATGCATTTATCCATTTTTAAAAATCAATAACTATGTTCTATCAATAACTTTAATTTGAACCTTTTTTGTCTAATGTTCATACTTTTTATGCTATAGGACTTTTAATCAATCCGTGATGCCGCGCCGTCCGGCAGGCCAACAGTTTCTTCCATAAGGAAAAAAATTGATACAATTTTTAATTTTACCTTGTATTATGTTTTATTTTCTGACAATTATTTTGAACATAATTTTAATAACTTTTCTTTAATTTTAGTATGGGATCTGAATATAACCTAGTTAATAATAATTACTGAATAATCCAGAATCAAATCGAAACACTAAATATTTGTTAACTGTACGAAATATAATAAAATAAACGAAAATAATATGTTACTGTTGAAGGTAAGAAGATCAACTTTTGAATGCGGGTTGAACTTAAATCAATATTAATATTGAATTTCAACCTAACGCTCCCTGAATGCCCATGTCATACTTTATATGAAATAAGAAAAGTATAAGGTAGTAGAGTAAGTAGAGATAGTAAGTGAAGTATAAGGGGCCAGCAACTTTATTTTATATTATTTATAGATGGGTTTTTGTTTTTTGTGTTTTGTTGGTTTATCCTTTTTTCAAACAGCAATTAATTCACTACATCAATAAATTTTGTAATATTTACAATCTTTCATCAGCATTAAATAATGAATGTGTAGAAAAAAGTAAATTAGAAGTAATAATTCATTTAAATTAAAAAAAATCCATATTATTTATTACAATACTAGTAATATGTTACATCTATTTGTTTTATATACTCGTAGCATTGTCTTATTTTATACCCAGAACGTTTCAGTGGACTATAATAAGAGAGAATGAATATCATCTACACACATAGACCCGCCCGCTTCTGTGCGCGTGAAATTAGCAATGATAATAGAAAACATAAAATGTCGGGCGAAATAAACGCTCATAAGCTTAAGTTTGAGTATATGCCAAATGTTATAGGCGTTCTTATAAACGCTATCTTAATGGGGGGTAGAAGGTGGATCTTAGAGGGTTAACCTTAGCAGAGATGACCTTAGTGGGAAGGGGGTATTTTGCGTGACAACGGAGGATAGACTTTAACGAGGAGTGAGACTATAGGAGGAAGGTGATGGACCTTAACGGTGAGGCACTAGAAGGAGGGTTGAACTTAGTAGGACTAGGAATTAACTTTGTTGTGGGTGAACCTTAGTGGATTTTGGGGGTGAAGATTTGTGAGGAAACAATAGAATAGGAGGAAGAGGATGGATCTTATAGGAGTTGTGGGTACGGATTTGGGGGGGAGACTATAGGAGGAAGGCGATGGACCTTAACGGTGAGGGATTAGAAGTGGGGTGGAATTTAGAAGGAACTAACTTTGTTGTGAGTGAACGTTAGTGGCGGTGGGGGAGATTATAAGAGGAGGATGGACCTTAATGGTGAGTCAGTCAGTCAGGGGGGTGGGCCTTAGTGGCGGGCGCGGTGTCGGTGGAATGAGAGTACTAGGGGGGTGGGCCTTAGAGGGGATTAACCTTGTTGTGGGTGAACGTTAGTGGAGGTGGGGGAGATTATAGGAGGAGGATGGACCTTAATGGTGAGTCAGTCAGTCAGGGGGGTGAAACTTAGTGGCGGGCGCGGTGTCGTTGAAATAAGAGTACTAGGGGGGTGGACCTCAGAGGGGATTAACCTTCTCGTGGGTGAACGTTAGTGGAGGTGGGGGAGATTATAGGAGGAGGATGGACCTTAATGGTGAGTCAGTCACTCAGGGGGGGTGGAACTTAGTGGCGGGCGCGGTGTCGGTGGAATGAGAGTACTAGGGGGGTGGACCTCAGAGGGGATTAACCTTGTCGTGGGTGAACGTTAGTGGAGGTGGGGGAGATTATAGGAGGAGGATGGACCTTAATGGTGAGTCAGTCAGTCAGGGGGGTGGAACTTAGTGGCGGGCGCGGTGTCGGTGGAATGAGAGTACTAGGGGGGGTGGACCTCAGAGGGGATTAACCTTGTCGTGGGTGAACGTTAGTGGAGGTGGGGGAGATTATAGGAGGAGGATGGACCTTAATGGTGAGTCAGTCACTCAGGGGGGGTGGAACTTAGTGGCGGGCGCGGTGTCGTTGAAATAAGAGTACTAGGGGGGTGAGCCTTAGAGGGGATTAACCTTGTTGTGGGTGAACGTTAGTGGCGGTGGGGGAGATTATATGAGAAGGATGGACCTTAATGGTGAGTCAGTCACTCAGGGGGGGTGGAACTTAGTGGCGGGCGCGGTGTCGTTGAAATAAGAGTACTAGGGGGGTGAGCCTTAGAGGGGATTAACCTTGTTGTGGGTGAACGTTAGTGGAGGTGGGGGAGATTATAGGAGGAGGATGGACCTTAATGGTGAGTCAGTCACTCAGGGGGGGGGGTGGAACTTAGTGGCGGGCGCGGTGTCGTTGAAATAAGAGTACTAGGGGGGTGAGCCTTAGAGGGGATTAACCTTGTTGTGGGTGAACGTTAGTGGCGGTGGGGGAGATTATATGAGAAGGATGGACCTTAATGGTGAGTCAGTCAGTCAGGGGGGTGGAACTTAGTGGCGAGCGCGGTGTCGTTGAAATAAGAGTACTAGGGGGGTGGGCCTTAGAGGGGATTAACCTTGTTGTGGGTGAACGTTAGTGGAGGTGGGGGAGATTATAGGAGGAGGATGGACCTTAACGGTGAGTCAGTCAGTAAAGGGGGGGGTGGACCTTAGTGGCGGGCGCGGGGCCGGTGGCGGCAAGGCGCTCGACGTGCGCCTGCAGCTGGTCCCGCTGCGCGCGTAGCTTCTGCGCGTCCCTTCGCGCCGCGTCCGCCTCCTCGCGCCACTTGCTCGCCTCAGCGCGCAGCCCCTCCAGAGCTGGAAATGCAACAAGCGATCATACGACACCGCAATAATTTAGTTTCTTGTTTAAAAAGAAAACAATTACCTTGCTGTAGGCCGTCATTGTCCTATGTTGTAAGGACGTTTACATACGTAATATTCACGCGGGCAAAGACCTAGATCCGAAACAACTATCTCGGGGTCACACAAATAGTTGTCAGGTTTGGCAATCGAACTAACAACCCCCGGCGCCGAAGCCTATATCTTGCAAACTGCTCCACGGAATCTCTCTGTGTTTTCGCAACTGCGGAGGTTGCGCATGCTCTTTTAAATCCGTCTCTGTTTCCGCAAATTGAATCCGAAACGTTGGGCAAGGCACGGGTGCCGTGGTTTGAGGTCTCATTAATAAAGAACACTTAGTCACACAGACACAAACAGAAAGAACACGAAAGCTTGCTGGGTATACACGCGGCAAAACTATATCATAAAACTTACTTACCTCTTCTTAAATTTCAATATTAAATATTTATTTGATGAAAATTTTATTTTAATATCTGTTTATGTTTCTGCTTCGTTTAAGTCACCCAATATACTTGGTTGGTGGACGCTATGTAGCGTTCGCGAAAATAGTAGCAATCTTCAATTATAATATATGTTATACGTTCTGGGGGGCTGATGTACCTTTGGTGTGCGCCTCTTGGTCGTGGGCGGCCAGCAAATCGCGGTAGCCCTGCAGGGCCTTCTCCAGCTGCTCGACCCTGGCTGCGAGCAGCGCTGCACTGCCAGCCCCGCTCTCCCCGCACAGCGTCACCGTCAACTCCTTCTCGTAGCAGTCTAGCTGTTGCCTGAAAGCAATTAATGAATAAATATTTTTAGGATACATTTTTACACAACATTGTCTAGTCCCAAACTAAGCAACACTTGTACTATGGGTACTAGATAACTGATAAACATACTTTTCTTTTGTAAACAAATACATATTATATAAATATAAACACCCAGACACTCGAAAAACACTGTTTATCACACAATATTTTTCCAGTAGTGAGGATCGAACCCACACCTCTGGCTCAAGAGGCAGGTTTACTACCGACTACGCCAATCGGGTCGTCAATGCGACACATTTAAATAGACAGTCACCATCTCAGTGATGTTGAAGGTTATTAAGTTGTATAAACGTAAGATATCATTTTTTGTGATAAATCATATGTGAGATACGATTTTTCGCCTCTATTTGACTCTATATGTATGTACGCATGAATGACTGCAAATTTTAAAGTAGTAACATTGCTTAACAGATCACATACTGAATAAGAAACGATCAAGATCTAACATGGCGGACACATCAAAAAATTTTGTTATACATATAAACTATGAAATAAATTACAAGGCTACTATTAAATATATAATATATTGTATAAATTTATATAGGGAAAAACTATATGTGCATTGAAACAGCAATCTATATTACGATTAAAGTTAATAACGAGGTGGTTAAAGATATAAATGGACGGTGCAATACCTGTAACTGTCCCTCTCTCTGGTGACAAGAAGCAGTCGCTTCTGCAGCCTGTGTATGAGGCTCTCTTGGTTCTTGCGTACTGTCTGCAGATCGCTCAACTTTGACGTAGCCTTATCGCGTTCGTACTTCGCCGTTGCTATCTCCTGTTAACGTGTGTCATAAGTTCTTACTTATTATAGTAACCTCGCAGAATACTGAGCCAATTAGATTCTTTACAATAGTTCAAAGCATCCCCTAATACAAGCTTTAATTTTTTTAAAACAAGAGTATGTTTTTGGTTATAGAAACCAAAACATTTTAAAACAAATCAAAAGAACAGTACAGAGGGTATTGGGGCATAGTCCACCCCGCGATCCGAAATTTAATTGTTTTTCAGTGAATCTGTATTTTCTAACATAACTTATTTACTTTCTCATTGAGTTCCATATAACCAAAACCTTCTGAAGTTCGAAAAAGACGCTGAGTATAATAGTACACAGGCTAAATTTGATTAAGCTTCAATACCCTACGGACTGAAAACATCAGTTAAAGTAATAGTAAGTACACAGTTTATACCTATGTATAATGTTTGCACGTTGCACGCGACAGTACATAAAAATTCGTGTACGCAGTTTTGCGCGACCTGTACCTCACTAAGCTGGGCCATTTGAGACTGGGCCTCCGAGCAGCCCGCCACCGCTGTTAGCTGGTTACTGAGCGCATACTCCAGCGTAGAGGTCAGAGCTCGCGGAGACTCCACTCCATGGGCACGTGCAGCGCTCTTCCACTCCTCCAGAGCAGATTCCAGGGACGCCATTTTCACCTAAGCGCACAATATACAACAAGAGCACTTATTGTCAAGTCAAAAGGAATAAAAAAAGGAAAAAAAAGTAAAGTATAATGTCCCACTGCTGGGCAAAAGCCTCCTCTATACAGAGGGTATCAGGGCATAGTCCACCACGCGGCCCCACTGCGGATTGGCGGACTTCACATATCTTCGAAATATATATTTTTTTGTTATTATTTCGAAAATATGCAGGTTTCCTCACGATGTTTTCCTTCACCGCGGAGCACGTGATAAGTCAGCACTTAAAGTTAAAAACTTCATTGGTGCCGGCACCGGGGATCGAACTCAGGTTGCTCGAGTATATTGAATTAAAGGCGAGCGCCCGGACACTGAGCTATCACGGCTCTTCATCTCATAAAGGAAAAAAAAGACAATAAATGAGGGGGTTTTAGTTCCAGAGGGTGCACTGATCATCCAATAAACTGAATCTAAGTAAGACCGCTACATGGTGTGGTCCTATGGTGCCAAACCGCTTCAAGATACTAGGGGAGACATGAGCATATCCCGGGATATATGTGTGAATGCAGAGAAAAAACCTACTATTAATTTCATAGGATTGTCCCAGAATCCCTACCATTGCAATAGAGATGCACCTTTAACCTGTAAGTTATTGCAAAGAAATATTTCTTATAACTGATTGAAATTCCATCGGCTACAATGTGTGCGGAAGATAATGAAACAATTTGTGAGTAAACTTACTTGCATAGTTCACCGATTAGAAAAAAAAAGTGAATGTTTGTGAAGTTTATAGAAGAAAGTTGGCAAAGATGATGACCAAGACAGCAGCTCCTCAAACGAATCGGAATCGAAATAAATACTGAAGAAAGAAAAAAAGAAAGAAAATCTCTTTATTTGACATCACTTAACAAAAAATACATATTCAAAACATAAACAGAAAAATTGTGACATCAAATAAAACTCCATTTTAGCAAAATGCTGCAGTTCTATTTGTACTACAGCGCTGATTTTCAAATGGCGCCTAAGGAGCCTACTGTTACCATATTATACCAGTATATTGTTAAATTATAAATATTATAGTATTATCTCATTGTTATTTTATTTTGTTCACAAACACACAGAAAAACAGACAAAAATTTTAACAATCATTGTTTTAGGTTTTACTGTGTTGATAAAGGCCCACAATAATAGTTTTTCTCAAATATCTTCCATGCACAGAAATCAAACAGTGGCATTTTTATTATATGTATAGATAAATAAATAATTAAAGTAAAAATTAATGTAGTTAAGCCCAGGTTCCCACCTTATAATTCCAAGCTGATAACTGCATCTTATTTAAATTTACCTTAGCCTCATGGAGCTCCTGTTGCACTGGCTGCAAAGCCTCAACTCGACTAGTCAGGAGATGCACTTGTTCCTCCAGAAGCAGCTTGTTGCAGACAGCATCACGCAGTGACTTTTCAGCAGCCCTCAGTCTTGTCACTTCCTTCTCTAACTCCGCCATATTGCTCAGCCGTTTCTGAGCAGTCTTAATAAAACATGATAGAATAAAACATAAAAAAGCTCTCCTGACAAATACAACAGTGAGACAGTTTGACATGAAATTTACAAGATAATTTTTACTTGCTGCAAACACTCACCAACATTTCTCAATGCTCTAATACAAATGTCACACACATTTCTTTTTAACATGCTATATAAAAATGCATAAATAGGAAAAACATATTTAAAACGGTTTAGTTTTAACGGTGGTAGGGCCACGCAGCAGCCTCGGCTGTTGCACGAATGGGCAGGCCCGTCCAGGTAAGTGCCACGACCTCACAGAAGACCAGCGTAAAGTGGAAGTATGACAAATACTTTCGCGTTTCGTCTGGTGAGTGAGGTAGCCGGAGCCCAATTTTCAAATGTTGTCAACGCATGTACAACCCTCTCGTGTAGCAGATGTCCATGGGCGGCGGTATTCACTTAACATCAGGTGAACCGTCTGCTCGTTTGACAACTTTTCGCATAAAAAAAAAAAAAATCTAAATTTTTTAGTTATATTTTTATCTATATTGTTTATATATTTGAAACAATATAAATAAAAATATGAACAATTAGTTTTAAGATGCCATTAGCAATGACAAATTGTATGATTCTTAATTAAATAAAATCGACTATAAAACTTTAGAGCTTACATGTGCTCCATCAGAATAAAATTTCTATAATGAGAGTTGTAAAATACCTTTGCTTGAGTCTGCCAGTCTTTGTATGAATCTCTTTCATATTCTAACTCCTTAAGTTTATTTGTAACTTGTTGCAGTTCAAAGGTTTGCTTTTCCAGCTGTGTTCTTAATGTTATGCACTGCTCTCCCCGACTTGTCTGCTTAGCTACTTCATTCTTTAACATCTCCACTTCGGACTGAGCACCTTCTAAAGCCTAAAAAATATAATGTTGTTCTTAACATTTTTGTATTTTCTGTCTAATTGAATAGAGTGAGTAATGTGAATCTTATAATTTTTTAAGAAACAAAAATATACAACCAGGATATAAGCAAAGCAATCACCACCAATTTTCTCAGGAACAGGTGAACCTAGCAAGTTGGAATTTATACCAGATATTGAGGTTTATAGCCCGTATTAGGTGTATATCCTTAATCAACACGATAAAAAGATATGTTCAAAATTAGATTCTCGCGAAAACTTGTAAGTACCAAAATTTACCTTAATTTTCAACTCTTTTTATTTTTCGGAATTTTTGTTTTTTTTCCAAGGTCCTGAGGTCCTTTTGCTCCTGAGAAAATCGGTGGTGACACGGACAGACAAACGGACAAGAGTTATCTTATAAGGGCTCCTTTTTTTTTACATTTTAAGGTATGAAGCCCTAAAAATATCAAATATTACAGATATAACGAAACAAACTAAACTAATCAAAGTAACTATAAAATTAATCAAAATAAAATAAAAAAATTAAAAAAATATCAAAATAAATCAAAGTAACTATAAAGTACAAAATTGGCCTTTTGATTATTTGCACTTTAGTCATTGTAAAAGAGTTTATTTATTTATTTAAATTGTGAAAAAAGTTTAAGAAAGAGATGTCGCCAATTAATTAACTGTGAGACACAATGTTTATTGATAAAACAAAAGCATGATGTGAGAAAACATATTTGAACAATACCCATGGAAACTTAATGTATATTAAAAATAAATATAATATAAATTGCAGCAACCTGAAGTAGCTCATCCATGTCTTTTTTCATTTCTGAGAGCTGATCCTTACTGCTAACATTGGCTTCTAGGAGTTTATCTCTGAGATCAGCTATCTGCTTTTGAAAATCTGCTTTGTCTTTTTCCCACTTAGCCTTACTCTCTTGAAACTCTTTAACGGCCTAAAATAATTATAAAAACCCATAAATCTAAGCTCCGAAAGAACTACACTATGTTGCATGTGCCAAAAAACTGCCCAATATTAAAAAATTAAGTGGTGGAAGGAAACAATTATCAATATATATGTAAAGCATGAATATGATAGTGACCAATGAATTGTGAAATGTATCAAAAAACTTCAGAGGTCAATTTAATTATAGTGCAGATTGGCATGGGCCCCATTACTGGAAAAATATTGTGTGAATAACATGTTTTTTCCAGTGTCTGGGTGTTTATATATTATGTATTTATTTACAAAAGAAACATATGTTTAAGTATATTTATTAGTTTTCTAGTACCTATAGTACAAGCATTGCTTAGTTTGGAATTAGAGAATGTTGTGTAAAAATGTGTTCGAAAAATTGTTATTAATGCATATCTGAAGATCTACAAAGTGATTGTTTTTCTTTCTAACCTCACTATGTTCATCTTTTAACTCTTGTTCTCTTCTTCTGACAACTTGAAGACGTTCTTCCATATCTGCCAGAGCCCTTTCATCTCTTTTATGCTGCTCCACAAGAGAAGCCTTTTCCTCTTCAAATAGAATTTGCATTTCCTTACGTATTGTATGCTGATGGTTAACTCTAGCTTCTAACTTTGTAATCTGTCATAAAACAGAAAACTATACATATACTATAAAATATTAAGCATTTTATTTCATAACGGGAAATTTATACCTACTTTCAATTTATAATTTTATAATTTTATTTCTAAAAAAACACATGGTAAGATTTTAGAATATCTACAGTTTTCACATACAAAAATTTGAAAACAATAGAGAAATAAAAATAATTTTTCCAATGTAACAAATCCTTAGAAAAACTTACTTTTTACAAAAAATATAAAGGTAATATCCATTGACACTAAAGACATCCACCGTTTAATGAATTCTAACATTAATACACAGCTTCTTCCTATGGTAGGGCCACGCTGCAGCTTCAGCTTTTGCACAATTTCCGGGGAAGAACCACAACCTCACTGAAGACTAGTGTGAAGTGGAAGTATTATAATTACATGTTTCATAATCTGGTGAGTGAGACAACCAGTGCTGGTAGTTGGTAGGTTGGTAACGCAGGTGCATCCCCCTCTGGTGTTGTAGATGTCCATGGGCAGAGTTGACACAATATAATCAAGAGACAACACAGAGATCAATTGAATCTGGGAAAAATTGGAGGCAATCCTTATTAATTGATGGATGAATCTTTAACTAAGTAACTCCATAGTAAATTAATTCAATTAAACTAAGTTTTTTATTAGCAAATACTGAGTAAATAAATCCTATTAATCCAGGGCTTGTTGATGTTGGTGCCTTGATACAATAAAAATTAAATATAACCTTTTATTTTCATGGAATGTAGGTAGTATTTAAATATTACTCAGTTGTTGATTAATTGGTTTTGCATTGATGCTTGCTTTCCAAGTTTTCCTGTATTTTTTTATAAATGATGATTGATCAACTAGAAATAGATGTTTGTGATTAATGGAGAAAATAAATTACAACACATACTTATTTTACCACAAAATGCCATAATATTTTCTTACCAAATTCTGAATATTTACATGATTTCAGTATTTAATTATATCTTTAGTTTCTCTATTGATTAAAAATATTTTGAAACTTTTGTATTCAATGTATAAAACTACAAAAAAGATCTGATTGTATTTTTGTAACTATGTATTATATACTTAGTACATATTAGTAGTACATAATTGTTAACAATAGGGACACATATATTTTCCCTACATAAATGTTTTAATCAATAGAGAAACATTATCAAAATAATGATTACTAATTAGTTACTTAATAAGCAGAGACATGTACATTTTGAGGAAAAAATTATATGTAGTGACTTCGCCCCTAACCTAACCTATCAATTTGAAATAAATTAATGTCAATCTTCAAAATTCAAAATAAATTAATCTTCGATTTACTATGGCTATTGTAGTATGTTGAACCTAATTTATCTTAATTTATGAATAATAATCTTTCAAGTATTTTTAAAATTGGTGAGGAATGCCTAACGGTAGGCAAACACACGCTGAAGAAGAATCTTTTAAGTATTGTGTGTATATCAAAAATGTGAGTTCCCTCTTAAAATTTCTTAAAAAACGCATTTAGTGCACAATGTAATAGCAAATTTATGTATTAAGCTGAAAAAATTTAATTATTGTTTATCTCAAAATCTATATGTCTCTATCTCCTCTATTAATATATCTCTATTGATTAAAAATATTTATATCCGAAAAACTTGCATGCCCCTATTGTAAACAATTCCCGAATTGTTTTTGTATACCTGAGCTTTAGCAGCAATTAAATCAATTTTCAACCGCTTTGCCTCCCATGGAGATGGAGGTGCAGATACTACGTTTGCGGTAGTGTCCGTGCGAGGACGTTTTTCGGGCGTAATCGTTTCGAAGGGACTAAGGGTTGACTTCCTTTTGCTAGACAATAGGTTAGCTAAGCCTAGAAATATAAAACATTGTACATAGATAAAAACACAAGTATAAATAGTCTCATATGTAATAAAAATTACTTTACGTTACGAACCTTCTTTTAACGATTGATTACTATCAGAAAAATTCAATTTTGTAGACGCCGACAGCTTGTCTTTTGGCGGATCAGTATTTATCACCCGCCTATACGGTTCTAATATATCATGGACTAAAGACATATCACTTTCCTTAGCCATTTTTACGCACAATATAGTAGGTTTGATATGTTTTATCACGATTTCAACACATTTTTATATTTAAATACGCAAAAGCATTAAATTAACACATTAACTTGTAGTTTTGTACTCGCAAAGTCGTCGCAACGCAATTGACATTTCGTTTCACAGACTACTAAGAGGTAGGGACAGTGTTGCCAACAATCCAGGGTCTGATGTCGCCATTTTTTCCGGCATAAAATGTAACCGAATATTAACTTCTTTACCCTAAAGTAACCCCAACACCAAATTATCGCTGTAATATATATTATAAAGCGTAATTTAAATTAACTTATTATAAAAACCATAAAGGCTTCTTTGGAGGCCTTAACCTTACATAAAATTGTGAAAAAATATTTAGATTCTGCTTCGACTGCCAGCAACTAACAAGATTTTCACCGTCAACATCATCAGTGGTAGCTACTGTGCTAATACAGCGCAAGCTTAGCTTAGGATGCAGGAGAGGCATATTTTTCACATCCGCCACGATTGCTTCACATATTTTCCCATACTCTTATCACAAAAAAATGCCTTTCAAATTACATTGTACATGTACAGGATACGTTTACAGCAAAAATAACAAAAAATAACTGGAATTTTCAAACTATTTGTAAAGCCCGATGCATATGCGCGTAGCGAATACAAGTACAATTGCCAGTAGTAGACTTCAGACAAGTGGCTGTTTACACTACAGCAAGTCCAGTAACATTTCTAAGTTGAAATGGATGAGCAACGTCAAAAAATTCCTGCAATTTTGTGGCCTGTTGCAGGCCAATGTACTAATTTGACTGTTTACACTACGGCATGTGACGAGTCAAGTGGCGGGGGGTCAAGCGGGCGCGTGAGGGGTGCACTTGCACCAAAATATAAAAAGCGATCTATTTGGGTGTAGTTGCGAGGCAGCTTGCAAGCCAATTTGACTCGCTACTGTCCGATGGTTTACACCACTGTCACATCTACTTCACTAAACACCTGACTAGCGTAAATCGGGCTTTATAATAAAAACAATCGCGATAGTCATTAATACAAAAATGACATTTCATTACATCATAAATTTCGTAACAAAAAACCAAAATTCTTCGTATTCCCCGATAATAACCAAGCATAAACTAAAAAGGTGGCCATAAATCTTGATTAAAATCACAGAGCTAAGGGAGGCTATGTTTTTTATTCAAATTTAAATAACTTTATTCAACATAAGGGCATTACACTCACGTATTGATAGTCAAAATACCACCTATATTACAAGACACTATATTAAAAGATTATATTCATTTGTGACTTGGTTAATTGAAATAGTTTGCCCCTGAAGTAGCCTGATAGGTGACCAGCCGCCATTCAGATTTTTCATCGCCGTTTCTCGTCCTAAGTAGCCTCATCATCATAATCATTTCAGCCTAGGCGTCCACTGCTGAACATAGGCCTTCTCTAGGGTTTTCCACTTCCATCGGTTTGAAGTGGCCTACATTCAGCGAATTCCCGCGACTATGGACAGGTGGTCAGTCCATCCCTAATTAGCCTAAATGGCGAAAAGTAGCTGGGTAGGAATACCATAGATCCCTACCGATCGAAAAAGTATCGATATATGGATATTTTTGATTCTATACATCGTACTATCCCACACCGTCCAGCAGAGCTAAAGAGCCCACCCCGGGTTGGGACGAGAGCGTGCTGTTGGTGCTTTATGCGGACGATAGCGCGTTCTTTATCTCTTCACATTAAACGGCGCACGCAGCCGGGAATTTTTCAGACATTTAAACCTACTACCTCCTTGGTTGGATAAATGGCGGATGTCTGTTAATGTTAGTAAGACGTCCGCCATCTATATTAGGTGGGTCCGTAACCCGCCCAAGCTCGAGCAATTTCCTTAGTCTACCATCACGTTCCTCGGATGCAGCATAGATCGCACCCTGCAGATGGTCCCCCAGGTCGACCACGTGATTCGATAAGACAGAGGGGCAAAGGCGGTTCACCCGGCAGTTTACCCTGTCCTTGCATCCAGGTTACCATTACAAGCCCAATTGGAAATATACAAATCATATATCCGCTCGCGCTTGACCTACGCAGCCCCAGCGTAGTATGGGTTGCTCTCTCCAATGCAGAAAGGTAGGTTACAAGTGCAGCAGAATCTCTACCTGCGTGTGATCGCGATAGCAGGGCGGTTTGACGTAATGGCTCAAATTTCAAAATTGTGGCCCGACTAGCACGTGGTATGTTCGACCGCGCAGACAACGGGCCACACCCGCATTTACAAACTTGCCCACTCCCGCGAGACTTACCGAGTCGCTGGCAGGTTCGTGCCCCCATTCCCCACAATTCAATCCTAAACCAAGTAGTTAGGTTCCATACCTTTTCCTTATCCTAGACCCTGTAGGTAAAGTCCTGTCCGTCCCTTCCTACGTAGTTTAGTTTTACATTACTAACATGTCTGCTCAACTAATACCACAGCCGCGATCTGCTTTTACTGTTCACAGAAGGAGTCACCACCGGTTGGCCTTCAGCCAGCCGAGTCTCAGCCCGATCAGTGGGGATGGTCCCCGAAGAATGCAACGCGTCGGATCTTTATTCGAACAAAATCCCCTGTCTCCGATCCAGTCAGACTATAACTACCGAGAGCCGGCCCTCTCGGCCACCCTCGAATCGGAATGCTAAACGGGTATTGAGTGACAGCCCAAGCCGAGGAGGTGGAGCTGTAAAGACCCATAAGGCCGAAGGTGAAGAAATATATAGATATTTTTAAAAATATTAATATTGGCTTCAATGTATCGAAAAAAAAATATCCACATATCGATCAAATATTTCCGTTTTAAAAAAATAATGTAATTAGTTCAGTCTAATTCAAAGTACCTAATAATAATTTTTATACCAAATTCACAAGAATTAGAAGAAGGTCAAAAAAGAACCCACAGAGACTTTTCCTAAAAGACACGCCTAGATCACCAGAATTAGTTGGTCTTAGTATTCGACTTAGTATTAGTTGGTCGAGTGACATGAAAATACTGAACGACAAATTACTTATGTGGTTAAATAATAAAAAAAATTATGACGTCAAATATTTTTTTTATGAAAACTCGATATTATATTATGACATTTAATTATTGAGAATTTGATTATAATTAAATTTCTGTTATCTTTATTTACATATAAAATTAAAGTAACTTTAGTTGATGCCATTAATATTTTGCATACTATTTATAAATTAACATAATATGTAGTTCAATATTAATGATTTGTAACACCTCTATAGCATGTTGTACCTAGGGTATGGATAGTACGAAGCATCAAATTGTAGTATAAATACTATAATTATAGTACAAAATTCAACTCTGCATCCGCGACAAAACTAGTATATATAGACCAGTTTTTTCCGTTAATTTTTATATTTTACGGCTTTGAATCAGTTTGAATAAAAATATCGTTTTTGATACGATTTCGATATTCAATTTTTTATATCGATATATCAACATATATCGGCACAAAATATCGATATATTTTTTAAAAAATATCGATATATCCATATTTTCATCCCTAGTATAGGTTATGTTTTTGTTGTGATCTGATCTCGTTTCTATTACTTTTAGTGAAAATCAAACATTAGATATACAAAATCGTCTGCGGTTGTACTTGTCCGAAAATGGATTGCAATAATGAATATTTTACCAGTTATGAGGACTTAGAAGTAAGCAATGTAGACGTACGATATGTTTTCAGGTTATATTTTAAGGTTATGTTTTTAACGAAATATTATTAAAAGATACACAGGCTTATGCTCGATGATTCTTCAAGAACAGAAACTTATAGAATGGCTATCGACAATAATAAGGAATATTTTAGAAATCGAGTTGTTATGGATGTCGGATGCGGTACGGGGATTTTATCCTTATTTTGCGCGCAAGCTGGAGCAAAAAAAGTATATGCTGTCGAAGCAAGTAATATAGCAATAATAGCGAAAGAAATCATAAAAGAAAACGGTTTTGAGAATGTAGTAGAGGTATGTGAAACATTTTAAAAAATCTCAAAAACGCTCCAATGTCCTTTTAAGATAAAAACGAAAGGCAAACTAAGTTGTATTATTTGTTGAGTACACTAGATAAGTAATACATTTTGTCCGCCTTACATAGGTTATACAGGGTAAAGTGGAAGATATAGAATTGCCAAATAATATCAAAGTTGATGCTATAGTCTCTGAGTGGATGGGCTTTTACTTACTTCATGAAGGAATGTTAAATTCAGTACTAGCTGCTAGAGATAAATTTCTTAAAAATGGGGGAGAAATGTTTCCAGAGTCTGCTACAATGTATGTTGCACCATGTAGGTATGTTTGATATATTTTTATGTATGCAACTATTTTTTAACAAATTATGTAAAAAAAAACATAAAATTTTCTATGTGAATACATATTTCAAAACTTAAGGTCAATGTGTTTGTACATCAGTGTTCCAAGTTTTTTAAGTATAAATCTTGTGCCTGTATAAAAATTGTAACTTTATTTCACTTTTTCTTGTAATTGTTTGTAATTTAAGTGTTCCATCTTTATATCATAAATGGAAGGAATTTCATGGGGTATCAATGGGTGCATTTGCAAAATATTTAAGAATGGAAAAGCACAACAAACCTGAGATTATGCAAGTGCAATCAGAAGATTTATTAGGTGACAAAGTTTCATTTGGTTGGATAAACCTAAAAGAAGACAATGTAACAGATTTGCAAACATTTAAAATTGAACATGTTGTGGGTAAGTAAGGTCTATTGTAGGATATTCTAGTTTCAACAACTTTGTATTTGGCTAATTCTTATCTAATGATAGTTACTTGCTAGAAAATTAAGGTGTTGTGCATTTATATATAACATAACTATGTATTTAGTAGAATGTGTGATGTGTGGTTGGGATAATTTCTATGTTATTAGCTATTTAGCTATGGTTAATTTGTTTCCCACCCGGGAAATGTATTTATTTGTATCATTTCTAAATAATTCTTCAAAGATTTTATCTATGCACTTTTGTTGATGTTTGATGAATGTATAGGGTTAGGAGTAGTGTAGGTTCTAGCATAAATAAGAAGGAAGATTTCTTCCTTTTTACCACCCTATTCAATACTAGCCACTGGTGGGTTGTTGTCATTTAATGTTGTATGACTTGCAGCTCAAGTGCCACACTCATATAAAAATTTAGATATCTGTTTATGTGTAATTGTTTAAAAAAATTGGTACATCATATGAACATGTTTCTTTGTAAACAGGTGTAAATAGGAATGGAAAATATCAAGGATTATGTATTTGGTTTGACTGCACATTCCCACAGCTCTCTGAGGAATTTGAACAAATTGTGTTAAGCACAAGTCCTCAGAGCCCAAGTACACATTGGAAACAAACCGTTATATTATTACCGGAGGAACAAGACGTGGAGGATGGAGAGCCAATAGCATTTCAACTAGACATGTTTAGAGACAATTTAAATGAAAGAAGGTGAAGGGTTTTAGTTTAACCTTTTTTAACATACTCCATCCTAATGTTTTGTTTTGCACAAGGTGCTTTATCTTTATTGTTTGCTCTTTACAGATATAACATACAAGTTTCTCTGTTGGACCCAAATGAGGTGGAACACCCAGTGCCATGTTCCTGTGATATGACAAAATGTATTTTAACCAAAGCATTTATCATGCAACAAGTTGAACAGCCAGTACAAAAGATAACACATGAGGAAAATTCTAATAATATTTTGGAATATGATGATATAGATGACTAATGTATAAGAGAAAAATTAAAAATTTTATAAGTTTTAAAAAGCATTTATTAAAGCATATATAACAAGGAACAACAGAACCTTTAAGGATATCATTTGCTAAAAAATAGGATATATTTTGTAAATTTAACTGTGTGACTTGACTTAAGTGTGTACTACATAACAAATATTTTTGTTTTTTTTATGTGCTAAACAAGGTTTATTTAATTCTACAGTTTTATGTATTTAATTAGCCCCACATAGCCCTCATATACCTTATCATAGTTCTATGACTATTTTACTTCATAAATATGATTGCATTGGAGAACAATTCAGTGGCATATGCCAGTTGACGTCAATAGCATTGGCCAAAAGATAATGTCCCTTTAAGTATGGTTGATTTTTTATTTTTTAATATTTTATAGCAATATTATGAAAATAAGTAACTGAATAGAATACCTTTGAAACATCATATTGACCAAACAAATATTTTATATTTGCATTTAGATACTGACTGCTAGAAAAATAAAAAAAAACTGACATCATCTGTTTCTATGGCCCTATTGGACCCTAACACAATGTTAAAAATCTATGATCTAGGATCAAAATGAATCATATACCCTCAGTAATTTATCTTATATCTTATATTTATGATTATAGATCTATGTCGTAAATAAAATTTCTGTACGGATCCCACTAAAAGTTTGTTTATTTTAGAGTGTGATTGAGAATACGTGTTAATACCCTATGATGTGTATCCACACCATGAATCAATACTGTAGCATTCGCAATTGCAGCATGTTCTTGCATGTGCCTTTAGAGTTACTATGCATGTATGTTTGGTCACAGCACGGGCACACTTACATGTGAGTGATCATCTCAGCGTGTGCATGGGAATGCCTTTGATTTGTCTCTAAGAGCAAGACAAGCTCAGCACCGCAGCATGTGCGTGAGTGATCGTGTGAGCTCCGCTTCAGCGCTGAGCCAGCGGTTGTAATCTAGGCGCATCAGCAGCCTAGCGAGGAACGCCCCGCACGCGCGCCCCCTCAGCGACACCAGCAACTGCGTCAGCTGCTTCACCAGCTTGTTGAACCTGGGACATGATCGGAATGTGAATACTTGCATTGGCATCCCCTCTAACAAAGACTGCCAGATCTACTACGACCCATAACTAAAACTTAATTATGAACTTTATTATAAATATCCAATCCCTGGTGTGATCCAACTTTTTTACTTAAAACAGACTATAGTTTCAATCCCAAGTCCATATAAAAGATATGATTTGTTTCATCTGCATTTAAAAGGGAAAGCCATATCAGCATCAAAGTGTATTGAACAATGCTTTATACTGAAAAATTTCTTGCAGTTGAAAGCGCTTTTCTTATTTTTTCTACTTTATTGAGTAATAAAAGGATTCAAAATTTGTCGCTGCTGCCGGAGTTCGAACACCTTCGCCTTCCCCTATCCATGCAGTTGAATCCGTCCGGAAATCGACGTCTTATCTACATTATTTTATAACATTTGTAGCAATGCTTGGCATTATCTATCTCAAATTACATTACATTACTTAATTACATTACATTAATAAATATTTCAAAACTCGAGATTCAGTGCTGATATCTGAAGACGAGTACTAAATCGTATTAACTGATGTTTTTGCTTTCAGTTCCGAGACTATTAAAGCTTCATCTGACGCAGAACCGGTGGGCTAGCCAGAACCCACGGGTTTGGGCCTTCTGCTAGAGTACTAAATGAACACAGATATGACAATACAATAATACTTTAAACGTCATTTTCGCGCGATAGGGATGTCGAGCTTAGTAGCTAATGTCTAGACACGTAATTCAGAAGGCGAAAGTACGAATCTAGGCAGCCGGGAGAAAATAATCTGCGACAGATATATGTACAAAATTTTAAGTTTCTTAAGTGCAGACTAGTGTAAAATTAAAATTAAACTATACCGATCAGAGTAGCCCTTTATGTAATAGTCTTCCGCATCTCTGTCCGACGCGAATTCGCTCATACTGCAGAAGGAATCGCATAACTTTAACAGTTCCGTGATGTTAACAAATACTGGATTGTTAATCGAATCTACAGCATCACCCGCAGACTCGTGTTCTGATGGCTGCAATATGAGAAATAAACAAATATAAATTTTGAAGTGTTTCATCAATGCATGATTTCTTCCAATCGGAATATCATTTGTAATAAAGTTTGGCTCCTAAATCTATTTTATTTAACGTTGTAAACTATATTTATTTTCTGTGCGGTCTTGTATTGTTAATATTAGTTATTTCTATTTAATGAAGAGTAAATTCTATGAAAATTAGTTAAAAATTATAGAATGATAGAGATTATCCAAATGATCAGAATAATCAAACCAGTTCTGATGCCTCCTTCACAACTAGCCTCTCTTGCTAGTGCTCTTCCAGGTCTGGAATTTCACCGCGATGCCATCTAAAAATTTGCATATGCACTAACCAAACAGTCAAACTTTAATTCACAAAGCCACCCACCAGTGTAACAGTCAAGAACGACTGACTGAGGATGTCCGCTAGGAACGTAGCGTGCGCCTTCTTCAGTTTTTCGAAGTCATTTGTCTTATTCACCGCTTCCATAAGCCGAGAGAAGTTGGTCTCTAAGACGTCCGCTTGCAGGTAATGTTGCAGATTGTCCATAAGGAACATGAGCTTGTTGTGCAACTGACACATGGCAAACCTGAAAAATTATATAAATTTTTATTTTATTCATGCCACGGGCAACAGTAGTACGTCTTTTCTTTCCTTTACGTCTTTTTGTTACGTGTTTCTTGTGCGATCATACGTAGTTAAAATGTCCATACCCGCTGCAATGATCTAATAACTCTTGAATTGCAATTTTCGATTGATTCATCATCAGCGTGTATAGTAACTTTTTTATAGCACGATGAGAATAGTTAGTTGGGACTCACCGTCTGGACTGTTTGTACGTCTTCCATAGTGCGTGCAAGTCGTGTTGGGTCTTCTTGATGCGCAGTAATAGACGGAACATATCGTTGTACCGCGCCAGCACTTCTGGCGCGAACAGCAGATGCAGAGGCCATTTGAAATCGTACTTCAGAATTATTGAGGACCAGCCGTCGGCAACTGTTATACGTCGAACGCTCTTTAGTCTCCGATGAATATCCTCAATATAATATAGGTACTGTATATAAATAGCAGCTTATATTGTACCACTTTTTAAATTATTTTCTTTACTATATTGGATCCGGCACCGGGAATTCAACTCACTTTACTCGATTATATTGATTTAAAAGCGAACGCCCGGACGGCGAGCATACGACCACGTGGCATACGTTAGCGAAATTCAAGCTATATTTATTAAGTGAAACTATTTTACTAATTTTATCGTGTATTTAATTTAATTCTCAATGTCTCGAACCCTTTCCAGCATTCATGGTTGACAAGACACAAAATAAAAATTATAAATGCGATAAAATCCGTAAAAAATTGTTTTTTCACGGTTCACCTGATGTTAAGTGAATACCGTCACCCATAGACATCAACTACACCCGAGGGTTGTAGATGCGTTGACAACCTTTTGAAAATTGGGCTCCGGCCACCTCACTCACCAGACGAAACGCGAAAGTCTTCTTCCACTTTACGCCGGTTTTCTGTGAGGTCGTGGTACTTACCCGGACGTGCCTGCCCATTCGTGCAACAGCCGAAGCTGCTGCGTGGCCCTACCACCGTAAATAGTAGTTTGCCTCCTTTTGATAAAAAATAAATAAATCAAGCTATATCATCAAGACCTGCTATCCTAGCTCATAAGCTGGATCCTAGACGTGGAAATTTACCGGTGCTGCTGTCATCGTCGAGGCTGGAGTTAGCGGATACGTTGGGCTTCACGTAGGGCAGTTCAAAACTGAACTTCTCTATATCGGCGCTGTTGCTCAGGAATACGGCTCGCGCAGCCAACTGGAACGCGTGGTTCATATCTTCGAAGATAAAGCTGAGAATGTAATTTTCAATGCATTTGTATCGAAATTGGGCAAACCGAAAAAGGAATGCCACAAGAAGAATAAAATTAAAACTATAGAGTTTAAAAATTATGTATGATAAAATTTTAACACAGTGCTGCGTCGAGCGTGCAGTTTAGAACTAAAACCAAACCAATCAAGGTTAAACCATGCATTTGGAAGGCGTTATAGATTATTTTTCTGACAAATTCTGTCCAAAGTGCAATGAAGACAATGTCGTGGGCGAAGGCTAGCGTTGATTAGTGCACACAAGAGGGTATATACAATAAGGGTATATACAACTTACCCCTGGTCGATGTTCTAGTGGTGGGTTTGTCTAACATGTGTGCAGTAAGACGTAGCAATTCCAGGAACAGTTCACCGCGTCCCAATAGGTAGAAATCTTTCATGAGACGCAGTTCGTGCAGCAGTTCAGCTTCCTCCACGGCCACCGTCCACAAATGCTGGTCGGAGGATTACAATGGAATCATACTCAAAATCAAAATCAAATGTATTTTGATTTTGATTTGATTTTGATTTTGATTTTGAATGGAATCAATACTGGTATCACTTCCATATTTATCAGTCGTCCATATCTATATGTTGTGTCTTTGAATAAAGTTAGAGCTAAGAAGTAATACAGTAGTTTATTATTGTCATGTCCTCAGCCTAGTTGATCTCCATGTACTAAGTTATTGACTTAATCGACTGACGTATCAGTGGGGCCATTGTAGGAAAAAAAAAGAGCTAAGAAGAGTTAGGTATTATTCCTTTTAATCATTGGCCGCCAACGTCACGGTTCGAATACCAGACCTCGGCGGGTAGCGTCTTAGCCGACAATGCCCTCATTTTTGATAATGCACATATCCATATACATGTCTCTGCTTATATCAATCAAGCAAGTGGAAACTTAGTTTTAAAAAAAAGATAAGCTTTTATATTTTTTTGATTTTTATATATAGATATGGTTAACCAACGGAAAGCGTAAACATCTGACATCAAAAAGACAATTCGATATTAGAAACGAAAAGGATCTAGTTACTGTGTTGTTTAAAAAAAATTATAGATACGTTACCTTCGTGACGCATTCTTTTATCTCCCTCACAACACACCGAAGGTTGCACACTTCGAAAACCTCGGGATCCTTTAGTTTTTGCAGCTTTTCGTGAAACTCTGCTTCCTTCTCCTCCCAAATTGTGAATCTGAAAAGTAGATAGCTCAATGAGATTGCAAAAACAGTGTCCAACACTTTCCAAGTCAGTTTCTTGTTTTGCAGATATACGAGGGTAAAATCGATGTAAATCAGGAACCCGAAACGGAAAATGTTTTTTTTTGCTGCAGATATTAACAATTAGTTAATTGAAATTCAGTAGCATGCAACAAGTTTTACAATTTCCGGATTTATTTTGCATGCATTGAATTAAATTCATGTAACCAGAAATATTTGATTTTTAATTTCAATAGCAAGGCAAATTATGTGATAAAGATGAAATATTATTTGCATTAAGCTGACATTTATATTACGTCGCGAGGGAATAGCGCGCTTCGCCGCTAGTTCGACGTGAACAAACTCAATTGTCTCAAGCGTTTGATAATATTACCGCGAGCGCGGCGCGCGCAGTCGCTAGTTTGCCCGCTAATTAGACCGCGCGTGCGTTTCGTACGTGAACACTTGGATACTAAGCTAAGTCATATGTTTGATATATCGTGACCGCGACCGCGAGTCAACGTGATCAAGCACTTACATAAATTGTGTAATATATAAGATATAGTAATATAAATACATCATGGAAGGCATACCTTCTGGTATCATTATCAAGTCTTTGTAATGGCAGCAGTGGTCGGTTTAACTGCATATTGGTCCTCTTTACCCTCCTAGGATCGAAACCAAAGAGTATAACAGTTTTGCCAATGAACAGTATTTCCTGCGCCAGTGACAGGGGCATGAAATAAGGTATCATGCTCGGATTAATGTTGTAGCCACAGTCTAGTGACGTTTGTTGTAACTGTAAAATATATATTTGAAGTTTGTTTAAAAAGTTTTGATTGGTTTTTATCTTTATGGAATGCTTTCACTTTATATTCCAGGGAAATATGTCAAGCTTCATAAGTCGCTCAAGCTTTGTTAGGAGTCACGCAATATTACCTCAATTTACAGCCAATTCGCGAAAATCTAGATATTTTCCATAAACTACGCGAACATTTTTGAGTATCGGCTGTGACCTGTTACATTTTACTTTTGAGTGTCGGTTGTGCACCACCGAATCACGACATTCAAACCTACAAACCAAACGCGGTCTTACAACTCTGTACTTCGACGTAGGCCTCTTACGCGCGAAGGTGCTAACGTTGCTGAGATCAAGGGATACCCGTTTCGACAAAGTTGACGACTTAAATCCATTTTAGATCATAAGTCACAAGTAACCGTACACTCTGAAGATGCAATTGAATTTTTAAAAAATAGGCCATGTTGATGCACCCTTCAATTACTATTGGAAGTCTGCTGAGTTGCAAGCCCGATATGTAGGACTGTGACGGATGGCTAAACAGTAGCTAACAATAGTGACAGCCACCCTGGAACACGTGGTAGGTATGGGATTGGGGGCCCAAAGCTTAAATGCGCTTGTCAGACTCCGCACATTCTCTGCCATGTACCGTCAAGTGCAAAAATTACTTAGTCAAATTCTTTACCTATGCAGCGTGTCGTTATAACCGCAAACAACAAATGAACACACGTCTAACGCTACTTGCTAATAATCATAAAAAATATAAACGTTAAAAAAATCGATAATTAAAAAAAGAATATTTTTCAAAGCAACTAATTTAATTAAAAAGAAATAAAAATTCATTCAACCCATTCATATGCTTTGTGACCTTTACAAATGAACTTTACGTTACAGTTTTATACATAAGAGTGTTCTAAAATTGTTAGTTTTGGAAAATTTAATAACTCGGTAAATGTTGATGTATAAAGAATATAAATATTTAATACAATTTTAAAAAGTTATCCTCTATATAGGTGTTCATTTATTGTCGCGGTTGTAACGACATGTTGTATATTTAAAAAAGGTATATTTATTGAACCGAGTAACAATGTTGTTCACAACTATACTAACAAATGTGAATTTTTTTTTTACCAAGGTTTCGGACATCAGCCTCTCTGAAACGAGCGTGTAGCCCCTCTGATACCCATAAACTAAGTACTGGGCAATGACTCAGACAAATATCTAAGGTATTAAAGGATTGCATACTTAACATGATGTGGTGTTGTCGTGGTTATAGGCGAAGTCAACAGTATTATTAATTAAAATATATGTGGATGTATTATAAATGGAGTCTGATAAAAGTCTTGAAGAAACATTTGGTGACATCTGTATAATTTCATGTAACTATGATGTATATGAGAAAGAAAACATTATACACCATAACATTGTTAAAACTTCATAATTACTACAAACTGTTTAAAGCTAAAAAGCGTTTTTTTTAAATAGAAGAGAAGAGACTTTACATAAAATGTATATGTAAATAAGTAAAAAGAGTCCTTACTCATAGAAAGATAAATCCATAATATCATTGTTATATCCACCGGCTCTGATGTGTTTAATAATGTAATAATTAACACAAACATTTTAATGTATATTTTTAATTTCGTACTTACTGTAGTAACAAGAGATTTATCACATGTGGTTGTTGTAGATGGCGACGAATGCAATGTGTCTGAAAATTCATCCTTTTTGCTTCTATAAATAAAAAACTCCTCATAAGGATCTCTCAATTCTCCATAAAGCAGCCAAGTGCATAGTTGATTTACAAAGACCGTATTAATGCATGAAAATATTCTGTGAAAATTTCATACAATGTGTTTGATGATTTGTTTCCAAAATGTTTAATGAACAATACTACTGTGTATAAATAAGTAATAAACCAACTCATTTCTTTATGTCATGAAAATTATGAATTGATTAATATGGAGGGATATTAATTATCCTATATATTTTATGTATTGTAATTATTGTGCATATAATCTTAAAGGTTCCCAAATCGGTAAGTGCAAATTTTATATATTTATCTGTTTATAATTTTCCTTTAGGAATAAACAAAAACTGGTTTAAATAAATAAATTAATTAATTAATTAAATTTTGAAATAAGGATACTACTGTTTCACTTCAGACAATTTGGACACTTATTATTGCTATCAAGAACACTTACCTTATAATTGCATTATGAACCATTTCATTACTATTTAATATATGTTGATGAATTAGGCTGAATATTTGACAACCCATAAGTCTTCTCTCTTTTATGGTAACAATAATCCTGTTTATAGTATTAAATAGTCCTTGGAATTTCTCTACATAACTATGCACAAATGATAAAGTATAGTCTTTATTTCCAATTACTAACTTCTCTACATGTACTAATGTTTCCTTATAAGTTTTTAAGGTTTCGGTAATGCCTTCACTCAGTGCTTGGCCGTATAATCCAAAAGTTCTTCCTCCAGAAACTGTAAATTATATACATGAAAGTGTATGTTAATTATGACAATAAAAGAATAAATATGTTCCTAACAAAAGTTTCCTACAATTTACAGAGTCAATAAAAAATTTAAAATAATTACAATTATTAAGGACTATATTGCTTATTCTCTATACATTGTTTCTCAAAGGTGTACTTGTTGGTAATTTGGTATACCATTACTTCCATAATTCCCATACCAAATTATTACTGATACAAGCAACATTTTTCAGATTTAAATTTTTAAATTGCTAATCTGTACACTTAAAGACTTTCTACAAATTTTAATATAATTTTTCAGCTTAAATTCTATTGACGGAAAATGACAAAAAGATGGGTAAAATAAAGTTATTTAAAAAAAATCTACGGAAAATATGTTCAAATGAAAGATAGTGAAATAGACTGCATTATATTACCATTCAGTAACTCATCGAAAATCGCACGGGTTAATTATATATGTTCAATATGGCATAAATATATTTGCAATTAATAGAAAAATATTCTGAGTATACTTGTCTGGGATTTTCTTGAATTAAAAGACGTTGCCGCAATAAAATTTTGAATTTTGTGATGACTCTTGGCAATCGAACATATTCTGCTATAAATTTCTGCGTCTCCTTGATTAGCGTAGAGAGTTGGTTCAGACTGAAATAATAAACCTTACTGAAAAAAACATCTAAGTATCGCAACCTTATTAATATCAGGAAGAAAATAATACCAGCAACGCGTCACAATTGCGGGAGCAATCCCATAATACCAACAAAGCATCATGAATCATTTTTATAACTTTATTGAAGAATTAACTGCTTAACAATTATCGTTAAATTGTCTGTTAGTGGAATTTGAAATAATTTGTTTTGTTTGACTTCATTTCCCTATATACAAAAGTACTCTGTGTTTGACTTTTGATTTGAATTCTTATTTTACTTAATTGACAGTGACACTTGACAGCTTACTATGGCCCGTCCCTAGAGTATATATGTTCTGTGACTATGGCTTACTAACAGTAACAGGCATCCCTGTCCTAGAGTATATATATTCTGTAGTCAGATCAGACTAGGGATGCGCAAGGAAAGAAAATATATCGATATTTTGTAAAACTCGATAATAATCGAGACAAAAATATCGACATATTTTCAGTTTTCGCATGATTATTCATATATATTTACAACGATTCAAAATTCATAAAAATAATAGACATGAAGAAAATAGTTTTTTTAAATTTAACGATGCGCGAGGAGCATGCAAAGAGTATCATTAAACACGAAACCAGAGTAACGTTAAAAAATATATCAAAATCGACAAGAATTCGACGGTCTAAAATAGATTTTGATATATCGCGATAAAAAAATCGACGACATACATCGATAATTGTATGGAAGAATATCGATATGTTTTGCCCATGCCTAGATCAGACGTTTCGAATTCGATTCGATGCCCTTTCGGTTGTCGGTAGGCAGGCAAGTAAAAAAAAATTATCGATATTTATTGTATCTACATTTTTAAAAACTATCGATAATTATCGATTAATTGATAATTTTTTTTTTATTTTTTATAATTCCAATTCACTCAAAATTCGTGAAATAGACCTGAAGAAATAGTAATATTTATCATAATCGTGATTCATTGACCAACGCAGCGTTAAATGAAATCATGCAAACTGACATTAGTATCACGCTAAATAGTTGAAGAATTTAACTAATTGATCAACTTCTCATGATACTGAAGTTAGCCGACGTTTAATAATATTTGAAACTTTCTCAAACGATAAATTATAAATGAAAATATGTAAAAGAATTGTACTTAGAGTCTTAAAATTATCTATCCTTAAATTACTTATCCTTTCTTGATTTGTTGAAGAAGAGATCCGAAAATTGTTAATTGTTTGTAAACTTGAGGGTCATCTACGTCTCACACTGATGGTTTAATAGTATTAGTAATTAGTATTTTCATGGTTTCTTTCAATTCCGAGCCGATGGAACTCTCTACCGCCCCCGAACCCCTCAGAGCGGGCACCCGACAGGGATCAGTATTTAGCCCAATCCTATACTCGCTATATACAAGTGACATCCCCAGAATCTATAACATCGAGTTAGCTTTATACGCCGACGACACAGTATAATTCTCATCCGATCGCAAAAAAAACCAGGTCATTATCCGCTTGAAATCTGTGCTAAACGCCATTGGCGAATAGTTCAGAATGTGGCGAATCACGGTAACCCGGAGAAAGGTAAAGCTGTCATGTTTAATTGCCAATCAGGCAGAAACCTCACTCCCGTTAAATTATACGGCCAACCCATTCCATGGGAAAATAAGGCCAAATACCTCGGCTTCACTCTAGACTGCTGCCTCACCTTCAAAGAACACATACGAGCAGTAGTCAATAAAGCTACATTTGTGATGTTTCGCCTAGCTCCCCTCACTAGAGCGACAAGTAAAATGTCGCTAAAACATAAAATACATTTATATAAAACCTGCATTTCCCGCATATCCCTCCTAATAAATTAAAGCCATTACAAATAATTCAAAATAAATTCCTTCGTCATGCAACAGGCGCACCATGGTACGTGCGGAATACCGATTTGCATCGCGACTTAAATATAACATCCCTGTCCACTAACACCTATTAACATTGTTGACACCGTTAACACATGTTAATAAAGATGAACAAATCTCGTTGCTCTCATGAATAATTGTTTGTATAATTATTCATTCATAAGTGATAACGCAACGCCGGAGGTTCGAACTTCCATCTGAGGGGTCCTTGGATCGTGTCGTGCCCCCCCCCCCCCCCCCCCCCCGCGGGTTGCGGGGTGCAGCGGAGCGGACGGCGTCTTCTTGTCGTCGTCCTGCACCAGCTACGTTGTTCTCCCGAGTCCGTGGGTCGTCTGCCCGCGGACCTCTTCCGCCGAAGCTGTCAAAGCCGCCGGGCTAACAGCAAACTACACGTCACAAAAAAAAATATATTTTCAAGGTATTGTTACCAGGCCATATAATCTTTAATAAAAAAAAGTGTTATAGTACTCGCAACACCAAACCAGAATTGCGATAGAAAATATATCGAAATTGACACGAATTCGACAGTCGAAAATAAATATCGAATATCGATACATCAGTAATAAAAATATCGACGATCTATATCGATATTTATTTCAAAAAATATCGATATTTTTTGGCTTTTTTGCCCATGCCTAGTTAGACGGTGGTTATACAGATTACAGACAGAGACAGAGAATCGATTTGTTCTGATTCTGACTTTTCCTTTATGAACAAATACTTAAATAAATATATAATCTCTCTTAGATTGAGTACTGATCTGTTGTTCATAATGCATGTGCGGCAATCATAGGTCATAAACTTGCGTCTTCGCAGCCGTTGAGGCTTGAACTTCGAGACACTATTCGTTAGATTTTTGGGAATAAATCAGTTAAGCACAATCGATGTTTAAGTAACTAATAATGTGAAAAAACTCAGAAATGGCCCCTAAATAGAGTGCTTTGTCTCAATAATGTGCATTATTTGATAGAATGGCCGAGGCTTGCAGGCTCGGAAGTCAAATAGACAGAAAGACTGCAACTGCAAATGATGATGAATATTTTTGTGTATTTAATGTCTTAAGTGTATTCATATCACTAGTAACGATACTAGCTGACTTAACCACAGGTTTGTTTACTAATATTGGTAAATATTATGTATGATAAAACGATCGTTGAGCGATTTTTGTTGTGCTTATTTTTTTTTCCAAGTGTTAAACAAATAAGAGTTCAAAATTCAATTTAAACTGAAGTTGCTATCACTGTTTATATTTTTGCTTTTAATTTAAATTTTTGGGTCATATTCCGAAATGAAACATTTTTATGAATTATAACAAATTCTTTGGTTTCAGATATTCTTGTTTTTGCTGAATACTGTAAAGATGGTTACTTATATTGGGCTTTAGCAACTTTTATATTCATGCTGTTTCCTAATATTTTGATAAATATTTTTTCTATGAGATGGTTTATTATTGATAACAAATCAAGTATTAAGCATTGGATAACCCATGGATGTCTTGTAGGATTATTAGAAAGGTAAAGAAGATGGATTTATTTTTTTACATAAAAACACAAAATCTGTTATTTTTATAGTTTCCCTTATGTTTTCTTAATTTGTTATAAAAATTATAAATTATTGTTTTTCAGATATGTGATATTTTTGCGAAAAGTCTTTACATGCAAAAACTTGGAATCTGTAAAAACACAGAAATTAATATGTCAAAGAAATGATTTGAGTTTATTGCACTATTTGTATATTTTTAGTGGTACTATTCCACAAATAATTTTACAAACATATGCTATATTGATGTTAAATGAAAACTATCATACAAAAGGTAACATAAGTTATGAACCACATAGTATAATATACTTTCTCATACTTATAGCTTTCATTATGTTCATATATTAGATACATAATTGAAGAGATATCTGAATGTCTTGGTTCTTGCTTTTAATTTATTATACTAGAGTCCTCTGATTACAAATGCGCCTATTAAATTGTTAATTGCAAGAAAATGTTGCAAAGACATCAGCAAATTAGTTTATAAACATATTCAAGAAATGTATGTATACTTGTATTTATGTATTTATTGTATAGTTGAAGTAAACAAAAATAAAACTAACTAATAATAGCTAAATTTCAACTAACAAATCACTGACCCAATAATATATACCTTTCATTTATAAAACTGATTTTTATTTTCAGTATTTGCATTATCAGCATCAATAGCATCAGTGGTATGGGGCAGTGTTACATATATTTATAGCATCACCACAATATCAAATGAAACATTCCAATGGAGTTCATTAATCTTAAAATTAATTTGGCATTTTGGGACTTTAATAAGTAGGATAGCTGGTATACTAATATTTTCAATTGTTTTTGGAATATGGACATTATTACCATTGAGTAAGTTTTTTTTTTAAATTAAATGGGCATGACATTGATATTTTAAAAAAGTATGCCAAATTTTTCAGTTCTCCATTGGGCAGCTATGACATTCTGGATTGTAATACAAAAAACAACATTTTGCCCAAACAAATTGGAAGAAACACTTTACAATGCTGTTATGGGCTTTGTTTATTGCTTCTCTTTCATAAATTTACGAGAAGGCCAAACAAGATACAGATTGATGATGTTTTATACATTGATGGTCACACAAAATTTCGGTAGTTTGTTCCTATATGTGTTGATAACAGACTCTGACAAACAAAGGAAGCCATGGTCAATTGCTGCTACAATTTGTATAATTGTTGGGACTATTTTTGGTGAGTAAATTTCAAAACACACAACTCAAAAATTTATGAAATTGAAGTCAGTTACCTCAATTTCATAAAAGCATCTGGTTTGTTGTAAGAAGTACCTACTTTCCTTAAGATTATCTATTGATTGAACTCTTGAAATTTGAACAAAGATGTTTAACATATAAGCAGTCTGCTCTAAGTATTTATGGTGAAATAAACCACAACAATAATGTACAACATGTAGAAATTTTTTACTTTATTCTAATTTCAGGTATGATTGCAATGGTGTTATACTACAGATACTTCCATTCCAAGGGGCCGATTCCATGGAAATATGCAGAAGCTGATATTGAATTAAACAATAAAGTGTCCCACTCTTCTGGTAACAATGCTAATAAAGCCACTTCCTTGAGTCATGTGCGGTCTTTCAAGACTTTAAACAAGAATAAAACTGCCGAAACGTCTAGGTAGTATTCACTAAATAAGTTTGATGTATTTCACCTATTTTTGAACTGTAAATATAACTTTCAAGATTATTAATATTTACTTTTCCTTTTAGAAATGATACACCCGTAATAGAACCAGCATCACAAATGGAGCATGAGCATGCTGACAAAAAGTTTTTGCTAGATCATTGGATTGCTAGATCCGGATCTCCAACATTTACATCGGCGCCTGTCGGAAATATTAGTACTGACGCCTCTAGCATTGAAATATATTCTGTAGAAAACACTCCACAATTGACTGTAATAAAAAGAGACAATTCCAAAATAGAACAAGTAAATTCAAAATTGACTAAAAAGAAAATGATCAGCCCGCCTACAGAACTCACTTTGAATGTACCCTCTGTTGAAAACATAGAAAACTCTATTGACGAAATTACATCTATTTTCTTTACTCTGAATTTGCAAAAACGTCGCGGTATTTGCTCTTCAGATGTACTTCGAAATGAACTAACTAATTTAAATTTAGAAGCGTGTAACATTGTCAATGAAGAATTTGCTAAGACTATAAAAACCGACCACAGTTCGGAAATAAGTCATGACACCGACGGCTCCAATAAGAAAACGTCCTCAGACTCTATTGACATGGACCTCGACCTAAGCTTCAGTGATATAAACAGTTCAGACATTAATACATTCAATGAGAATATTGTACAAAAGTTATGTTTAAGTGCTTTAAAAAATATTAAAGTGGGTAATCAAGACGCCGACATCGAAAACATTCAAAGGATAGCTCTTGATATTCTTAAGGAAATGTATGCGAAAAAGGATAAGAAAAAGAATAATGCTAGTACTGATCTATTTAACGCCAAACAACGTGATTTAGATACTCCGACAGAAGTACTATCAGTACACGATTACGAAAACATTTGCGCAGTAAATATTGCAAGAGAAGCGTGGGGTCTCCGATCCTGGAATGGGTATTGTGACATTGAGAACTGGCTACATGATGGTAGTGTCGTTAGAGACCGTAGTCGAGATACTCTTACTTCTGGAAGTTCGGAAATCAGTAGTTGTATTTCACAAGATTTAAAGCATGCAATATTATCGGCACCCCCATTCCCTAAAAAGGCACACACATATTCCAATGTGTTTGTTAAATTTGATAGAAGCTCACAAGAAGACTATGCCAACTCTGTTGTTTGTCATTCCAACGACGAAACATATTTGGCGAAGCCATGTATGATTGAAAATGGGAAGGATCCTAATCATTTAGAACCTATTCTTGAAGAACTTGATGATTTAGGTGACGTGGATCCCGCTTGCAAAAAGAGACTAAATTCAGAAAGTTCACTTGTGGCTACTATAGATGAAATTCGTAAAGCAACGGTTACAAACTCCCCAAGAAATCTATACCATAGAAGGGAAAATCTTTTGGATTCGCCTCAGTTTCACTCTTCTTCTAAAATTGAGAGTAATCTAAAAAAAGCTCTTTGGAAGGAACCTTCCAAATTTGACTCGAGCAACATAATGGAGTCGTTACCGGAAAAAGAAAATATGTTTGATGTGTTCCCCCGATCTAAGTTTGATTCTAATAAGAAGGAATCAAATATTTCGTCATCCTCGTCGTCATTAAATTCGCAAGTGTCGTACAACAAGAGTACACCACGTAGACAAAAGTCCAATATATCAAAGTCCAAATCACACACTAAGAATAATAATAATAGATCTGAACAACAAGATTTGGCGAGTAAAAATATAGACTTTTTATGGCAAATGGTTTCAGTAAATTCTTTGCCGCTCAGTTCGACTGAGGATTTAACAGTGAGCCGTAGAACGCCGTCACTACAATCTCTTATACATAAAGATGCGTCTTCTTCTTTTGTGAATACGTCTACAAGTAAAATCTCGAATGTCAAAAAAAGTGTGCGAAACAGACCACGGAGAAAATTTTCTCTTCTGAGAGAGCGTTTTGAACCCAGGATAAGTTTACACTCAGATGAAGAGATTTTATACAATCATGCAGACAATTTGGTACATCAAGCTGACAATAGCATATTAAAGAACCATCTTGATGTAGCAAATGGCGGTATTTCATCACATAAGCATCAAGAATTTTCTTCCGAACAGAAATCGATAACAAGCACAAATATTTCAGATTTGACGTCAAACTCAAAACACGTAAGAGATAAGAAATCTTTGTTCATGAAACAGGTGTTAAGTCCTCCAAAATTTAACACAAAACTTAAACATAAGGTATAGGCTAATATTTAAATTAATTAAATTGTTTTATAATTCCTTGCCACAAAATACGTAAGAGTTAAGTATATTTTCTGTATGCCAAAATTTTGCCAAACAGTTGAGTAAATGATTATTTAAATTAACTAGGTCTCAAATTGTTGTGTAACATTTGACCGAATAGGAAAATGCCATTTACTCTCATTACAAAGACAGAAATAAGCCGCATGTTCAAGAAACTAAATGTATTATTTTGATGTTCCTAGTGTGTATTTGCTATGAGTTAGTTAGTACCTAATATATCGGAAAGTCATTTTAACATGGATCTCAAAAAGAGTGTAGTCATTTTTTATACCACTACCGGTTCAAACTGAAACTTCGATTGATGTATGGATACCTGAATTTTAAGTTTTTGATATTTTTATCAAATAATCCCTAATTACCTTTTTACTATAAGTTTAGTTCATCTTTTGATATGACTTTTTTAAATATTTTTACCGATGTATTCCGGGTGATATAACTAGTCCTAAGAATGTTTTAATGCAAACCAACTGTATAAAAAGAAGTTTAGAATTTTCATCTTTCGTCAGTTACTGTTCTACAATGTTAATAACTTTTTAACTGTGATGTAAGTGCCTTTCTTTATGATGTACTCCTGCCAGTATTGTAATTTTAGCTTTGCTATTTGTATATATATCATATTAAATAAAGACTTATATGCGCAACTCACCATTTATCAATAGTATCTAATTCAAAATGATTTGTTGAAGAATAAAACTAAAAATATTTTGCTAAGATACAAAAAACATTACAGAAATATAAATAAAAGTAGGAATACATTAAAATTCAGACATTACGTTTAAAACCGAGGCTAGATTGAAGTCTTGTGTCTGAAGTCGAAATAACCAAAGCCTCAGACTGGGGACGATTAAAATTAGTCGAATTCAACCTCAAAAAGACTCAAGTTTGTGCGTTAACCGCTAACAAGTCCTCATTTGTCGTAACTCCTTGAGAACACACCCCTATCTGCCACAATTAGTATCGGAATACTTGGCGTCGAAATCTCGAGCAACGTCCAGTTCCGCGGTGAATTGGAAGGTAAGGCTAAATTGGCTTCAAAGAAGCTTGGTGTGCTCAGCAAGGCGAGAACGTACATCACGGCGGCTCAACGCCTAAACTCTATAAGGCGCAAATTCGGCCCCATGTTGAGTACTGTTCTCATCTCTGGGCGGGAGCCCTCTATTATCAGCTTCTTCCATTTGACCCATTCAACGTAAGGCAGCTAGGGTTATCGATGATCAGAGTCTTTCCGATCGGCTTGATCCTTTGGCTCTGCGTAGAGATGTTGGATCACTCTGCATCTTCTACTGCTTTATTTATCACGGGGAGTGTTAAGAGATTTTTTTGGATTGATCCCGGTGGCTGAATTTCACCATCGGACATCGCGTCAGAACCAAAAATTTCATCCACACACCCTCGATGTCCAGAATTCTACAACAGCGCGATTTTCAAGGCATTTCCTGCCTCGCACAACCACTCTGTGGAACCAGCTGCCACCGGCGATCTTTCCGAACCGTTACGACCTGGGAACCTTCAAGAAGAGAGCATACTCTTTCTTCAAAGGCCGGCAACACATTTGCAAGTCCTCTGGTGTTGCAGGTGTTCATGGGCGGCGGTAATCACTTACCATCAGGTGAGCCTTCTGCTCATTTGCCTCTTTTCTCCATAAAAAAATGGCCAAATAGCAAGCTAACAAATACGGTTGAGTTCAATTTGATCCCGCTGAGGTGGTTTCTAATTTAATTACAACATCACTACAAAGTATAAAACAAAGTCGTCTTGCTGTCTGTCTGTCCCTATGTATGCTTAGATCTTTAAAACTACGCAACGGATCTTGATGCGGTTTTTTTACTAGAAAGAGTGATTCGAGAGGAAAGGTATATAATATATTGCACCCGTGCGAAGCCAGGGGTCGTTAGTAATATATACAATTTATAAAATTAGAACTGTTTCATTATTCTATCATTTTTTGCGGGGGTGAACTGTACACACTGGCACAATTAGCGGAAAAAGGCATTGTGTAAAAACATGTAAAATCGTCTTCGTTATGGATGATTTAATAAATAAAGTTTCCGATAAAAAGTGGAGAAAAGTGTAGGTGACAAATCTTAACTCTTCATTTGGGCCGATACATTTGTTTTGAGGGCTCGTCTAAGGCAATCTACGCCACTGCTGCTAATCTTTATCATGTCTATATTGTTTTAGTTCCAGAAACTTACTGGTAATAAAAACTACCTATTAAGATATTTTTACTATTTAGTTTTTTTTGCAGATCGATTCGTATTTTATTATCCTCATACATCTCTGTATATTTATTTAAGTCCAATTTAAATTTAACTGACAAGATTTTAACTAAATAAACATAAACACTTATACATACAATTGTGTAGTGAATAAATAGCTTGTTTAATTAGATCAATTCCTTAAACTAGGGAACTAGGGGCCTCATTCAGCTTTATCGCCCTGGGCCTATGAAGACCTTAGTCCGCCACCGGTTCAGAGACCGGAGAGGCTCAGACCGATATCGGATTAACGTTAACCACGCTAAGGAGAGTTCATGCAGGAGCTAAGGGGAAAATATGGGACAAACTCATGTAGGATATTTTGCCGCACGGACACTGCCTTCTGGCGAGACGCTCCGCACCTGGCCTCGACAATATCCATTACATTTTTCATAGTCAGTGTACTTATTTGTAAATTCCATTCTTATAAGAACTGCCTCTAACTTAGCGAGAGTCGGCCTTTCCTAATGTAGCGCTAGCGGTCAGTTTATGAAATAAGTTCTTAGGGTTTGTAATCCCATTTTTTTTTTATTTTACACATATTGCCTTCGAGACTTCTTGCCAAATTTCATGATTCTAGATCAACCAGAAATACCCTATAGCTTTTGATTCCCTTGCAAGTGTTAAAATATGTGAAATTAACAACTGTAACTTTTGACTCGGGAGTTTGGTTTCTTCACGACTCCAGATTTCTGACCTGAATATTTGATATTAATTTCAATTCGATACCTCCACGCGCTCCTAAGAAAAAGAGCCTGGGACAGATAGATGGTATGGAACCTTGTCCTGTAAGAAACTTAAACAAATCTCTTTTACCTTGTCAATAAATTTATTAAGACAACAAAAATGATAATTTATAAAACAATAGCGAGATAAATATTTATTTAAAAATAAATTAACGCAACAGCCATGTTTTCGTCCCTTCTCTAATGAATACAAAATTGAATATGCATAACATAAGGCACTTAACCTAAAGCATTTATAATGCCATTTATTATCCTAATTGACATTTTTATATCACATGTTACATTATATTGAAATTTAGAACATTATCCTTTTTGTACATATCAGTCCAAATTCAAAAGTTAAACATTTTAAAACAATTTCAAAAAATAACTATTTTTGAATTAGTATATTTCATATCTATGTATATTTATTATTAAATATTAAAAATATTAAATATGTCGTAAATATGGTTACTTAATTAAAAAAATAATAGATATATCAAAGGCAATTAAATGTTTTATACATAATAGACCATGGCTAAAGTCGGGGAGTTTAGTTTTTAAAGGTTCATTTTTGCATTTTCTGAGAACATTTCCCACAGTAATGTATATTTTTTTACACCATCTGAAAATTGAGATTTCAACGAACAAAAATTTTAAAAACCTGATATTTATTGACGCTAAGAATTTGTTAGAATTTTTCGAAATTAGGTTGCTTTTACGATATTGAGTCAAAATAACGTAAATAATTAAAGTTATATCTATATACATAAATATTAAAGTGAAATCAAATAAATTAGTGTATTTGAGTCATAAAAAGGAGTTTTCACCAAATTTAGTGAAAAAAAAATAAAAAACCAAAAACAGTAATTTGAATTTTTCACATAAATTTTAAGGTTAAGTGAAAAAAGTATAAATATAAAAGTTGAGGATTTTTTTATTACCCACAACTTTGCGACTTAACTTTTTTCCATAGGCCTTGTAGTTTTGCTGGAAATCGAGGTAAACCGTTTTTTCCCTTATAACCTCACTCCCCAGAACTTAGATCGCCCGCAATTTATTTTTCCTTTCATTTTTATCATATTCCCCTCCTTTTCCAAGGAGTTTCATACTACTGTATTTTTTGGTTACAAAAATTAATCGTTTATAAAAAGTGATTTTTAGTTTTTATAAATATGCATATTAATATTTGCACATTGCTAATACGACATTTATCAAATTGTTATTAGGAGAAAACATTGAATACCTCATTAAGGGGAAAAAATTAAAAGAAATCATAGATCTGTGGTCATTACTTTAGTAAGATGACGAATACGATGGGCATTACAAGTTTTACATAGAATATGTCCATCAAGAGGGTAGCAACCATGCCCTTTAGCTTCAGAAGATAACATGAGACCACAGTCTTCACAACGGTAACAGCGTACATGGAAACTGCGGTCTAATGCAACAACACGTACTGTTTCTTCTTCACCTTCTTCAGGCATAATTGGTAATTCACAGACACAGCAACGAGGAGCAAATTTCAGTTGAAAGTCTTCAATGCAATGGACCTGATTGGTAGCATCAACCGTAAATGGTATTCCATCTAAGCTTTTTCCACATACTACACAAGTAAAACATGTTGGATGATATGGTTTTCCTGTAGCTCTAAGAATCCTATCAAGGATGGGTTTATCACAAACAGAGCATTTCTCTAAAGTTTCATAATAATCTGCTTCACAATAAGGTTTACCTTCCACTGCATAAAATGGTTTTCCTTGTAAATTTGTGTTACAAATATGACAACAAAAGCATTTTACATGATACATGTTGTCCATTGCAGTACACCCTGAATTTTCACCAACAACTTTTTCATTACACTTTATACATATACCAAAAATATCTAAATCTTGACTATCTGAAATGGACTGAACAAGAAGATTGGTAAGTGCATCAACTTCTTCTTCTTTTGGCAATGGTGACTTAGATTTAGAATTATGAACATTGTTGTTCTTTCCATGAACATTGCCATGCAAATGAAGATTTATTGGTTCATACAGTGACTCATATGTCGATGCCTGTGAAACTCCATACTCAGGATATTCATTTTGATATATTGGAGGATAAGTTCTTTCTTGGTTAAAATTAAGATTTGTGGTTGCCCTTACTAATTCACTGTAGTTAGAACTCACTGGGGATGGTGGGGGTAAATACTCTTCAGTATTGTTTTCAAAAGATGGTGTAGTATACAAAATAGACTGTGTCATATGAGGGGGAGGTAAAGGTGGCGGTGGTGGAGGAGGAAGTGGTTTATTTTGATTAAGTTGATATCCAGCTATATTGCTGTAAGTTGGTATATTACTTTTTAATTGTGTTGATGATTTACATGTAGGATGAAGAGAAGCATTATGATTTATATTTGCGTATTCCTTCTGAATAGGCCTTATATTAGTAGAAAGCATGTTACTATATGTAGGTGGGTTGTTATTAAAACCTGGTGATATTTTTGAAGAATAAGATGGTTCCCGGAGTGTATTAACTAAGGCGCTGCGTGGTACTTGTGGTTGTGCTTTCTTTTTCGGGGGTACTGCTGGAGGTATCTTTTTCATTTTTCCAGGTGTGTTGCCTTCTTTGCACATTTGTAGGTCAGCTAATTGCCTATCCAAGGCATCGATATTGTCCATTCGTGACATTGAAAAGAAAATTGAGCTTTTTTGGCACGTTTTATCACAACTTCACTTCTATTCTATTATCATTAAATTAATTTAATAATCTTGTACAAAAGCTTCAGTTAATACGTGGTGGAGAAACAGAAACAATGAAATGAAATGAATCACAGATCATAACATAAATACAGAGTGTAGAGCGCGTGTGTTACCAATTTACCACTGACTGAAATAGCACTATATTATTCCTACAAGTCTGCATAAATATAAAATATATTATATATAAATTGAATTGCCCATTGCAACCTTATTATTTTAGAAGTTGTACTTCTTTTGGCGAGTTTGAAAAAAATTTGAGAGTGATCACCGAGTTGAGCTGAAGTAAAATTTACAGATTAGATTAGGAAGTATGATGCGCGCGCGCAATGACAGGGAGTAACGTCTAGGACTAGACGTAAAATTGAATATCGAAATCATATAATAAATAATCATATAAAAAATATATGAGCCGTGATAGCTCAGTGTCCGGGCGCTCGCCTTTAATTCAATATACTCGAGCAACCTGAGTTCGATCCCCGGTGCCGGCACCAATGAAGTTTTTAACTTTAAGTGCTGACTTATCACGTGCTCCGCGGTGAAGGAAAACATCGTGAGGAAACCTGCATATTTCCGAAATAATAACAAAAAAAAATCGAAGATTTGTGAAGTCCGCCAATCCGCAGTGGGGCCGCGTGGTGGACTTATGCCCTGATACCCTCTGTATAGAGGAGGCCTTTGCCCAGCAGTGGGACATGTATAGGCTGTTACTTTACTTTACTATAAAAACGATATACGAAAGATGTATATATATATATATATATATATATATCGGCCGCGAATGCCTAAGACGTTCGATTCCCATAGCGGCGACAATCTTTTCGTACTTTTTCTACAAGTTTTAATGTTTAATCTTAAGTGCAGAGATTAGTACTACACACATAGTTCTCCAATATGGTAAGCAGCGGTGTCGACTGGCAACGTTTCCATAGACGTCAGCTATATTGTCCGGCGTGGAAAATAGCGGTGTCGGGTTACGTGGTTTCAGCAAAACTTGACTCGTGGGATTGTGTGACAATGTTGCAATGTAGACGCTGCTTAGTTACACTTTTCTATGGGAACGGAAAATAATAGAGAAGATTTTTTAAAGTTAACGATGCACGAGGAGCGTGTAAAAAGTATCTAGTAACATTGATTACAAAACTAGAGTTGTGTTAAAAATATATCGAAACTGACATGAATTCGATACTCTAAAATAAATATCGAATATCGATATATTACGATAAAAATATATATCGATAATTCTATGGAAAAATAATTTTTATACATCGATATTTTCTGCCCATGCCCCATGCCTAATTGACATTCACATTTCACACTGTAAACTGCAGTAAACTAGACATAGGTTTGAAAACAAAATTACATGTTTCAATTTTTTTGTTTTCATTATATCGTTATAAAAGAAGAATTCTTGCTCGCGTTTTGAGTTGTGACTGTTTAATTTAAACCATGCAGTGTCAACTATGGATGGGCAGCGTGAGTAATTTTTCTTTACCATGGTAAAACGCTCCTCGACTTAATATTTATTATAACATCTTGGGTTTGGGTTCCAGTTAGAGCCCAATATGACAGAAAGTTTTATTATGGCTGCTTTTCATCGAATGGGACAAAGGCCATTAGCTGTAAAAGTAATGAGAAACAAATTTACTGGTGAACCTGCTGGGTATGCATTTGTGCACTTTCAGGTAAAGTTTATAAAATTCATTAATCGTGTATAATTGGCGCACTAACGTTCATTTATTGTTATTAATGCTGGACAAAATTTTTGTGGTATATTTTTTACTTGATATGGTGTTTAGCATGTATGTATAATAATATTCTAATTTTAGCCTATGTGAGTATCAACAGTATTAACTCCACACATCGGTATTGTTGAGATAATCCGCAATGGTATATTATGCCATAAGTTTACTTTTAACTTTGCGTTTAAATTGGTCAACTGGCGGACTTAATATTGACTGTGGGATTTTATTATAAGCTATTTACTTTTTGACGAAACAATGATGTAATTAATTTGTCCTTATATCTAGTAAATTAGTTTTTGTCTGTACTGTGTGTTTATGTAGGTACTGACATTAATAAAATGGAAGATTCCCTTAGTGAAAATAATAAGTTTCATTTATTTCTTCCTATATAAAGTAAGCTTCTCTAATGATTATTACTTTGTAAATGTCATATGTGTTTCTGTCTCTAATATATTTATGCTGAAAAATGTTTAATAAAATACCTTTAATTCACATAACAGACTGATGAAGAAGCCATAGATGCCATGCATAAGCTTAATGGGAAACCTATCCCAGGTACATTCCCTGTTGTGCGGTTTAGATTAAATACAGCATCAAGAGAAGCTCGAGCCAACATGCAACAAGAGCGAGAATTTTCTGTGTGGGTTGGAGATTTAAGTCCTGAAGTAGATGACTATTCATTATATAGAGTTTTTGCCGCTAAGTACTCCTCTATTAAGACAGCTAAAGGTAAGATAAATATTATTCTAGTTCATTTGATCCTTTGAAAGTACTAAACGTAAATATTGTCTTTTTTTCATAATACAGCAAAATGTATTCATTCAATATTATTAGTTACATAATAATTTAAAAAAGGAATTTTGATAATCATATAATATAAAGATCAAAAAATCATTTAATCCAAAAGTAATTTTTCAATAGCATCTGTATAACACATTTCTACATATACTTCAAATTCAAATCATTTATTCATCGAAATATGATTTCAGTGATTCATTTTTATGATTTCAGTGATTTTAGACAGCTCGGGATATACAAAAGGGTATGGCTTTGTTAGGTTCGGCAATGAAGAAGAGCAACGAAATGCTTTGTATGCAATGAATGGTTACACTGGGTTGGGCACCAAGCCGCTCAAAATATGTACAGCTGTCCCTAAGCCTAAAGGTGTAGCAACAACTCAGAATGCTACTACTGCAACAACAACAAATACAACATACAGCAGTGGTGCAGTAAGTTTCTTTTATAAGACACCATATCCTAGGTTCCTCAGTTTATATTATAAAGGTTATTATTTTCGGTTTTCATTCTGAAAAATAATGCTTTTTTGATTCTTTCATAAGACTAAAAATATGATGTGAATTTCTGACCTATGACATGTGTGATGTGGTGTAGGTATAAAGTATTGGCGTGGGGTTGGTGATGGAAGTATGCTAGCATTGTGGAAAGTGGAAATACATATCTAAGTTAATCTTTGCCTATTCTTCTAGGTGGTAAGTGTAACTAATAATGTATGGATATTTTCATATATTCACATTTTCAGGAGTACAACCAATATTACGATCCGTCGGCCTACTGGCAAAACTATTCGGCGTGGTCTGGTTACTATGGGCAGGGAGAGCAGAATACCGCCGTAGCTCCGCCGGCCCCCGTGGCGGATACTGCACAGGCCGCTGCTGTTAAAGCACAAAACGATGACCTAGCTTTAGTTGGTGAGTCCAATTGATGAACCTATCGCTCTTGCATCCAATCAACTCATAAACTTTTTCTTTATTTGAAATTTGGTTTTTTAATTTTTTATATCACACACTGCTTCAATGAAAAGTTAAATGAAACTATGGGTCTGTCCCATGACTATGAATCCTGGAAAGGGTTCGAAACGGCGGGTATTAAAAGTCAAAGGAAATTAAAGGAATAACAATTTTATTTAACCATGTTAAATTAGACTTTTAAGTAATATTTTCTATCTGAACTTGTGTATAAAACAAAACATATTTTTCTGTTTTTGGAAGGAATTACATTTGTGTACATATATTGTTAAATTTTCAGACCACAAGAAAACCATAGATATTGAAGAAATGAACCAAGATTTTGTAGATCCAGAAATAAGTTTATGGGATGGTCTTGAAGCATCACAATGGTTCCCAAATGAAGTGATTGAAGCACATTAAACATATATTAAGATAGTACTTATTAAAATATAAAAATTGGGACTTTTTTTGCCAGTTTTCACTTACTTACCTTTACTAAGAATTTCTCTCTCTTTCTTTCTATAGGGTTATTTTTACTTTATCTGTAGTTGTTTGATGACTCTGACCGGTATATCAAATGTACCAATAAACTGAGAAGATACAATCTAATTTAATTGACCTATGTGCATTTGCGATGTCGTGATTAATATAAAAAAAGTAAGCTGCAGATCAGGGTTTTAATGGATTCTATTCAAGTTTATTTGAAACTGTAATTCTTAGATAAATCTCTATTATATTATTGGTGAATTTACTATGGTATGGTATTAAAAGAGTTAAAGAAATGATTCAGTAAGAAGTACGAAAGTTGCTCATGTGGTAGGTTAGTTGGTCTGTTGTACTACTAACTTCATCGTTTATTTATTGCAAGCTAGCTAAACTAAAACTTATTGATATTTATTGTTAATCGTTGGCTTTCGATAGTTTTTCTTTTTGAACCACAGTACAAAAGTTAAGTTAATAATTTGGAGCAGGCATCCCTAAATACGCATACATTGACAGTTTGCTTACATTATGTAATGTACACGCATATCACGCACTGTGTCTTGTTGTCATTTTACAAGACGCTTAAATGAAGGGTGTCGAGCGAGACATTACGTATTTCGATGAGTTTTCTATAGTTACTATATGGTAAGGGTTTTATCCTTCGGTGGTTGTCCGAATGACAGTTAAACACAACCACCAACTATTCTACGGATCGACCTCAATCTACTGCAGTTTTACTTGTTTTAATTTTTTTGGAATCACGGGTTCGAGTCTAGTTACTCACAAGTTGTTCTAGTCACCTAGTGAAACAGTGTTTCATACTTACTAATAAATAGACTTCATTATTATTATTATTCTAGGCTCGTGGTAGCTGTATGTGTTAATAAAGGAAACATTTTAAGGATCGTTAATAAATAAAACTACTAGATCACTAGATCGTTTTATTAAATTAGAAAACTCATTAATTACATAAATTATGTGCGTTATAATGAATAGTGTTCAAAGAAACTGCTGCCAATGGATAAGTCTATTAAATAATAAAAAATGGTTCGGTTTTTGTGGACATTGTTAAGTACAACTATTACCAACTAAAAACAAAATGGCCAAATAAAAAAAATAGCTGTCCTATATTGTCGTATAATAATGCATAAAGCTAAAAAGATCTATAAATGCAAAAATTCTAAATGAGTATACAATAGAAAAAAAATACATCCAAATGAAAAGTTATATTTCATATAGCTCATTTCGTTCATAGTTCCCTATAATTAACACAATTTGTTAATCTTATACCTATGGTAATAGTTAGACAAGTACAAAATGATACTTCATTCTTAAAAATATCTATACGTAGCCTAAAACTAAAAGTCTGTTGTATAACGAATTACAACAATATTTGTTATCTGTTCTCAAAAGTGACGACAGACCATCTGTCAATATATATCATGCATTGTGTCAGGCGTGAAAGCGGTCACTTCAAGATTGCACGCCAAAATGAAAACTGCGTGCGGACATTCACCACACACACGTCCATAGCGCTTTCATGGTCAATACATTCAATATAAACAACACACACACGCACTACCAATATACTTATATTGTTTGGAAGAACTACGCTAAAGGCTAAAGTGTTACGTTTTCGATATGTTTTTTTTAATTACATTATTACATAACATTTCACAGACGATGGCACAAATTTAGCCAAAACCCAGTCACTGTTGCGTTGGTCTTCCACGTGACTAAGAAAATAAAAATGTATGACATAGCTCCAAAATATGTGTTTAAATATAGGATATATATATTTAAATAGTCCGTGCGTGTTAGACTTTATTAATTCAGTCTACCGGCTAATATAATATACCTACTTCAACAATAACTAGTTAATATTATTTCATTGTGAAGTATCAGTTCTTACATTATTGAATGTAATCAACACCATAAACATGCATACCAGATTAAACACCTAAATATTTCACAACTACTTCGTGACAAATACTTAAATTGTATAAGAAATTCGTAGTCACAAACATTGTGCACAATTCCTTTCTTCACGTTATGAGGTTTCGCTTAATTCAATATTCTCGTAATAAATGCATTTGTAGTTTTAAACCAATTTTTTTTTAAATTCCACTTTATAACATGGCAATGTGTCAAAATAAATAAACAAGAATCGAATAGCTGCATATTGTGGTCGACTAGTTAAGCTGTATTCGCAAATGAAAGCAACAATTAAAACGAACATTACGTTGACCCGTTTCACTTTAGGTTGTGTTGTAAGCAACGGTGGCGGAACGCGGTCGCTTCACGCTGATGGGTGGTTAGGGCGGCGGCGGCGCTTAGGGCGGCACGTACGGGGGCGGTTTCCTGTACGTGGGGGTGGCCTTGGGCCGGGGCGGGGTGCGGGAGGCGGCGAAGGGGGGCGGGGGCCGGTACGGCGCGTCCTCCCCCCCGCGGTAGTCGGGCGCGGGGGGCAGCAGGGGCGGCTTCTCCTCGCGCATGATCACGGGGCTCTTGTGCACCGGCTCAGCGTCAGCTCTCTCCTCCAACTCGTCCTGGAAGATGACCGGAATGCCCTTGGACCGGAACGCCTGCCGCTCCTCCTCGTCGCCGACGCTCATTTTGCCTGCGAATTCAACGGGCGATTTTTGAGTGCACGGAATAAGAAAAAAGTGCCGATTGTCGATTCCATAATGTTCGAAGCGTGCGACGCGTTGCGTGCGAGCCGTTCTGCGGTGGTTCGATCAAGCGGAGTCAGCGACTGTAACGGAGTCTGTACGTCGAACGGAAAGGAAGCGTATCGTGTACAAGTGTGCTCGCTACATTCAAAATGTCTCAATTGAAAATCACCTTTGAGCTTGACTCAAGCAATCGCAGCGCCTACGGTCAAAATTTTGATTAGAATTTTTTTGTTTCAAAGTTTTATCATACAAATTAACATAAAGGACTTGACATACCCTGTTTAAATAACAAGAATTATTATTTGTCCACAAATTTTAGAATTATACAGGGAGGCTTTTCTAAGTGTATCCATTTTTTGTAATTAAATTCTAGACATAAATAATGTTATATAAAACATGATAAATATTTTAAATCACTCGTAAGTAAATAATTACATTCATTTGAACTTATCTCAAAAAGTGCGTGATTTATAGGCAACTCTTTTATTTTACTCATAACTAAAACGCACACAAGTTCGTTTGAGTGCATGAACAGTAAAAATTAGGTATGTATGAATGACTACCGCGTTGTCAACAAGTTCTGTTTTTTTAGGGAATAGAATGATAATTTAAAAAAAAAGTATATATTTATTTCAATAAACTATTATACTACCGAGTCTGAACCTCCTGTGTAAATTTGGGCACCTTTAAAAAAGTCTCCCTGTATTTAGATAATTACTACATGAATAGAGATAGAGATTCTTTTTATCTTGAAACAAAAACAATCATAAATTATATCTGAAATCAATATTCCACAATTTAAAATTTGATTATATACACAAGTAAAAAAAAGAGTGTGCTTGGACCACACGACTGAAGTAAAACTTCTTAAGCTCCATCTATACGTAGTCTGTTTCTTCATCTGTAAGTAATTTACAATTTTATTTACTTTAAACGTAGAATATTTCATGTATTGTACAATATTATTTTATAAAGTTGTTCAAGAACGAAATGAAATTACGAAACAATCGAAATCACCGTTCGCTTAACATCACACTTTCGTAACGTTCTCTTCACGAATTCCCCAGCTTTACTTGAAAAGTTTCTATTCTACCGTCACAACTTATCCATCGAACGAATTCACGAAGACAGTCGATAACTCTCTAATAATACGATTACTACTTTAATATGATTAATAAGGAAGCAGTAATTGGAACATTATCTATACAGATAAATAAAATTGGAGTGTTTGTTTGTAATATTAAAATAACCGATTTTTATTAAATGCATATGGATATATACACGGTATGTATACCAAAATAAATTTTTTACAATTTTTGTCTGTCTGTTTGTTCTGGCGAATCTCTGAAACGGCTGGATCGATTTGGACGGGACCTTCACTGACAGATAGCTGATATAGTAAGGACTAACTTAGGCTACTTTTATTTTAGATTTTTTGTTATTTTAAATTCCACGCGGTCGAAGTCGCGGGCACAGCTAGTAATAAATAAATAAGCAGTAACTCCTCACCGGTGCGCCGCCTCTTGTACAGCACGCAGGCGATCACGCCGGCGACCAATATCATGCAGACTATCACCACGGCCGGTATCACGAAGGTGACCAGGTAGTCCGAGTAGTCCGCCTCGGCGCCCGCCTTGCCGTTCCGCGGGTTGGAGCCCGCGCCGGCAGGCGCCGCGCCCGCCTTAGGGGTCTTCGTGTTCTGGTCGGCGCACAGGCCCTGCGATATCAGCCGGATGGACATCACTTTCAGCTCCTTGTCGAAGATGTGGTCCACCCGCTCCCTGAGGTTGCCGCCCATCGAGCCCCTGTCGTCCACGGTGATCATCTTGCGCAACTCCTCGATCTCCCGCTTCGGGCAGCGGTCCATCGGGAGGCTGGTGTTGTACCTGGCCGAGGTAAACCGATGAAATTAGGTACAGCTTTTATAATTTTAGGCTAAATAATTATTATGTACGCGTAGTCCAGGGTCATGTGGAACTCCACGGTCGGCCTGATCGTCGGCGCTTTCGCCACTTCCACGATGAGGCTGTCGTACGCACTTTTCTTGCTGGAGTCCTCGGCAATCTGGAAGAGTTGATATGACAAAAGTATGCAGAATGGACGAGAAGTTTTCCAACAAATTTTAATTTCATCTTAAGTGCAGAGATAAGCACTGTAAAAAATAAATATAATTTAAACTTTAAAATATATTGTATTTAGACTTTTTAAAGTAAGGGAAATTTTATATATTAGTTTCTTAATCCAGCCCTCTATATAAAAATACACTATTTGAGGTAGGATGATTGTCATCTCACTATTAGGCAAAGGCCTTCCTCTTCTATATCATCCTTATGAATAGATTACTTTAGTGCAAAATTACTATCTTCTTCTTCAGCGTGTGTTCGCCCACCGTTGGGCATACGCCTCTCCAATTTTCTTCCATTCGGCAAGACTCCGTGTTTCCCCTGTCCAGACTGGGCAAAATGACTATATTATAATTGCACAATACTAACGAGCTGGTAGTGCATGGTGCCCTCGTCTGCGGGCAAGGGCAGCCCGTAGAACTCCTGGTTGCGGGCGTCGAACTGCAACCAGTGGGTGGGCGGCAGCTCGGTGCGGTCGCTGCGCCGGAGCGACAGCGCCAGGTTGCGGGTGCCCCCGTCCTCGGGGTCGAAGAATGTGTCCTGTGTGAGAAGCGAAGTCAAGTGAAGTCAAGTGAAGTCAAGTGAAATCAAGCTCGGGTGAAGTGAAGTCAAGCTCGGGTTAAGTGAAGCAAAGTCCAGCTGACGTGAAGTGAAGTCAAGCTAAAGTGAATTAAAGTCAAGCTCAGTCCTCCCGGTGCAGACGTCCTTTAAGGCGAATCGTGTGGACTATGCCCTAACACATAGTGACCGCACCTAGGATTGGGCGACTTCACATATTTTTGAAATGTTTCTTAAGTTATCATTTCGAAAGATATGCGCGTTTTCCAAAAATATGTAATCTACAATTTTTCTTTTACTCTACATTAAATTTTTCATATTAATTACCGTTGGCTAAAATCTAGCCGAGGGAGCATAACTAAAATCTTGAAGCGGGAACGAGGCACAAAGCGATTGGGGCGAAAGAGATAGCAATTTATTATTTCTCATTTAGTAGTTCCAAAATTTGGGAGCTGTGTACACTACGCAGAGCACGCTAAAGTAATTGTACCAACGAGTCTTCTCAATGGCTATTCACCTCGCTGACGAGCATTTTAGAGGTTACTGACCCCCGTTCTAAGAGGTCACTGACCCTCCGCACCTTTCGGACGAACATTCTTAGAGGTTACTCACCTCGGGCACCTTGTAGACGAGCAGGTGGCCCACGGTGGCGGTGAGGTGGTCGACCTGGTTGCGCGTGACGGGCGGGTACGTGTCCGGGGGGCGGGTGCGCGGCGGGGGGGCGCACCTGCCCGCGCCCCTCCACCGCACCGAGGCCACCTTCAGCTCGGGCGACATGGCGCGCGCGAGCGCGGCCGACGGCGCCCCCGGCTCCGTCTCGGACTCCATTATCTGCGAACGAACGCAACGTGAGACGGAGGCGAGAGACGTGGGATTGGGAAAATGTAACATCATCTGGCTGTTCGGTGCGATTTCATCCGCGATACGGCTTCCGCCTTTTTAAATACTCTTTAGACGTTAAATACCTTCCTCGTGAATTGGGCTATCAATTGCGAAAATAAATTTTGAAATCCGACTATTAGTTCCAGAGATTAAACAAACGAACAAACCCTTCAGCTTTGTTACATTAGTATAGAAAGGTGCCCTGAATCGATATTCATGTTTCGGTATGTAATTCGCTTTTTATTGCTATTGCGAAATGCAGTGGAACAATATTAGAAAAAAAAATTATTAATTAATATAGACTCGTCCACTCTTCTCCTTAAAAAGCTAGGGCAAAAAATAAGAAATATATTTGTAAAAATATATACACGAACAAAGAAGGAAGCACAGCCTGGGCACAACAAATTTAGTTGACATGTGGTATTTTCTAACGGAGGTAAAGGCTAATTAAAATAAAAAAAAAAAAGTCACCGCCTACTGTATAATTATAAGAGCGTGATAATTTCCACCGACATATTCCTAACCGGATACAGATCGTGTCACAGCACTAGTGACTGGCCGACCGGTCGTAAGCGAGTCAAGAGGCTCAAGGTCACCTTCATCAGCCGTCCGATGTCGTCCATCGGGCACGAGGGGTCCCGCGGCAGCGTGTCGTTGGTCCACGCGTACTCGCAGAGGTCGCCGTCGGCGGTCGCGTTCAGCACCGTCAGGTGGTCCATGTCGGTGTCGCGGAAAAGGTTGACGATCCCCTCGAGCGCCCTTATCTGCCAGTCGACCGCGCTCGCGAAGCCCCCGGCGAGCTTGAACCGCATCACGAACTGGTGGTTGACCGTGCGCCCGCCCCGGTGCTGCTGCACGGTCACGTCTAGGGGCCCCCTCGCCACTAGGCCCTCGCTGTCGCGCGCCTCCACCACGAAGTTCCAGCGGGAGACGTGGGACTCGAGCGGCCTTGAAAAAAAAGTTAACTATCAGCCCACACATGTCCCATTGCTGGGCAAAGGCCTCCTTTGCCCCCTGTGTACAGAGGGTATCAGGACATAATGCGGACTGGCGGACTTCACAATTATCTTTTTTTTTATTATTATTATTATTTGTAAAATATGCAGGTTTCCTAACGATGTTTCCCTTCATTGCCGAGCACGTGATAATTCATCACTTAAAATTAACAATTTCATTGGTGCCGGCACCGGGGATCGAACTTAGGTTGCTCGAGTATATTGAATTAAAGGCGAGCGATCGGACACTGAGCTATCACGGCATCAGCAGTCTGCAACCTTGTAACGTAACATGTAAGTCTGGACAGGGGAAACGAATAGCAATACTAAATGGAATACGAACGGCAGGCGAATACACGCTGAAGAAGAAGATAAAAAGACTTCATTTCTCCTGTAGATCTTATATATAAAAAATATATAATAATAATAATCCTAGTATTTTTTTTTAAACTACTTTAATTCTAATACTTGTTTATTTACTTAATATATGTTACTTATTTAGTATACTTATTACTTTTCCAATCTACAGAATCCCAAGTGGCATTTAATACTAATTAATAATAAACACGTACCGCGTGAGTAATCATGAGAGTATGAAGATCTTTTCTGTTTGTTTTTTTTTACGAGTCGGCCCAACTTTCCCCTTCATTAGGACAGTAAGTTACAGACAGGGCTACTACCCCACCTACTTCTTTCATTTTTAAATCATTCACTCTCATTCACTTTCATTCTTACGCCTTTCAATCACTAACATTTAAAATCACAAGTCATTTAAAAGCAAACGCGTGTATTTTCCTTTCAATCTATATACATTCCTTCATTTCCCATTTACAGTCACGTACCAAACAGTTCTTGAGATTTTACAGCCATGAGGACTATTTACGCACGCAGACTTCGTTCATCCTAACAAAATCACTAAAGTTTTCGGATGCTAAACTTAAGCGCGGGCTTAGATCACTGTGAATCGTAAATCATTGGAATTCTCTATATTTCTACAGATCTTTTTTTGTGTGATTGGCAATCATGTAACGGTTTTCTATCGTTCCTCCTTTTCTCTTTAGCTACCCCTAAATAGCAAAATATATTACAACTTTATAACTGCAAATAACGTCAAATAGTTTTAGAATAATAATAATAATGATTAAGCATCGTGAAGCACTCACAGCCCGTAGACTTCGCGCTTCGCGGGAATGAACTGTATCCAAGAGTCCTTGCTGAGCGGAACATTTTCGGAATCGTACATTGTGAACGTAAGATTGGTGCCTTCCTCTGGATCGGTGAACAGATCGGCGGGGATGATGTATCTGAAATAAACATTTTTTTTTTTTTTTTTTTATGCGAAAAGTTGTCAAACGAGCAGACGGTTCACCTGATGTTAAGTGAATACCGCCGCCCATGGACATCTGCTACACTCGAGGGTTACAGGTGCGTTGACAACCTTTTGAAAATTGGGCTCCGGCTACCTCACTCACCAGACGAAACGCGAAAGTATTTGTCATACTTCCACTTTACGCCGGTCTTCTGTGAGGTCGTGGTACTTACCCGGACGGGCCTGCCCATTCGTGCAACAGCCGAGGCTGCTGCGTGGCCCTACCACCGTAAAAATTTTACTGGCATTACATAAATATTTATAAGCAAGCTTTGTTTTCATTCCATGTTATAGTTTAAATTAATTTATGTAATTTAAATCAGATTACATAAATTATATTTGCTTAAGAGCTCAAATTTATATCCGCTTATAGGCTTCGTAAAATCGACGATAGTTTAGCGCAACATTAAACGATTTGCATCAGTTATACGAATTCCGTTCCTGTTTACGTAATTCGTATCATTAGCGGCGATTGAAATCTTTAATTTGTTCGCACTCTACATACATATGTGGTTGGCGTGTTATGATTATATCAGACTTATAATTTATTAGGCCTTTACTTTTATTAGGTCAAAATAGAGCGCGTAACTTAATGCGTCTCGGAAATTAACAGTTCGTCGTCAAATTCACTTAGATTCAATAAAGTTTTGCGTTAAGTATATATACCATGTGATTGTGATATAAATATCGTCTTATTACTGTGGAACGGGTCATTGTGGCTACTTGGGAAGTCTAATCTAAGTGGTAATATACAGGGTGATTTTATATACGATTTTATAATAACAGAACATATGCAGAATTTGACTAAATCTGAATCTGGTACGTACTTGTGACCTCATTTTTTTTTTCTTCTTGCCTTACCGTCTCAATACAATAACATATTCACGAGCACTAAAACTTTTCACTGAACGCTAAATAGCTTATCAATAGGGTGACCACACTTAAAGGGATAAACAAACAATATTTGAATTGATATTTCTCTGGTTATTTCTTGTCAAAATAAAATTTTTTTTTTGAATTATTGAATGCTCGACAGGCGGGGATACTTACCGCTATACTACCGAGGATATACTAATGCTCAATTTACCTGAACGCCTTGCCGGCGGTGATGGCGAGCTTCTTCATGTGGTACTTGAGGGTCGGGGCCTGGTTGACGGGCATCGGGAAGGTCACAGTCTCCGTGGTGCGCCCGACTATGGTGCTGCTGCCCTCGGACGAGAGAGGCATGTCCTGGACGGTGTCGAAGGGATCAACGTTACATTTAGCGGAGGATATCTCTAGGTAATGTTTCGGAGATTTCTTTAATGTGAGAAGGCGAGGTGGTGGTTCAGCTGATGTTAAGTCATAAACCAAGGGCATTTGCAATACCCGTAGGGTTGCAGATGCGTTACCGACTTTTAAACAAAGTCGGACTTGGTTACCTTAGCCACTAGACGTAAAGTATGGTACTTCCACTTGATGCCGGTCTTCTGTGAGGTCGTGGTACTTACCCGGACGGGTCTGCCCATTCGTGCAACAGCGAACACTGTTGCGTCTTCAGTTTAATGCTTCAACAACTAAGCGGCCGTAACTAATGATATCTCATAGGTTTAAGCTTCAGTGTATCAAAGAAATTCAAAATCCACATAGTCAAGCAAATCTAAACGAAAAAGTCAAAACTTTATATATATATTTTTAATCATCCTGTGAAATGCGAAGTCAAATTATTTATAGACAACCACATTTAAAACTATTTTTAGTTTCTTCATCCAAGTTCTCAATATACAAAGTATTGTATGAAAACAATAATATATTAATTTATAATACAAACTATTAATGCACCAAGACAGAATATTAATTGTACAAAAAGTGTGATAGAGAGAGATATGGTACAATCAAAGTTCCAAAAAGAGCCCAAAGATTGTGGCAGTTTCAAATAACAACATGTACATTTAATAGAGGAATACCAGTTATTACTTTAGACATTTGCTTAATAAGACTCTTTAGGAAATATATTGATTAAAAATTTAAAACATTACTGTTTCATTACGTAATTCTAAAGTTCTTTTTTTAATTTCGTTATGTACAACACACTAATGACGTAACATTGGAGATGTTAGTGTTATAACTAATGCTCGATGATAAATTATTCGTACCAAACTAAACCCATCTAACCAAACGATAGTTATGAGTACACACGGTGATTTTTAGTCTCAGCAAATAGCGTTAGTACTTACATGATCCTTGGTCAAATTTATATCAAAATCTGTAACATCTTGTTTAAAAAAAAAACTTTTAACCTGTTTCGTAACCTCCTGCAGGGTCGTTTCGGGTACCGGAGTGGTCGTGGGCGGGGCGGTGGGCGTGGTCGCGGGCGCGGTCGTCGGCGGTAGGGTCGGCGATGTCGCGATCGTCGTAGGCGCCGCCGTTGTCGTCGTCGTGGTCGTGGTCGTAGAGGAGGTGGTCGTCGTGGATTCGGTCGTAGACGAACTGGTCGTGGGCGCGGCCGTCTCCGTCGGTACGGTCTCGGACGACGACGGTGGCGACGGTGACGTCGGCGGTTCCGACGACACCGGGGGCAGTTCGTTGGAGGCCCGTATTATTACAGTTTGCTGAAAGTGCCATGCGGACGCTCACACACGTGACGTGAATGATGCCACGTCAAGACAACCGTTTGCTTTTTTTTTACTACGCTCATATTTTTTTTTAATTTTTACCCTTTAAAAATTGAATGCTGTATAAAATTGAGCAAAAATTTAATTTATTTACATGTCCAATGCGTGTAAATATTGACATATCGGCTGTCTCGACGTCCATCGATAAGTTAGATAATGTATTTACAGATTACGATGAGTGACATTAGGTAGGACCACTATGCTACCCCGTGAGTCCACTTCCACACTAGACAAGTTATTGGTGTTGATCGATACATGTACAAACGGTGGGTTAGAGGATGGCGATCATGATTGTGTGAACAAAACTCACCATTTCGGTCTCGGTAGTGGTAGAGATGTCGTCCGGTGAAATGATCACGGGCGAGTGGCCGAGCTTCCGCGATTCGACGACATTCGAATCTAGCGTCCTACTGACTTCACTAGTTTCTGACGCCGACTCCGAGTACGGCGTGATCTTCACTTTGTTCATTTCCTGTCGGACGTGAGTTATCATTGCTATGAGATCTATCGAAACCGCCCATTTCTCATGCCTTTCGAGTGAATCTATTTCGAGTTCGACTCGTCATTAATGCCATACGAATATTGAACGCATAGTCGACGATAGGTAGATATATATAATAAAAACTCATGCTTAACAACGTACGACTAGAAATACAGAGTTAATAAGGAAACAATTATTTACAGCAAAAGTTTGTACTAGATTTAAACATCAATATATTAAAAGACAATATTATAAGTAACCAAAAAAAAAAGATAAAAAATATAATAATAATAAATTTTTTTAAACGACCGATCGATTTATCTACAACACACAATTCCTAAAGCAGCACAACGACTCAATAAAATACATACAAATTTTAAATGCAAACATATTTCTAGATTGAAAGAAATACGATGTTAGAACGAACAACAAACGACAAAAGAACCATGCAGCAATCAACTGAAAGCACGAGAGTTGGTTACGACAAACCTCCGTTGTATACGAATTAGTGGAGTCGAGCTCTGGTGTAGTTTCTTCGGTGGGCTCGGTGTGGTCTTCGGTGGTGGTTCGGGGCGGGGGGGTTTCTGTCTGGCGGGGTGTGAGCGGGGGCGGGGGGAGGGGAGGCACCGGGACGGGTTCGAGGGGGGTTCCCGGCGTGGTTTCGGTGGCGGGCTCGGTCTGAAAGTTGTCGGTGGTGGTGTGTGGCGCGCGCAAGTTGTCGCCGTGGTGGTGGCGGTGGGGGCGCGGGGACGTGCGGGGCGCCTGTCGTGCACGCGCCGTGACACACACTGCGTTAGTACTGCCGCCGCACTTGGCTGTGCCTCGCGCTATGTCTGTGGTTATCGCCGCGCGTGGACCGAACAACGGACTTGCCTTTGCCCGCGCTATTTCTGACAGGTGTCACTCGGAAAGCGCGGGAGGGAGTGTCGGACAGATGTGTCAACGAATTTTTTATGTATGCATTCAATTGTATCGATTAAATGTTGCAATGCGAGAGTGTTCAAAGACATGTCCCTTCTACAAATCCACGTTCTTTGTAAAACGAATGATTCAGGCACACCAAGAGTGCTTATCCAGTTAGTTAATTATATACAATGGTGAGAGCAAAGCGTTCAATTAGGCGAATCTTGTTAAATAACCACACACAAAGCCTGCTTATAATTGACTAGAATTTGAAGGAAGTACTTAAAGTCATGTTGGTGATATGAAAATTGAAAGAGTGGTGAAAGTTTAAAGTTGCGTGGAATGAAACGAGAAAAATGTGAAATGAAATGTATAGGTAAATGTTTTTCTGCCACATTTGTGTATGAATGTTTCTGTTCTACTTCGTAATTTTGCGCTAGACGATACGTTACAAAACACGATCAAAAAACCCTCACACACAGATTAACAACATTCCATGCTGTGGTCCCATCGACATATAACGAATGCTTGTCTACATGACGATACAGATATGCAAGTAAGTGCGTTCCATAACATAAATTCTAATAGACTTTATTCATTGGAATCAAAAATCATCACTCCGGCTGGAAAATCTCGAATAAAACAAACGAAAGAAATTTTACGCTATGCCCTTCTAAATGTTATATAGACAAGCACTTCATTTCTAAACTGATCACCATGTTTTTCATTTAATTAATTGAAAAAAGGGTGAAATTATGGTCGATGCGATGAATGAGGTTCCAATGAATAAATGAAACAGTGAAATGCAACACGTAACAATCATGAAAGATGATTCCAAAAACCAGGGTGCCAATGACAATCGACTATTTTATATAAACTTTCAAGACTGTATCTTTTTAGTCTGTATCTACTTTTCATTGAGTCTATCGTCTCACACATGAGAGTTGCAAATCTATGACCAGTCAATAATTAATTATACATCATTAACTATGTCAATAAGTTTTGTGAACTAATTAAGTAAATACTAAGTTAACACCTAATTATATTTTAAAGTTCCACTAACCCACGTTATCTTTTACAATATTTAAAAAAAATTATGTAACTTTATGCAACTGGCACATTTTAAAAAAAAGTACATCATCTCTGTAAAACAACGTTATAGTTGTAGAATATTACTTTTGTTACGCATTTCAAAATTAGCCATACCATTATCTAAGTCCATATAAAATGTCATCGATATTAGCCGCTCATTAATAGCATATTTATTGAGGTATCTACATAAATTTTGCTATCTTATCTATATTGAATTTATATTTCAATATTTAAAATATTGAATTATTTAACGATGGTGTTAATACATGATTGGAAATCTTCAATCTAATAATTTAGTTAAAGCGTATAGCAGACACGCTTTCATTTGCAAAATACAATTCATTTCAACCTTTATTAGTTCATTTTGAAACCCGCAAGCCTACACGCGTCACAGACGAAAAACATCAAGCAAAACCTAAATTACTCTGATTAGAATTGAGTCATTGAGTTCGACGTGTAATATAGGAGCAAGACAGAAACTGCTGTACTCTCTCCACAAGTTTAGCAGCCCAATAACTTGAAATGGGGCTTTCGAAGTGCCTTTAAGTTTTGCTCTTAGTATATAACAAGTGACCAGTATAATTTGTGACCAAGACACGATAGTCTACGAGCACCTCTCCCGACAAGTTACTCAGCCCAACGGCTTGGAACGGGGATTTGGGAGTGCATTTAAGTTTTGCCCTTAGTACATGTGACCAAGATACGATAGACCAAGACAGTAAAGATCGACACTCACTTGGTCGGGCAGCGGGTCGATGTTGAAGTCGTCGTCGTTTTCGTCGTCGTCGTCGTAGTCGCCGCTGTAGTCGGCCACGTCGTCCTCGCCGTCGTATGTATCGTACGCGCCAGAGCCGGAATCGAGCGATGACTGTTGAATTAATTTACGGACTCTTCATAGCATTTACGGACTTTGTATATATAGGTTACGGACTTTTAAAATATAATTTACGGACTTTTAAAATATAATTTACGGACTTTTTTAACATAATTAACGGACATTTTAATATAATTTACGTAAAGTTTTAATAGATCTTTTATTTTTGTTATTTTAATTATTATTTGTTATAGTTTCAAAATCTTAAAATATATCTTTATATTACAGATAAACTCAATAATTTACGGACTTTCCTATATGAAAAATATTCTTAATGAAAACGGACATGAAAAACACGTACATAAAGCAATCTCACCTGTCTCTTTGGACGCAGCACTGGTTTGTGGGGTCGTATGGCAACGAGACGCCAGCCGAGCACCGGCAGCCGAATCAAGTGGGCCAGGGTCCCATCTCGCGATTGTTCCCGGAGACCGGCTACGAGCACCTTGTGCCGGGACCACAACTTGTCACGGCAACCCACCTTATGTAAAAAAAAAACGTCAGTGTGTAGTTATGTACGCACGTAAGAAGTTATACTTCTTTAAGGTCATCATCCTCTTGTCCTTATCCCACCTAGGTGGGGTCGGCCCAACACGTGAATCATGTTGAAAGCGGTCTTGGCTATGTTTATAAAGTCGGGCCGCCTGCGCGACGTCAAACCTCTTTAGAAAATAAACTCCCAGATCCGGTATTATCTGTGGGTCTCACAAACACTTATCCCGTATGGGAATCGAACCCACGAGCGCTGACGCCGAAGCCAATAGCTTAGCAACGACGCCACCGAGCCTTTTTATCCCGAAGGTATTATTTATTTATTTAAGGTACCGAATGAAAAATAAACAAAAATTTTATCCGTGTACTTCGAAAAATATAAAAAAAATTATCCCGTGTCCAAGTACTCTTTGCTTTTGAAAGATGACATTAAATGCAACTTATAACGGTGTAATTAAATAACTTGGTATAATAGTTAAATGCCAATAAATTTTCCCTGGTCACTTTGGTAACACCGTGAGTTTGATGTTGCTTAAAGGTGTCGTGTTTCGTAAAAATCAATCATAATTTCCGCGAGCGCGCCAAAAGAAGTATAACTTCAAAATAAATTCGGAAAGTTTCGATCACGATATTGCCGATAGTTCGAACAAATATTCGGTAGAACAAAGAATGGGCAGACTCGTCCGGAGTAGTAGGTGGAAGACAGGCGTGAAGTGAAAGTATTTTAAGACTTCGTTTGTGGAGTAAGGTAGTCCGGGCCTACTTGTTTTTAATCTGTAACCGAGAACCGTCTGTTCGCTCGCCAGCTCTACACATTCAAAAAATCACAATTTGATTAGATATCTCATTACTAGTCAAATTATAAGGCGGTACTTTACAACGCTTATAGTATCAAACAGTGGCTAATTTGCCCTAAAGCCCAATAGGCCCGCGCTTAGGGCGGCCACATATCAGAGGCGGCCAATCGTGACCCAAAATTCACTGATGATAACAAGATATACGATGGGCGCTGAGAAAGGGGCGGCTGGATTTTACTACATGGGCTGGGGCCTAGGGCGGCCAAGACCACAAACTCGCCACTGGTATCGAACCTATTAAATACTTATTGGGTACTATAAAACCATTTCACGGTGGTAGAGCCACGCATCAGCCTCGGCTGTTGCACGAATGGGCAGGCTCGTCCGGGTAAGTACCACGACCTCATAGAAGACCGGCGTAAAATGGAAGTATAATACTTTCGCGTTTCGACTGGTCAGCGAGGTGGCCGGAGCCAAATTTTCAAAAGGTTGTCAACGCATCTGTGAACCCTCAGATGTCCATGGGCGGCGGTATTCACTTAACATCAGGTGAAACGTTTGCTCGTTTGGCAACTTTTTACGTAAATAATAAATAAATAAAGGAATGAGGATTTTATGTGTTTACTCACATTCAGATAGATGGCGGTGGTGGCGTCGTTACGCCTGCGCTGTGTGGTTCCAGCGCCGCTCATGAGAACTGTGTGAGCGCGCGCCGTTTCCGCTTTGTATGGCTCCATCCAAAACTCATCCTGTAACAGACGTCGTTCTTTTTATATGGAGTCGTGATAGCTCAGTATCAGGGCGTCAGCCTTTCATTCGATTTATTCGAGCAACCTGAGCTCGATCCCCGGTGCCGGCACCAATGAAATTGTTAATTTTAAGTGCTGACTTATCACGTGCTCAGCGATGAGGGAAAGCATCGCGTGGGAAACCTGCATACTTTCGAAATAATAAGAAGAAAAAAATATTTCGAAGAAATCTGAAGTCCGCCAATCCTCAGTGGGGCCGCGTGGTGGACTATGCCCTGTTCCCCTCTGTACAGATGAGGCTTTTGCCCAGCTTTGCTCGGTTTGTTTTTTTTTTTTTTTGGTAAATCGAGTATTTTGGAAATTACATTTAGATACAAATTACTAAGTAATGAAATATGCATAATATGTTTAGATCTTACCGACGTAATAATAAGAAAATATGAACTAGTGTTTTTTACAAAAGAAAGAACTTTAAAAAAAAAAGGAAAAAAATAACAAAATAACAAATCGACAAAAAATAACAGATAAAGAAAGCAATGATCTGGAATCGAAAAAAAAGTAAAAAAATAAGTGTGTATGATCGTGATACGATCTACGGGCTTCTGTTTCGTGGCTGTTTGTTAGCGGCCGCCCGATTACCGACCGAGCTATTATAACATTTTTTTTTTCAACCGTATTCGAATAATATTTTTCATTTGAAAAGTATATTTTCTAAAAATTGAAGCCCCCGATTGATGTACATGAAAATCGCTGCGCCGTTTCCGAGATTCCATTGCTCGTTCAAAGATAAAAAAATGCTAATCATAAAATTTACGAGTACAGACAAAATTAATTTTATCACGATTTTGAGGATTTTTTTTTATTTTAAAAAAAAAAAACACATTTTGTAGAATAAATTACGAGAAATAATTCCTCGCTAAAGGAAGTGTAGGTACAAATAGAAAAGTATAAAGGAATCCGACTGTTATATGAAATTTCTACAGTGCATTAAAGCCAGGCTGTTACAATAACTTATGGAATACGAGTATACGACCAGAGTAATAAAGCTTCAACTAAGTATCTTCTAGGAAGCGATTTTATGTTTTCAGTTGATTTATTACAGCATGTCTTGGGGTGTATGTTCTAACCTATTTTCAAACTTTAATGCACTTTGTATGTAATTTGCGAAACCGTATATTATTTCAAAAGTAAAAATTTTTTAGTGTACTAAGAAAAATAACGATAAAATATGTAATAAATATTTAAAAAAATATTCGTTGTTTAATATGTGATTATTTTTACTTATATTCGCTAGAGTTAAAAACAAATTCATATTAATAATACTTTCATTAAATATACTTCAATATAACGTGGTTCGTCAAAAACGTAGTCTATTTATTCAAACGTCATAACGATATTTGCTATTAACGATACAAAAATATATATTATTGCTTAATCCTATACAAATCCAATATATGAAGACAGTGCCAAATGCGCTTAAAGGCTTATTGAGACAATTCATGTTATGAATATACATCTACGTCGAATGCAATCGTGACTTTCGTATAGGTACACCTCCCCCTCAATACAATCGTTCTGTAGAGTATGTATTTTTCATTTAGTGTGACGTCTATATAAAAAAGTTTAGTAACATTGGATATATTACTTTTACAAAAGCACGGTACAATATACCATAAAGAAAAGAAATTGATTATTCCATAAAGAAAAGATAATACATCCTACATCAAAAAAGGAGATGGTGCCACAATTCGGTGCTATGTTTTTTCAAGTTTGTTACGAGCACCTTGGAACTCCGTCATTTATGAACCGATTTAAAAAAAAACATTTGGCATTAGGTACGGTTTAAGCTCCCACGTGGTGGCATATTTATTTCATTGGTATTGGATCTTGCGATTCCTGAGATAAATCAGTGAACTATTCAATATCATTAGATTTTAAGGAGGATATTTGAAATCGGTTTTGCTAATTAAACTACATACATTCTGTTATACTTGCATAAATTGTACACGTGTTTTAGTTATAGTAAAGTTTAATTGCTCTATCGTTACTAATTGAATATAAAAAAGAAGAACGATAAATAATCTACTGTAGCGTTATATTCGATAGCCTTTATGTACGAGTTAAACGTAAGCACGTAAACAGAGATCAGTCAGACGAGGCTCTGTCTTTTGACTCGAATAAGCCTTTAATCCTGAGCCGGGCGAGAAATCAGATATTTTAGGGCCATAATCCAGGTGCTGCACAGTCTACGAAGGGGAAATATTGAACGCGTAAGCTTTTATTGCTTCCGAACGTTTATTTGCCGTTGCGCATTGAAAAGGATTTACGGATAATTCACGGCAAACTATTTGGACAAATTGTATAGGTAAATCTTCAATATCGTCTTTCCTTTTCCACATACCACATGGAACTTGTTTGAGTTATTTTTCCCGTTAAAATAAAGCCCCGTAAAGAAGATTATTTCTCGTTTTGTGTAATAAACACAACGTGTAAGTTAATACCTAGTATATAGTAGTAAAAAGTTTACTGGAAAATCAAAATATAACCTAGTAGTACCTACAATTCGTTCCTAATTAACTTTTACTCAGAAGGGGAGTTAGAGGTGCCGCTAGGATCGTATCAGTAACATTTTTTAGAGAATGTAGTAATAAAATGGAACAGCTTGGAGTACAAAGTAGAAACGAAACAAAATTGCTGTAATTAACGATAAAAAATGTAATCACTTTGTATTCCCATTCCGTAAGTTATAAAGGACGATGATTATTTTTGTATATTATGTGCTATGACTTAACCATGTCCGAAAACTGGATATTTAACATTTCAAAGGACTTAAGTAGATCGAGAATTTATTTACTTTCACATCGTACAAACATGCTGATTTTTATTTATTCAGCAAAAAAAATATAACTTCGGAAAATTTCATACTGTAATGTATGTAATTGTTTATTTAAATATTTTTATATTTTCTCTGTTTAGACTATGTTTTTGTTTAACGTTAATATTTTTTTATGATTATTGGCAAGTAGCGTTAGACGTGTGTCCATTTATTGTCGCGATGGTAACGACACGCTGTATAAAAAAAACTATTGTGTCACAGTTTTAGTGTTTATACTACTCCGAAACGGCTTGACCGATTTTGATGAAATTTTATATGTATATTCAGTAGGTATGAGAATAACTTTATAACTAACTTACATACCCCCAAGTGATAAGGGTGGTCCACCCCAAACATTTTTTATATGACAAAACAACGTTTGCCGGGTCAGCTAGTAAATTTATAAGATTTTCAATCAACCGACTATTTGAAATCGGACTCATCGATGCGATATATGAAAAATTTACTTTGTCATTAAAGCTATTAATTTAAAACTTGTCTGTTAATTTAAATAGAGAACAATAAGAATGCTCATCTAGCACATTTTTTAATTTTCGTATAGAATTACGACAAAAAATATCGTAGAGAATAGTACGCGATTGTCTGTCCCATAAAAGTGCGGGCCGACGACCTACTTAGCGATTTCTCTGCTGGTACCAGTTAAATCATTTAATACTCGTACTGACGTTGCTAACGGGGCCTATTGATTTAATGATTGGATCTTGTTTTCGTGGTCGAGTGTTGAATCATCGGCGAGCGACCTTCGCATTACGACAACACTCTGTTCGAGTACCGTTGGATTATTTATATTAATTAGAGCCGAGTTAAGGCTAAGAAGGCTGAATTGTATGTTCCACAAAATTACGAGGGAGAGTGGAAATTAAACCGTTTATTTATTTTATCTGATTTTAATATACTTGGTATTATATTAGAATATTGAAATCGGACACAGCGTGAAATAGTTTCATTAGAATATAAATGTAATTTTCGTTAAATGTTAAATGTACTTTTAGTAATAAGGCCGCCCATTTTAATCTAATATTGCAAAAAAAAATCCCGTTTTGTTTTTCCCGCTGTAATATTATTATTTAGTGTAGTGTACGTTATTATTTATGGTTTATTTTTATTACTTACCGTCGCCTCAATTATAATTGTTTATCACAATACGCTGTGAAATCCTTCGATCTGTTTGATTGCCAAACAAAAAAAAATCAAACTTACAGGAATCTTAAAGAGTAACAGTCCGCCATTTGAGAAGGAATATCAATAGCCGTCTAATACTTAGCACGAGGTGTCTAAATTTACTGTAATAGTGATCGCTGAATCGACTTGACCAATAGAGGTCATTTTTGAGCAATATTTTTATCCAGATGATGATGGTTCATGGCTTTGCTAGGAGCGCTACATTGCTTGCGAAGAGTGTTATCCCTACATCGATCTCACAGATTATTACGCGGTACAATGAAAAGCAGTCTGTTCTCAAAACTTTACGGATTTTATCGCTTTTAATTTGCAGCTTTCACAGTCGCGAGAAGGTCGAAGCTGTTTTATGTCATTGTAGTCCCGGGCTAGCGAAACGTTAACATAAATTCGGTACATAATTTCAGATCTACGTAGCAAATGCCAACTGTATTTTAATCTTGCTGGGACGGTGTGCTTGGCCTGAATCTATTTAGGTAGCACCCATCTTCTCTATCGTCTGTAAATCGGTTTTGTTTTTGGTTATAAAATTTTTCTAACGAGGTGAAGTGTCGCCTTTCCGACCTCTTTGGTCTTGCATTGCTCTCATGTATTCCAGAATTAAAAAAAAATGAAATGACTACGCGCAGTCGATTAGGAACTTAACGTTTTGAAGAACTCACCCCGTCGAGCGCCATGAAAGCGGCGAGGTCCATCAGCGCACGGATCCGTTGTCGCGGCGCGATCTGCTGGAAGGCGCCGTCTATGAGGATGGCCAGCATCAGCCTGCTCTCGTCGTGGCTGCACGACCCGTATTTGGATTGGGGTTTCGCCCCCGCGTCCTTCACCTGCAAAGATATACCAGTCTATTGGATCCAGTTACGCATATATATAATTAGCGACCCGCCCCGGCTTCGCACGGGTGCAATGTATTATATATATAAACCTTCCTCTTGAATCACTTTATCTAGTAAAAACCGCATCAAGATCCGTTGCGTAGTTTTGAAGATCTAAGCATACATATGGACAGACAGACAGCAGGACGGCTTTGTTTCAAACTATGTAGTGAAGCTATCTCTCTACTGCAGGATGGTCTGCAAACGGATTAACACACTAGTACTGCAAATTATTTATTGGTTACACGAACAACTAAATCCGTGTTGGAATGGAAGCTATGATTGCGGCACCACTTAGGGATAGTTCCAAACCGGCAATGTCATAGGAGAATATTTCTGACGTCTACCAAATGGAAGGTCAGGTTGTATCTAGGATTATTTATTTTTTCTTTTCAATTTTCATTAGTTTTTCTCTTTTTCAGTGCTAGCATTAAAGACAAGGGTTTTTTGCAACACGATCGTTAGCTTAATCACCGGTGTTTTTATTACAATAAATTATTGACTGGCTGACTTAATAATCTCTAAGAACTTAATGATCTCTGAAAAGATTTTCTAGACGTTTCTAAATTAATTTTCGCGAAGACTTCAATGTTGGGGACCTAATAACATGATTGCAGTTTACTATTCCGCGAAAGACTGCAAGGATCCACATTAGTTCGCTAGACAATAGCGTTTGTATTGCTCTTATGCGCTTGGTAGTCTTAATTAACGGGTTCGCACTATTTCGCGGAATAAGTTCAACGGTTCTTCAGACTAGTTTTCGCAACCTGATTGTGATCCGTGGGTCGAAAATATTATTAACAATTATAATTACTATTTTTCATCTTTTAAAGACATCTTATTATAAACACTGATCTCAATAGGGAACGATTACAAATTTTATTTAATTACAACCGTAATGTGGAATCCAGTTTTAAAGTACTATTAAAAAACATGGTTAAAGTCAATATAAGGTATGACTTGGGTATGTAAAAATAGCTTAATGATAGTTAATTGTGTTTCGAGAAAGCGAGGATAGGTCCATTCATAAGCAATTTAGAAGGACTCACGCTATTAAAGCTGTATGTATACTACAAAGTAATCTCGAGAACCTAATATCGAAAATCCAACCACTTGACGATACAAAGCCACAAGCGTTGGTGGAATGCACGGCGTTACGTCATCGCTTATTGTCAAGACTCAGGAGCTTACATCCTTGGTGTGTGTATTGAGTTTCTGGGTCTGAAAAGCGTTACATGCTTGAACTTTAGCCTTTTCACAAAATGTCGATATAAATAATAAGGAATAATTTATTCGTCTTTTTACTTTTACATTTGGGGAATAAATGTCTGAATTATTGTTAATCTTATAAATATATTCTTATAGAAATACAATATGCTTTCTACCACTTTAGAGTTTCAAAGAAGTATTTTATTTTCACAGAATGGCTAGTGCACTTAGTGGTTTTTTTTATCAAAAAGGTTTTCATAAAGAGATTTAAATTTAATGTCCTTATAATGGCATCACGGTAAAGAAAGAAAAGACAATACACTTCAAATATAGATTATAATTATTTAATTACTGGCCGCTGCTCGCGACTACGCCTGCGTAGAACAGGCTGAGGGCGTAAAATTCAGCCAGAAAGACAGATAGGCTTTATAGTCTATGTCTTATTCTGATGTATATGCTATATTATTGTAAAGTTTCATTAATATCTAATCAGTAGATTTTGCGTGAAAGAGTAGCAAACATCCATCTATACATACAAACCTTCGCGTTTATAATATTAGTAAGGATGCATAAAGTGGACATTGCAAAATTGATGTAAAATTTACTAGTACTATTCCCAAAAATCCAGCTAAATTGTTAATTAAAACGCCTCTCATTAGCCTGATTTCATTAATTATGTTGGCGCCGTAGGCGTAGGTTTTGTTCCACGGATAAAATGTTTATCTAAGTAACGTTGGTTTATGTAACAGTTATTATGTCAGTAATATTCGCTAATGAGTCAATCATTAGCGAATATTTTAAGTATAAACAAGTATAAGTATATAATTGTATATTATTAGTATGTATAAGTATATATGTGTATATATAAGTATAACATATGAGTATCACTATTGTGCCGGCAACTGTACGATACGAATTTAGATACGCTTTTGTAAAAATCGATTCAACTCTTACAATTTTGTACTGTAGGTAAAAATAAAATTAGTAACATCGCTACATTTTGTTACAAATATCGAGTTCTACGGTGTACATATTTATCAAGAGAAAGGCATTTGTCTAACATTAGAGAAATACGCACATGATCAACAAACAATGTGAAATATTCTGTCAAGGGATAAGCATTAGATGCCTTAACATATAATAAATGTGCAAAAGGTATGTTCCTAAAACCTCGTAGGGGATTACGAACTCACTTATGTGTTGAGCGCCACGTCTAAAGGCTTACACCTGTCACGTCTAATACAATTATCATCATTTTGTTAATCGCTGTATGGTGTACCTCAGGGGAACAACGTTCTTGATATATGTTCACGATATTTAGACAATAATGATAGCCCGATGATAAATTTGTGATTAAATTAAGTAAAGAAGTTCCACCTGCGTGACGGTCTACATCGCAACTTTAGTGGTGTTGGCGAGAAAATGATCTTCTGGTTAAGTTATCAAAGCCACAGGTGGACTTTTACAACTTGGAATATTGCTCCAGCGCCCTGAGGATATTTGAAACAGTTAAGATATGTCGCCTATGTGAAAAGAGTAGGTACGGTAGATGAGTGCGTAACATCAAGGTAGTATCGATGGTGGTTCGATTTTTTGCCACGATACACGACGCGACGGTGGAATGCTAACAGTTTAGCAATCGAAATTCTGATAATGGAATGGATGTTGTTGTAAAGGCTCGACCGGGTAAAACGAATGGGAATTGCCGTAAATTAAATTTTGCGCAGATTGGAGGTCAAACCACGGCGGTAAAATGGAATTTCGTTAGAACTAATGGGGACCCTTTTTAAATTGAATCAGATGCAGATTAGAGTTTGGTTTACGATCGTGGAATGAAATTTATTTGGAAGGACGAAAGGGGATTTCTGCAAATTTAGTTTCCTGCAAACTGGCGAACGGTCTCCTATGATGGAGGAACTAACACGGTGTGGAAAATTGCATTATTTAGCTGGCTCGTTCGGCTAAGAATCACATTGAGAACAATCTCACACGAGACCGTCAGATGGTCAAGCAAGCCAATGTCTTCCACTTCAGTCTTCTTGCTTGGAGTGGTAGCAGTAGTAGGACCGAATTTTTTTAATATTTTACAACGCATCTGCAACCCGTCAGCTGTTGAAGATGTTTACGGGCGACATTCATTCACTGTGGTAGGGCCCCGCAGCAGCTTTTGTTGTTGCACGAATTGGCAGACTCATCCGGGAGAAATAGCACGGCTTCACTGAAGACCAGCTTGAGGATGTAGTTCCTTCGTTACCTATTCGCCTGGTTAGTAAAGTAACTCGACGACTTTTTCAACAGTTGGCTACGCATCTGCGACCCGTCAGCTCTTGAAGATGCTCACTTGTGGCTGTTATCTCTTAACAGCAGATGTAGCCACCTGCTCGCTTGCTAACCCTTGGATAGTGACCCTGCCTCTTACACCAGAGGGTGTGTGTTCGATCCCCACTACCGGAAAAATAGTGTCATGAATATAATGTTTTCCAATATTTGGGTGTTGATACATTTATAATATGTATTTATTTACAAAAGAAAAAGTATGTTCATCAGTTATCTAGTACCCACAGTACGAGCGTTGCTTAGTTTGGGACTAGGAGACGGTGTGTAAAAATCCTGAAACATTTATTATTATACATCAGAGCAATCTCTCGCCCGTTCATCCGTTCTCCATCGAAATACGAACTAACCTCGATGGTGAAGTAGTCGGTGGCGGTGAGGCCGCGCGTGTGCCCTTGCGCCACCACGGCGAAGTTGTGCGCGCCGAGGTGCTCCCGCTGCGGCAGCCCGCTGATCAGGCCGTGCCTCGAGTCCACGGCCAGCCAGCCGGGTGTCTGCCGCGCCGATTTGCTGTACACCTGGCGAACGAAGTTACCGTTTATTTATTGGCTCACCAGCGCAAGATACAGCTCGCGCTGTCTACTGCCTGTACCGTATTTGTGCACTTGTCTTAGCTGGATGATATCATTGCTTTCAGGTTTTAAGTAATTTAAAAGTGAAAACATATAAAGGAATAATAATACGATGTTGCAGTTTATTTATTGGGTCAAGAGCATAACATGCACCTCGCGCTGTCTTCTGTCTGCATCGTATTTGTACACTTTTCTTAGCTTGATGATGCTGTTGCTTCCAGCTTTAAGAACTTTATAAGAAAACAATTATGAACGAATGTTAATAAAATAAATAATAATAAACTTTCTGTTTTATGGTTACAGTTTCGGCGAGCGTTATGAACCCTACTCGAGTCAGGCATATGAATAGCCTTTCTTGGCCCTGGTCCGCTGAGGGTGCTCGAACGCGAAGCTGCTCCAAAGAACGCTCATGAAGATCATTGGTTCTGGGCGCGGTGAGAATCGCCCTGTGATGGGGACTTATTTTTAATACGGGACATCGATAATAGTTCATACAATTGCACGTAACCGCATAATGATGAAGACATCAATTATTTGATGAATTATATGTTAAACTAAGTTAAGTGACAGTAAAATTTGAAAAGATAGTAGGACATGAATTAGTATTTTAATTTATTAAGCAATCCTTATCGTAGAATATTGCTATAAGCGTATTTTGCAAATTGCAAATAAATAAACATGTATGAGCAGGAATTGTTCTCGTTACCCATGGCACCGATGCCTTTACCTTATTTATTGCACCGACCCATTAAAACTTCGATTGTAACTATATAGCAGTTTAATCGAAATTTGGTGTGACTGTGAAGTTACGATCTAATCATCATGAAAGTAAATCTCCGTCCCGCCGTATAAATGTACAATAAGGGGGAAAAATATACCCAAAAGACATTTTACATAGAATTTGGACGTTCTAGGTCCATTCTATTTTCATTTATCAAATTATGGATCTACTACCGAGCTGGACGTTTTGTATATAAAGACGTAAAAGACATTAAGACCATAGGAACAATAATAACATTTCATTAAAAACTCGCAAATATACATGATACATATCGTACCTTATATGCTATCACGTCACCGGAAAAGGCTTCTTTGGGTATTTCCATCCGGAAAAGGTGTCCCACGTAGGCCGATGTATCAGGAACGCCCCATAACCTCCTTAGGCCATTTTTTGCTATTTCTGAATGGTTTGCTGTGAGTTCGACCTAAGAAACGAAAAAAAATTACGTAAGTACATTATAAAATATAACTTGTGTCTCTAATTCTAAAGTATAACTGTGGTCTCGTGCGGTTATTTACGAAACAACACCATTACCAGTTTTATGATATATAAAGTGTCCTATACGTTAATATAGCGTAACAGCTATCTCCATTGCTAAATTTTAAACTCGATTTATGATATGTAAATGAGAGAACCGTCATAGTTAAATAGAAAATTATAGCATATGTATTACTAGGATTATCTTAATATTACTTGGATCCGTATGTATTACAGCCTCACAGAAGACCGGTGTGATGGAACAGAATTTATATTTATTCGATTTGTCCGGTGAGCGAAGTAGCCGCACTGCACTTAAGTTATATTTTATTACGTAAGAAGTTATAGGTACTTCTTTGGCGTGATTGAAAATCATTTTTCTGTATATAAGCAAATATTAACTGAGCAAACGACCAAGAGGGATGAAAGTAAATGATACAAATAAAAGTTTGAATAATAAACATAGGTGTACCCTTGAATGCAATGACGTTTAATAATATAGACGACACATGTCCCGCAGTATGGAAAGAAAGCGCGGCGTTTAGAAATTATTCCGCTTTACATTATATGAAATATATAAGTGAATGTGACAGATGAAATAGAATGAGATACGGAAAGAGATAGCAGTCTATAGAATTGCAATCTAACTTCACCAATTGTCTTAATTTGAGTGCCTCAGTTACGCGCAAGTTTCATATCTACCTCGTGTTTATATATGTAGTATCATTGCTTGAATGTCATAATAATAAACTATGTGTTGCATTGGCGCGAGCGACTCGACTCCATACGCTACACTGCGATACATCCGTTTTTTCAAACCCGCAAAAAGAGGTAAAATTTCAAAGGCGGGTAAAATAATATGCATATGTCGTATCATGTGCGGATACGGGATGCAGCGAGCGAACGGCACGGGCGATGCTATAACATTATACTGCGGTCGTCAACCTGTCAGTCATGTGGTCCGTGCATAGAAGACCGCAAAAAGGCTACAACGAGAACTGAGAGCTTACAAATCTGTAATAAAAATTTGCGCTTCTTTCATATTCTTCTTTGGTTATGTATTATATTATTACTATCCCCTTAGCACTTGGTTTGTGAGCGAACTATAACCCTGAATTCAACTTAGGATTTTATTATTTTTGAAGGAAACGTTGTGAGGCAGATATTTAGTATATTTTACTTAATTATCGTCACACTGTATGATCTACATAATTTCATAGGCACGACAGGCTTTTATTAATATAAAATTAGTATACATGAGTTTGATTATAAAAAAAGTACACTTGGCCGCAAAAATAACCGGTCACATAGACATATAGCGATATAGTCAACCATTGTATAGATATAATTTATGTATTAGTATTTTATATGTATAGATATATTTTATGCCAAAATTTTATGCACTTTTTTAATGTATAAACTTTATAGGTATTTATAAATTTGATGAGTTATCTAGCATGCCGCTGCACAAATCATTTATTATCGATATTTATAAACAAATATTACATTTTTTTTAGCGACCGGTTACTTTTGCGTTCCAGTGTTTTAGATAAAATAGCTTTTACTCGGGGCTTTGCCCTCGTGAATCTTTCCAAAATTGACCATAAAAAAGTAATTTCTTCCCAAATCGTTTACCAGTTGTCACTTGAAAGCGGGAGCAAGAAACGTACGCAAAGATTTTAGCATTCGCAACGTAAGTGCGAAATTTGATTTCTAGTCTATAATCGATTCTGTAATATGAATATAATTGATCTCTCGTAGCTCGTACGATATGAAAGTATAAGATAAAAATTACTGTACCACAGTATTCGCCTGTTTTTAATAAAACAAGAGCGAGTAGGACTCGATGGGTTCCGTACTATTACCTATAAAAACAAACTATAACGGTTCATGAGATACAGAAAGACATACTAACAGACTGACAGCGGAGTTAGTAATAAAACCTAAAAAATATTTTAGATTCTTTGCTGAGTAAAGCTCTCATGGTGCGTGTTTCGTGGAAAGCCTCAGTAAATCGTGAGAGATATTGACGCCCAGTGTTTATGAATCCCCATAACTGGGATACGATAATGTCATTAGCGTCTATAATGTAGGGTTTTACACCGCGGGTTACGAGCGGCACCACGTAAGTAACGTAATGGCGTGGGCTTATTTGCTAGAAGTTTTATTGAAGTTTACACGAGAGTTTTATGTCTCAAGCGCGAACATTGCTTCGTACAATTCAACGTAAAGGCATGGCTTTTCCATTTAAGTCAACCAATAGGAGATTGTTTGAAACAATCCAAATTGTTCGAATGTTTTAAGGAAGCAACTAATTTAAGCATCTGTGAAGATATTGCTCCGAACACTGTTACTCGTAGTTTTTAATTTACATATCCATAGGAAGGATGCCTTTTCACATATAAATTTATACAATACAATGAAAATAACATTCGCTGTAAATCTCGCTAGGACCGTTTATTTGTCTGTCCGGAGCAGAAAATTGTAGCAATCGTATTTGAGCACTTTTATTTGAACGAGGTACAGTCGGCTGAACGTTTACAAAACACTTGCGCAGCTTGCTCTCGTCTATTTCACTGGGACTGCACACAACTGTACTCGATAAATGCGAGTGGCAAATACATGAACATATTACGGCCGGTTGGTTAGTATATAACTCGTAGCATTATCTCGTAATAGCTATAGCTAATAGCATTTAACTCGAAAAAGTTCTACGCGAATACTGTTCCGTATAATATTGTCGAGATCTACTTTCAGCAAAGTCAAAGTCGATATCTTGATTCAATATAGAAGCATTACCCTAACTTATTGATTGTCAAAAAACTCTACGACCGCTTCGGAAAGAAAGCCACTGACCTGAGAAGAACCTGCGAAAGAAACTTAGCGGGATATTTTTTTTAACTTAACTTGACAAAAAATAACAAACATGTGTACAATTTATTAAATTCCACTTGAAAGAGCCTGGAGCGATCAATTCATTTCCATAGTGTTTTATCATTCAAATAAACGCTAATACTATAATAGCCGTTAACACACAAACGTTCCTTTACAAGTTTTTTGAATTTAGCAACAGATTCATTTTGAACGTATTCTGCGATTTTTTTGTAAAAGCGTATTCATTGTCCCATAAAAGATTTACTTATTCTACGCAATCTAGTTGAGGGTAGAACTAATTTTTGCTTCTTCCTAGTATTTACATCATGCACATTACTAAATCTTGAAAAGTTATTCTTATTTTTGTGGACATACATGACATTTGAAAGTATGTACTGAGAAGCTACAGTCAATATTTTTATTTCTTTAAAATAATTTCTAGAGATTCTTTGGGGCCCAGGTTATAAGCTGCTCGAATAGCTCTCTTTTGCAGGATGAAGATAGTGTTTATGTCGGCCGCATTTCCCCAAAGTAGAATGCCATAGGACATTATACTGTGAAAGAGCTAAAATATACCAGACGCGTCATTCTATTTTAGGGAATCATAACATCCGTGCATTTACCCACAACAATTTGTACATAAAAACCGTAATTGGATTGTTTTCGTTATAGTAAATTATGATTATTATTATATACATTAATACACAAACATAACGTTTATGTTGGTTTGTTCCGCACATGAGTAGGTATACATATAAACAAAAAACTGGAAAAAGAATTGTAGCATCTGCGCAAGAGGTTCACCTGGTAGGAAGTTATCGTCACTGTCCGTGGACTTCCGGAACACAAGTAGGATTTCATGTGTGTGTTTTTATAAAGGAATGCCTAGTACTGTAATGCTATCCCACCCGATGTCAAACAGCCATGCAGCCATGGATGGTAAACGCGCTAGTTTGTTTATAAATAGTTTGCTAGTTTAGTTAGTTGAAATCCCGACTATCTAATTAAACGATAACCAAAGTTATTATATTTCGACACCATGCCAGCCATGATACCTTCCCGTATAAATGAACTCCTTTAAAAACAGCAGAACCCACCGCACTAATAGAGTAACTTCATGGCTCTAACAAAGCGAGGACATGGCTCTACAATATTTTTTATATAAGAAGATGGTAAGCGAGTTGGCGGTTCACCCGATGTTAAGTGATAACCGCCACTCACGGATATTTGCAAGACCCGTAGGATTGTAGATGCGTCGCCTTGTTAATAAAATCGGCCCCGGCCGCAGAAAATATATGGCACAATATAAAACTTCCAATTCACGCCGATCTTATGTGAGTCATGTTGCTTACCCCGACGGAGCTGCCCATTCGTGCAACAGCGAACACCGTTGCGTGGCCCCACCGCAGCTAATTGCACGGCCCCTACCTGAAACTCCTCGTTGTTGTCGAAGTCGAAGTCGTCGTCGTTGCGCCCGATGGCAGACGGGCATAGCACCAGCAGCGCGCAGGCCAAGAGCCGCGCGCGCGTCATCTCCGCGTCTCCCGGCGACTGAGTATCGCCTCCACGCGCGCTGACCTCATAAACTCGTGCCGCTCATCTGTGTATTGACAAATAACTCCGTTGAGAAAAAACAACAACAACAACAAAGACAACAAGGCGCAAGCGAACACGATGAGCGCTCCTGTTAGTAAACAGTCGGTAACTATTATTATAGATTAAAGTATTCGATTATCGTTTCGCGAAGGAATTATGAATGTCAATGATTTTTCGAGACGATGATTTAACGTTTAGCTATGTACAAAGCATACGCATACATAAAACAATGACGAATACTGAAAACTGTGAGCAAACGAATAGATAAAGAATGACGATTTAACGTGAACGTTAATAGTTTTGATGAGCATGTTAAAATGTCCTTTGGTCGAAGTACAGGGTAAAGCGAAGAACACTGTCCGGCTCTTAGCTAACACGAAAAGATATTTGCCCATATGTATAACAAAGAAGACCGTTGAATGACGAGGGTGCGCGGACGGAAACGTCTCAGATACTGTTACACAGTTAAAGGCGCGTGCTGGCGCATAATGATCGGACGCAAATAGAACGGAGCTTTTGAACGCGACCCGCCCTTCCTTAGCGGGCTGTCGCGAATCCGTCTCGAAGAAGATTCCTGAACACTCAATGATATTATATACAAATAAGAGGTAGATATGACAATAGAGCACCTAAATTGAGGCACTGAAACTACACCAATCGATGTAATTGATTAGTCTGCTATCTCTGTATCATGTGTCACATTCTCTTACATATGTCATATAAAGTACAGCGGATAACTTTAAACACTGCGCAGTATGGACATGCGTAATCTTTGTTAAAACATCCTTGTGAACACTATGAACCAAATAAGAAAACAAATGTACACGCAACGTATTATTTTGAAGAGAACAACGGTATTCACAAACGCAATCGACAGTCTATGGAAAATATTTAAAAAGGTAGGCGTTTAAATATGATTTGGATTCAACGGTATCCTATAAACTTTGAAGATTAATCTTAATTTGTATGTGTTAATAAAGTTCGCTACTTTATTGACAAATTGAATGTTGAAAAATAAGAAGACACTTATATTCATTTGTTCACAAATATGTTAAGGATAATGAAGCTTTATATCAAAATTTATCAAACTATATTAACGCAACGCACTCCATGAATTCATTCTTTTATGTATAATCATAATGAAAATCGTGTATTTCTAAAACGTTATTATGAAACATAAAATATTCCCATCTCAAGTTCATTTTGTTGTCAAAATAATAAGGCATTTGTAATTTAAATTTCAATATTTCTGCCACTCCAATTACTGTCAAGAAGTTGGCAGCCTAGGGACATAAATACATTTAAGAGAAAAAAGTGCTCAAGCAAAAATACCTCGTCGAGTGCTAGTTATTCTAAGGTAGAATTTCTGTGGCGATAAAAAAGAATATTTTGTATCCAATTTATTTGTTTCATAATGTTATGAAATATTCTACATATAAGGTTACTTTTTTTACCTTCTTCATTCCTTAGTGACCTGTTATTTCTTTGTACTTTGCATGCCTTTGGCAATACAGAAATAATTTGCCTTCGACACAACTAAATAACAATTTATTACTGGATTTATTTATTTATTTAAAAGTTATGTAAAAAAAATTTTTTTTCAAAGAGCGGATTCCGATCAACCACCTAACGGGCAGTCCAGAAAAATTGAGATAGGTGCATAAATAAAATAGCAAATATCAAGAATAAATTTTACACATTATACCTTGCTAGCAACCCGGGGAACCAGGTTCGAATCCTCGTTCTCAATTTTATTACAAATTTGAAATTCATCTTAAATGCAGATCAGTATTAAAATTAATATTAATAAAATTTTAACAATATTTATTACCCTGTAGAGGTAAAACAGGTTGCAGAAACAATACCAATATATAACATGCATTGCCATTGTATCTGCGCTTAGAACATACATACCTACCTACATATCTAGAAATATAGGATACAAATGAAGCAAGATCAACTTGCTATATGAGCCCCAGTACATGAAGTTTTCGCCACTGTGCAGCACTCAGTGCCATTTTAGCATCACGGGTTACTTTTTACCGTGAGTGCACTATATACACGCCAAGAGAAGCGTTTCACACATTTAAAAACCATGTGAATGTAAACAATATTCCGTCGTGAATAATTCCCCAGTTGCCTCTACCAGAAAGCTGTTCTAAGGCCAGCGTTTTTTCATACACCGAAACTTATGAACTGTTTATAACATAAAAATATGTGATGGTAAGACCGTAAGAATGTTCCCTTAAAAATTATTGACATGTGAACTGGAAGTCATGTTTGATGCAAGTGCCATTCATATGAAAAAACACCTACTATCTGAGAAAAAAAAAGTCTTTATAAATTAATGTCTTGTTTTTACATAAATTTTGGGAATATCATGATTAGGTCTGATATTTTTCATCCCGATCTATAGACGAGGACGGTATGCTTGACCGTGCCGACCGTTGATTCGTGCTACCAGTTAATTGTTTTATGTTCATGTTTTTTTTAATTGTCTATTTTATTTTATTGTTTTATACGTCAGCCTGTTTTATGTCAAATAAATCTTTTTCTTTCTTTCAACTTCAAAAGTAATCAACGATCTCAAACATGTGTCTTCAAGGCAGCAATGCAGTTGTTAATTTTGTGGAATAATTGGAGGTTAACCACGTTATTCGAGCTCCAGGCAGCTTTTAAAAATGAACTTGGATTTCTTCTTCATACACGAAGGGATTTTTTTTTTTAAAGTTGTTTCATTCCGTGAGTGTGAAAGAAAAGCATATTAACCTCAACACAGTTTCCAGATAAACAACTGGGTCAATGTTACCCTATCTCTTGGCAAACTCTCGCACCATTTACGCTTTTTTGTTATCTCTACCGTTTGTGAATGTTAAAAACCTTCGGCACCTTGATTTTGTGCGACGGATTCAGCGTCTGCGAACGGAGGCATATGTATACGATCTTTATTGAACGATCAACGAACCCTTGCGTTCAATGAAGCTGTTGCCGAATCCTGATTGTTCCTCGAGCTTGGTGCATATGGTGTCCTGACCAACCCTTGCACCCACTCTGTCTTTTGGGTTGGAATCCCATACGGGACTAAAATTTCTATGATCCAAAGATGTTCTATGTCTGAATTTCCGAGTTCATATAGGTTGGATATCAAGAACACTGCAATACACATAGGTTTCTCGAATAATATAGCTTAAGAATAGTTTTTTTTTAATTAAAAAAGGTGTAGAAAAAGTAGGTAATAGATAAATCTGTGCCTTAACAAAAACATTAGGAATTATTGATGAGAACATAAAGAAATCTGCTTGGCTTTCTCATATTGAATCAAATTTAGTTCTTCGTGTCCTTTGAAAGATGTAATTCTTATTCCAATTCCGTTTCTTTTCAGAAAGTAATTTAAAATTGCTTTCTCTCTCAAGGGAAGAAGTTCCGTAGTACTTTGTACTAGTATAGCATGTCATTATTTATAAATCCGTTAAATAAACCAAGGAATTACATTAAAAGAACAAAGGAAGAACAGTTTTCATTTATGTATTATGAGTTATAAAAAATATCTAAAACGCACGAAAGAACAAAAGCCTAAAAAAAAAACAAAGCCTAAAAAATCCTACAAGTAATTTATAGTACGGGGTATGGTAACGGTTATTTCTGATCTATTTTGATGTAAGATTTGAAATACAAAGAATATTTCCAAAATGCCTCGATATAGGGTGACTAGAGGTCGAAGTAAGCCCTCGTGTGCAAGTTAGCGAACACGCCAGAAGCAGCCTCTATCGAGCTCACCCTTGGCAAGGGGTCGAATAAGAGGGTTAACACAATAGACGTCCCCCGGCCAAATCTCTTACATATATATGCAAACCAGTCTTATATAAATTGAGCTCGATAATAAATAATGCGACAGCCTCACCGTGTAATTTTAAAATTATAAAACGAACAAATAAAAATTATGTTTGCGTTGTTTGAAAAACGAAAGAGTGTTTTGGAACATTAAACATTGGGGAACTGGGAGAATTCTCCCAGTTCCTGTAACTATTTCAATTTCAAAGCCATTGAAGATAAATGCGGCAAATTATTTATGCATTTCATGCCGTTATAGATGTATATTTGTAAATATAGAAATGGGTTATTTTCAAAACTGTTGAACCCGTTCTATTTTTACACGGATAAAGCATTATTATCTCTAAGTCAGGCCATGTTTTATTCAAATAAAAATATTTCAGTAGGAAATCACATATTCTTGAAACAAGACAAGAAAGACGCTTAAAAGCCGACTTACCATTAACCATTTCAGAGTGTTGCCTATTACAGTATACGGTAACAGATATGTATTATACAGAAAATTTTAAGTGGGACCAGCAAGATATTTAACTATTTATTAAAAGGAATAAGAAAAAGAGATTTTGATGAACTGATCAACGCTGTGCGGTAAGTAAGGAGTGTGTACCAACTTCTCTCACTTTGCACCAGCGATGTTCACACCAAGATTTGTAATAAGCAATAGAAATGTCTTCGGCGAAGTTCGTTTTCGCGACAGGTAGCTTACCGAAGCACTGAGAAAAGTCCGCTGGGAAATAAAACGGGAGTGCTAGGATTTGTTAAGATTACGTCCGACCGCAGAGAATATCCGTGTTCCGATTCCATGAATGCGTGGATTTGTTCATATTTACATGAAACTAGCGATCCTCCCCGGCTTCGCACGGGTGCAATGTATTATACATATGAACCTTCCTCTTGAATCACTCTATCTAGTAAAAAAAACCGCATCAAGATATGTTGTGTAGTTTTAATGATCTAAGCATACCTAGGGACAGACAGACAGCGGGACGACTTTGTTTTATACTATGTAGTGATGTACAGCAAAGAGATGATTTCGAGTGACATTTTACCACAGTTACTTTTGCCTTGCTTTTGTTTTGCCTTCCCGGAACCCCACTCCACTAACACTTAAACTTTATGGTATGGTATTAAAGTTCAAATTGACTTTTAAGTATTATTACGAATCTTTTGTACGGGAATATAGAAAAGTGTTATTTTTAGACTTTTTCAGGCAATTCTTGTAATTTTTCCTTTCATAAGAACCTTCTCCTAATAATAACAAACACAACAAAAAAAAAGTGAAATCGGTCCAGCCGTTCACGCGTGATGGCGTGACCAAGGGAAATAGGAATTCATTTTTATATTTATATAGATAGATCGATCATTCGGAGTGTGCTTACATAACTGGTTTTTCCTAAGTCAGTATTAATATATTTCTTTTTTTTTCTAACATTATACCGTATAGACTCTTCTGTAATATTGTATAATGTCTTAGTATAATGCGATTTTACGGCAATGAGATAATGAAGGTATGATGTATGTATGTAGCAAAGAAAAATTAGCAGTGTGTGTGTCAAAATTTGTATTTAAAGTCACTTTTCCCAATTGAATATAAATGCTGTATTTATAATGTATTGTATTGTGGTGCAATTAAAAAGATATGGGTCGATTTAACTCTTTGTTAACGCCTGTCTGAATGTTTCAAGATTAAATAGCTACTTTACGGCTTGAAAAGTAGTCAATGTTTTTATATAGCCTCTGTAAACTACGAGTATCTCGATTTCAAATTCTATTCGAGATTGTCGATCTTCGATTTCGGAATATAACGAAAAAAAAAAACCACACAAACCTTCGGAGTTACATTATCGTGATCACAACAAACTCACCAGGTCCATGATGATATAACAGTAAATCTAGGTTTTGATATAAAAATCTTTTAAAATGTGGTAAATAAAACCTAACCTTCAGATTATTGAAATGTAACAAAACTACACTACAAATAAAAGACAAAGGTAAAAATTGTTACAAGTATTTTTAGCGTACAACCCACTCAAATAGAAAATGAGGAACAGAAGGAGACAAGAGAATAAGATGAGTGTATGTACGCTGAAGCTTTTATTTTAATAACTTCTTTTAGTCTGTTTCCTTTTACATTTTTCTTTCACTCAAAGCTTGTTATCTTATCGTTAAGGTCTTTTTATTTTGCGGAATTATTAGTATAAAAGTTTTGTCAATACAAATATTTTACATTTTATAAATATATTACAAACATGGTTCCTGTATCAAGACAATATTGTTATTCTATTGGAACTTAAATTCTACTGAGAAGGGCCTTAGTCACAAATGTAATTATTCAAGTAAAATGTTTTGAAAACTTTCGTAATAGCGAAAGGTGAAAGGGATTTTTGGGGAGAACATGTTAGAGTATATAGTACAGTAAACGAAGCAAAACTTCGACCCCTCAATATTTCAAACACAAACATTATCTATTGAGAGTTTAGGGTGGAATTATGGTGGTACATCGTCGACTTCTGGGTGGCTGAGTAATAATAATAAAGTAGATGTGTAATAATGGAAAAGAAATTTCTATATTATTTTGGTACAAAAGCTTTAATTTACTCACTATGTGAGTAATTAAAAGCTTATTTAAGATTTTATGATATAACTCAAAGATTTTTTTTTCAATCGAACAGCACCTTGAGGGCATACAAAGCATATATATAAAAAAACTACGTTTAAAAAAACCGACTCCAAAAACTAAAAGGTATAAAATAACTTAAGAAAGATTTAATTTAATACACCTCTTATACAAACCTAATACCTTTTATATAAATAAAATACTATTATTTGTATGTGCTACCTATTGATAGGTTTGAAGTCGGTGCCAAAATAAAGTACTCGTCCAGACGAATCAAACAAGCCGATGGGGAAGAGTCGTTTCATTACCGAGTTCTTTCCCATTCGTTACCATTGATTCAAATGTGCCCAAACTAGATGAGGTTGTGTCGTTTCATTATGAAGTTCCTCTGGCCACCTTCCGTCTCCATCGTCGGATCAGCACCATGTCATCATAATATTGCATGGTCACGCAATTTACGCATGTATACAACATTTCAGCTCAACCGGTAACCGGGAAGTGGATCAAATGTAATTTGCACGATTTGATGACAGATAAAAAAACTACATAAAATATTGTAAAAATGCACATTAAATGAAAACTACTGGGACAAACTATGTAAAATTATTATGGGACCAAATGGCAACTATTCTGCATCAAATTAAAGAAGAATCACGTAAATCGGATCATAACTGCATAATCGGTGTACTCTCTCAGCATAATCTAAAAAAATATACCAATCGAATTGATAACCCTCTCCTTTTGAAATTGGTTAAATAAAACTTTTGTTACAAAATATATAGTCTTTAATGATTTCTTGTGCCACGACTTTGACTCGACCGTAGCGTACTTTGCTTGATTTTCTTATCGATTTATTTGCTAGACCGATTGAAAGTATTGTATAAAGGTAAAAAAGTTCAGTAACTGCGTGTATACATCCCAAAAACTGGGCAAAGGCCTCCACTGTATAGAAGGCATAGTCGAAATATTTAATTATTATATGTATAATTTAATTCTGTTTATATTAAATATTTAATTCTGTGTATATTAATAAACGAAATATTTCTTTGTCGTCGTTTCCTTCACCGCTGGGCACGTGATAAGTCAGCACTAAAAAAGAACAATTTCATTGGTCAGCACGGGGAGTAAAACTCGGGTTACTCTGTGAGCTATCACGGCATTTAAAAAAGAACTTCTCTTCTGTACCAATACAAAGATCAGAATTAGGAAGAAACCCATGATATTATGCGTCTTACAAATCGTGTTGTTCACCTATTTTAAATTATACAGGTCTCCGTTGAGCTCTATGCATTACGCAAGCTACCCGCGCGTGGTGTTAACGACCCCGTGGCTGAAATGGAAGGCTTCCAGTAATCGTTTTAATTTAGCGAAATAGGAAATGGGCCTGTCACGCACCGGCCCGCCCTGGATGGCGCCACGCCGCGGCTCCGGGAGCGATGCATTCCGCCGGGGCGAATCCGGGTCAGCGGGTAATCGGAGCTGTCATAATCTGAATAATTCACGTCCCCGCCATCTGATTGAGCCCCGTCGCCCCCTCCTCGTGGCTGGCTCAGGTTCATTTCGACAACGACAGTCGGTTAGGATTTGCCGGACTGCGCAAAACGAATTGGGAACCTACCGAGTAGCGATGAAGCATTTTGCTTTATTTCTCAATAGCGATTCGCCCCGGCTAAGCACGGGTGCAATGCTGAATGTTTGTTTTCGACATTACATTAGAAACCTCTAAAATTATCAGTATTTCTCGCCTATATTGTATGAATTATAAATATAAACCTACCTCTTGAATCACTCTTTCCATTAAAGAAAACCGCATCAAAATCCGTTCCATAGTTTTAAAGATCTAAGTATATATAGGGACAGACAGACAGCGGGACGATTTTGTTTTATACTATGTGGTGATGTATTTATAATGAACAGTGTTTTTTTTATTTGGAAATAGTTACAGATAAGTGCACGTACGCATGGGGTTAATAATCGAGTTATTGAAATATTTACATAAACAGCGGTCTGGCAAAATATTAAGTGATTGGAAATATTAAATACGTGTATAAAAGATTTTTATTCTCAGGAAATAAATATACATAATAATCCGTTGGTGCAACGCTTAGGCTTCGAGGTTTAAAGATTATTCCATATAAGGAGATTACTTATTTGAAAGGATACAGAATGCCCTCCAAGTAATTGTTCCTGATTTATTCGCTTTTAAAGGCTTGATGTGTTCATACACAGTTTCTGCAACACGAAATTTTATCCTAAATAGGAGGTAATGTTTACAATAATAAAAATTATTTCATGCAGAATATATAACACTTTGACTATGCAATCGGTGACACCGTGATCGCTTCGATGCGATCGTGCGAATCAGAATGAGTATGTATGTATGTTCTGGTTTAACTTAAACACCCGTACGTAAAGACCTTCAAAAGGAAGATTCACATTTTCCTTTCTGAGTTGACACGAGTGCATGTAGTAATGCTTTGGGCATTGATTAAGTAAAAAAAAAACAACATAATTTTTTTTTAAATCAAGTCAAACAAGTTTAGGTTTTACTTCTGTTTTTTAATGTAGATATTCAGCATAAGGGCGGTACACAAATGAAAGAAAAAAAATCCGCAAATCCTGTTGCTGAAAACCAATTCACGGATTTGATTCCGGTGGAGTGATTTTATCTTTTTTTGGTTGTCTAAAGATCGGTAATCACTGTTATATTTGAAAATGGGTGATTTGGGACTTATTCAAATCGATAATCTACTTACCCCATCCTCTTTTGAACCCGTTGTGTTACTGTTCTGTTCGCTTTACATAATTTTTATCTATTTAAGGTAAGTTTTCAAGAGAATTGAATAAATGCAAAATAGCTTGCATCAATTTATGAAAAAAACAAAATGTTTGAAATGATAATTTCTTGTATTTACGCGATATCACATTATAAACGACCATGAACGTTAAAAAGGGTTCGAAAGTCGGGACCTATAATTAAAAATAAACGCGATAAATCCGTAAAAATAGTTTCCTTGAAAATGTTTGAAATGTTCAAACATGTTGACATAATTTCATAATCGTTAACACTTGTAAAAAATCAACAGATGTGTCAAAAGGAACCCATTTCACGTGTTATTATTAATGTGTGTCAACACCGAGACTTAGTAATGAATTTCTGTTTGATTTATAATCCATTAAGTGACAAGAAAAAAAAAAACTGTTCTCTTGAAGCATACATAGCCCATTAAAAGCTGCATTAATTATTCTTTCAGAAATGCTTTAATTGGATAGAAGTCAATCAATTACTTTTCAATCAATTCTTTTTCGTAGATGAATAAAATTATGTATATTATATATCACACAATTATTTGTCACCGGATCAAACCCCTTTCACGTCGCGCAATAAAAGTTTTAAGTAATTAATTAAAAATAAAAGGTTTTCAATCAATTCTTTTTCGTAGATGAATAAAATTATGGAACTATAGAAAGCTTCTGATAATAACTTTCTTTTACATGGCCGAACATACAATTAGAAATTGTTTAAAAAAGTATAAGCAAAATGTACTGTAAGTTGTAATACCTTTCTTTCCAAATTATTATTTTTTAATCTGTTTATTTTATACATTTAATTTTTTTAGATTTAATTTTATTATTCTTAACTATATTTCTTTTCTATTGTGTAATTTTTCAGAACTGTTATTGAATAGTAACAGTTATGATTATCATTGAACAAAGAACTCTGCATTTTCACAGAAAGACAAAATTTTATTTAACACGCAATACTATTGCTTATTTAAACAGCCTAGCTAATATTCCTTTGCCTCGATAAACTTAAGTAGGTGTTAATTCAAATAGAATTGGGCTCGTGGTTTCACTGGTGGTTTAAAGAAAAAGTGTGATTAAGTTAACCGTAGTTTAATGCGACAAAGCCGCGCCCGCAAAATCCCCATCGCAAATGTTTGGCGGGATTGCGAACAAAATATTTCGAATTCGCACGACGGTGAAACTCGCCGAGGCGATTTACGGGGGCATCGTAATTAAATTGATGAGAATTCGCCGAGCGATTTAAATGTATTCATTCCACTCGATATTTGAATACAGCCTTTTTGAATTTAACTCGATAGTCGTACAGTATTTTCGCAAGAAATACTTAGAAAGTAGACAAATTAGTAAATAATTTTTAGACAAAAAGAAAATGTATGTATCTACTACATACATTTTCTTTTTTTCACCAAGGTAGGGTCGGCACACTATGTGAATTTTGTGGTTAATGGTGTCGGCTAGATTTTATATCACCGGCCGCCTACCTGACTTCAACCCTCCTTTTTTAACGTGGGATCAATCCGTTATAGATCCCGTGGCACCGGATCGGGGGAGGGGCAGGGCTCAAACCCACTACGCAACTACAGCCTTCTTAAGCTTCTCTTCTCGGGTGCTAAAATACACAGTCCGGGTAAATGGTGCAGTGCCGGTACGACTAGCACAACACCCCTAACGAGTCCCATATTCAGTAGCAGACACCCTAATGCTGGGTATCAGGGGAGAAGGCTGCGCGCGTAGGCCAGCCGCCTGCGCCCTTGTTTGCGATGGCCAATATTCCGGGTTGTAGTTGCTTCCCTTTCTCTCTCCGCGGCCTCCTTCCGGGCGATTATGTCCTCGCAATATGCGAGGACAGCACCCCACGCCCTCTCGTTATCAATCATAGCCGAACCACGGCAGAAAACGAGAGGTCGAGTCCCACGATAGCGTACAGCTCTCGACGCTGCTCCGTCCAGGCTGGGCACTCCTCCAGAGCGTGTTGACCAGTCACCTCGGCACATACAACACAGTGGTGGTGTTCCGCTATGGGCTTCCTTCTCGCTACGTGAAACAAAATACCTTCAGTAAATGCTCTTGATTGGAATTTAGTACTGGAAACTTTAATGGCAAGCCATTTGCATTCTATTTCTTTTTTATCAACATGGATGTCTGTGTACATGTGATGTAATGAAAACATTTATTCTTATCTGGATTCCATTTTATAAAAACAGGAGTTCTTTTAAGGTTGAGACCTTTCAAAATAGACGAGTCAGTTGCTTTGCGGAATTGATGGCCCCGGGACGGTCTCGTAACGGAGATACATATCTTTTGCTGTGTCACAATTAATATTTCGTGGTAGGTGATTTAGAGGCAAGCATCGATACGTTTCGAAGGCGGAAGTCACGCGTACCGCATGCACCTTTGTGCGTTATAATGTCACTGTTCTCGGTAGTACGGGCTATTAACATGCTCACCACTCATGCGTTCCCATATTAATAGCATATGCCAGTGGGCATCTGGTGTAGCTATCAATAGCCGCCCACCCACACACCTATTGTGCTTTATTTCGAGCAGAAAAAGGTCATTGCTTCTCTAGCTCATTTTGGGCATAAACGTTCCCGAATACCGTCCCGGTGACTTCTAAGTAGAATAATTATAACCATTCGACAAAATTATGTCACTGTTGATTTTAGCTCGAATTTTATGATCACGTAAGGTTCTTTTATCAATTTTGTGAATGAAACTTAATGTTACGATTAGTATTACTATACTAATGGTAACATTAATAATACATAATAAACAGTAACATTTTAACCGCATAGATGTAATCGTTTGCGTTTTGAATATTTAATACATACCACCGGAAGAATTGATTAAATTCAAGATCTATCAAAGGTCTGGGTAATAAAATTAACATATCCCATTGAAGCTACGTGTATTATGCATATTATATTACCGCAGGTTCAATGTCCTACTAGTGGTCCTACCAGTGCAATTAGCACAAATGATGTCGCGCACGATCTCTAGTTTTGCTAATTGAATGTAAGTGTTCGTTTATAGCTATTGTTACAACAGTAGAATGATGTCATACTGCTTTACATAAAATATGAATATCAACCTTTTTTTTTTAAATTTCATACTAAAATAGAAATAGAGTCTTTTGTTCATGAGCCTTTACAAGTAGAAATTTTAGTCGAATAGTTACGACCAATTAACAACTACCAATACTTTAATGAAAAATTTGCCAATTACGTACAATTTTTGAAAGCAGTGTGGACTAAATTATTGTTCCAGGGAGACGGCAGAGAGAAGAGACACCTCATGCAACTAAAACGTACACAGAACAAGTAGGTTCTAACTATGCGATACATCTATTTTCAGTTTCACATTTTACAACCGCGCTCTGGCGGTTATATGCCGGCGGAGCGACTCACCTTTCGTTTATGACCAGGAGCTAAATATGTTGTTGGCAAACGTAAATAAAACACCGGGTTAATGTGCGCAACGCACAGGTACAGGAAAAAGATATATCAGGAATATACTATAGCGGTATACGATAGATTTGATTGTTTAACCACGGCGAAAGCTGATAGTTTGCGTGCTTTTTAGAGTTCCGTACCGAAAGGGTAAAACGGGACCCTATTACTAAGACTCCGCTGTCTGTTTGTCGGTCACCGGGTTGTATCTCATGAACCATGATAGACATTGTATCATGCGATAGACAGTTTAAACTTTCACAGATGATATGTCACAGAAATGTAATCACGGATGCAAAGTA